TCTGCAGGTCTGCAAGTCATGGCCAGAGGTAATTATCTCACCTCAGCCTGAGGTAGAGACTGAAGGCCGAGTATTCGAGTATAAAGAGGGCACTTCGCAACCTGTCTTGCCGAGCTTCGAGTTCTCCTTAGCCAAGTCACAAGTCCGATAATCCCAAGCCTCTCTCAAGTCGTTTTCGAGTAGGATTCAAGATCTTTTGATTGTCACTTCAACTTTCCACAGCTGCGAAGAAACATGGACCGGTATCCTTGCGTCAACAGATACAAGCATGGTGTTGATTGCCCTGGCTGGGTCAACGTCCATGGCGTTCGTTGCGAGGACTGCGTTATAGTAAGTCATGCCGAGCACATAGCGTATAGAACTTTGAGTCTAATATGAGACAGTACAATCGATAAACGGCACGTTGGCGGACGGCGCGTTCACCTGCCTGCTGTGTCAAAGCGGGTGTACGATCAAGACGGCCCCGCGAAGGACCATGATGCCTGCCCAGGCGGACTGCGGAGCGGTTGATCACACTCTGCGGATCCGGCCGTCCTGCAGCTGTGACTTGGGCAGAAAATCTGCAAGTCGAGAGACCAAACGGCATGGTCTGGATCGGGATATCAATCGGTATTGTACCCCAGTAGCATGGGGTCTGGCGGGATCGAAGTTTTCTTGGTAAACGGAAATCGCAGATGTTATCAGTAATCAGGACAAAAGACTCCTTCAATTCTCTTCTTAAATCGACGAGTCTCAAGAGTGATTTGCGTGACGCCGTGGAAGACTGCTCCCACCATCAGGAGAGGCTTCTTTGGCACGAAGAAGCCAGATGTAGAGCCGACCAAGCCTGGCAGGCTAAGTTGGGAATTCAGTGTGCAGAAAGCACAGTGGAATGTAGAGAGTCTCCAGGCACATGCCTTTCGTCTGGAGATCGACCAGCCGAGCAAGCATGGCGGCTTCAAGTATAGGCTCGCCACCTCGGACTTGGTGACCCACAGGTAAGGCATACGCAAGTGTGAAGCAAAGCTGCAGCGTGAAGGATTGATTGCGATCGTGACCCTGCACTTGAGTGGTGAGGCGAATGGTAGCTCGTTGAACTGAGGGGGCAAAGCCAGTGATGTCGACAGCATAAGGTAGGTAGCGTCGATGTTGGTGAGCGGGGATGTCAGAGCCGGGTGTCGTCTGAATCGGCGATAGGCGGAGCTGTCGCCACCAGGGTCGGCGTCGGCGTGGTGTGGCTGGTCGAATCGATAAGCCGGCCGCATTCAAAATAGACGACTGCATTGAGCCGAGTTGAGAAACAACGATCTGGTAACCACCTCGCCTAAGAGAGTAGCAGAGGACGTCGATGGACGGCGACTCGGACTGTGGAATGGCAGGGCACAGCGAGAGGGATTCGATGCTCTCATGCCGGCAGGCCGGCTGGCTAGGGTCCTCGCATGGAAGCAAGGATGCCAAGCGAAGATTTGGTCCATGCAGGCTGATGGCGGTGGTGGTGGTGACTGGCTGAACAAGTCTGTACTACATGAGCCAGACTGGACTGGGACTGGATTAGCTCATCAGCGGGCTGCTACGACAGAGACGAAGTACGGCATAGGAAGGGCCGGGGAGAGCGGAGACTGTACCTTCTTGCAGGCCCCGGGGTAGGTATTCGCAAAGTAGGTGAGAGACGGGCAATGTGTAGAATGACCCCAATCGCCAAGGCTTGATTGGAGAGTCTCGGTCACGGAGCGATTCTTGTTTGCAGCATTTGGCATGCAAAGGCGGTCAGAGGTTGTTTCGCGGTGGTCGATTCTCCTCGGCAGGCGGGCGGACGTCTTTCGTTTCTTCTTCTTGCCGCCGGGGTTCTAATGTTCGTTGAGACGCTGACGCTGGCGCTGGCGCTGACGGCAACGTCGTTGCGTCGCGTTGCTGTCGCGGCTGTGGCCATGGCTCGCTGGCTGCAGGAGCGAGGATGTCTTCAAGGCTTCGAGGTCGGATGGCAGAACAACTCATTGAAAGTGACATGTCGCTTGCTTTGGAGCCTGGTAGAGCGAGGCGTCCTAGCAGTAGCACGCAAAAGCAGGGTCAAGGTCGAGAAAGAATTCTGATACGAGCCTGTCGCGACTGCAATTGGGCCATGAAGAAGGAGGGCAAGCTCGTCTGACGCTGCAGCCGTGCATGATGCCGTTGATGTTGGTTGTCGTCAGGGTCGGTGTTGGTCTTGGTGTTGGCGTTGGATGTTGAAAAAGAGTGGACGGGGAGTTGGCGACACGCAATTAGGAAGCAAGGGTGTCCTGGATTGGAAATGACTGCGCGTGGTTCATTCCTCAAGGTGCTGTAGGCAGCTGTCGTATGTGACCTCAGGCCACCTCATGCTGGCATCGACGCGGTCTTGGCTGTTGGTCTCAGGACAGGAGCTATCCGCCTTGCCTTCGTACTGAGGCACGGGCTCCGATTAATAACACTTGCTTATTCAATATTAATATAGACAATACTTACTGCTTCTTCCCTCTTTCAAGGCGTCATATCGGACGGAGTAGTATATTGCATTCTCTTGTTGGTAGGCACCTTACCTAATCCGTCGCACTTACACCCAACGTGCCTGCCTTCATTTGTTGCGTGGAATCTTGAATGTGGGTCGCATATATCTCCAAACACTAGGCAGATGTGAAGGCAGGTGCAGGTGACATTCGCTGACTTCCCCGGAATTAGTCAGAGCGAGGTGAGGCGAGTTTGAATTCAGTTAGATACCCTCCTCGAGGCATGTCATACCGCAAGCTTGTGTATGGTCGGCAAAAATCCTGGTGCGTCGCACAGGAAAGTACCTAGGTAACACAGCGTCAGACAAAAGACAATGCCGTTTGATACTCTGCCGCCAGTTACAACCGGGCTAATTAGGTCCATCCATCTCCGTCAAACACCGCAACCGAGGAACTTCCATTCCAGCCAGGAAATGCCATCAAAAAAGTATGAGTAAGCGTTAAATATGCGCGGCATGCGTGGCAGCCATGGCGCCGGACATCGCCAATCGCACCACCGGACGGGCGCATGGTGAGGTCGCACAGCATGGTGAGGACACATCCCCGTCGCGCCAGCGTTAAACGTCGCCAACATCAATAATTCAAGGGAAATTCAATCCCGAACATCGGGAGACATTCAAAGCGTGAGATCCAACGGCTGGCGGGACCTAGGGTATCTTACCGGGGAGGCACCGGTGTAGTGCGTGGTGACACAGACCACATGCGGCCGGGTGGGTCCGGCCTCCGGGTCCGCCTTCCCTGACATGACGTGGAGACCCGACTCTTTCCCTTATCCAACTTTCCATCGCTGGCCAACGTCGGCTTTACACCCGAGACTCTAGGTAATCCGAGACTCGACTTTTCCTAACATATCAAGATTCTTCCATGATGGATGGAGTGGACTCTTACCCCCCTCCCCGGGTCCAAGACCCCGGATGGCGGCCTCCGTCAACATCTGAGAGGTCCAACGCCAAGACCACGAACGAACACGATAAGGGGACAGACAAAAGGTGAGGTGCTTTTATCGGCGGCTCGGATTGGACAACACCTATGCGGGCAAAAACTCCACCCCGCCGTTGGTGGTCGAGTAAGGGTTCCATATACCTCAGCACCTTCGGTAGGTGGCGCACTGCAGGTTTCGCATGGAGGGCCAAAGGCGGGTAAGACGAGATGGCGATGCGATGAAATACGATGACGCGGAGCGACTTAAAGATGACTATATCAACGCCAAAGGAAGTGCGCTGACGACATGGACAGCGTCGGCCGCTGGCGCCAGAGATCAGCAGGTCCGTTGGCGTCGGGTTGGGGTTGGCGTGCGGGTGAGATTCCGACGATGCCATGATATATGCTCCCGCGCCGGGCCTATGGCAGCTTCTCCCGCCCCGTCACATCCAACGTGGACTGTACCCATCCACACTCAGTGTACAGTACCCAGCCCATGTCTCCCATGTATGTACCAACAACGCTACCTCGCCAGAGCCTCCCAAAACAACTTGTCCATCGCTCGCTCCGTGTACCTACCCTAGGAGGGGGGTGTTCCACTAGGTAAGCAGCCCCCAATCTACATACACCTCGTGACCAATCCAGCAGAGCAACTCTCGTCTGCTACACCGCCTTCGAGATGGCCTGAACCAGATGTCCGGGACGGGCAAACATGTGTGGCGGTCACTGCCCTCATCCCGATCCCGGTGCCCCAAGTGGATTAGATCGGCCCGGCGCCCATCCTCCCGAGGCGTTTTGTCCGAGCGGTACCGCCGGGAAGGGGAAACCTTTTCCGTCGCCGGCAGGCAATTCTTGGGTGACACTTTCGCCGCGGCCTACTCGGCGTGTTCGTAAACCCCTCACTTCACTCGAGACAATATTGAGCGTGCCCATTATACAACGGCTGATAATACTCTCCTGCAGCCGGGTCGAATCCGCTGCTGTGATTGCGTTTCGAGAGAGGATAAGAAAAGCGCATCGAGATCCAAAACAGACGCCCGCAGCATCACTGCATCAACACAGCTGTGCAGGGGTGGTCTGCCAAAACGAGAGCGAGAGTGACTACTTCACAGTTGCTGGCAGAAATGCCTCCATACCCACCTGGGTATGTATGCAGCTGCTGTGTGTGTGGATCAGAGAGGATGCAGAGTATCATACCACGGTTGGCTTGGCGGGAATAAGATACCATACAATGCCATTTCCTCACCAGTCTCTGCATATGCCTCTGACTGGAGACTCACTTCTGCAGCGTCTCGACCGGGCCGTGGGACCTGGAGGACATGTTGAAAAAATCGACTCCCCAGCCACTCAGACGGCTCGGTCTTACCTCCGAGGGATTACATTGGCTGTTATAGGGGTGCTGCTCATCTTCAGCTCGCATAACCCCTTGCTGTAGTACGCCGTCGTAGCTTGAGTGAGAAGTGGATGCATGCGGACTCGCGGGGCGGGGGCAAGATTGATATCGATGTGGGATATTCAAAGTACAATTAAGTATCATGAGTCATTTCAACTGGGCTACCAACCAACAAAAACCCGCTATCACATCAAACCCGCGACGCCGACCAGGAGAAGGCCAACGGCCAGGGCCCACGTGGTCGGGGGCGACAGAGATCCGGCGCTGTTGCCCCATCCGAACGGCAATCCTTGCAACTTGAACGTGACGTTTTGCGGGATCGTCTGGTTCCAGCACTGCCCGTTGGCGACGTCCAGGTTCCTGAGGTCGTCGGGGACCTTGAAGAACATGTAGTTGTTCTGCGGGATGTCCTTGAAGCCCGCCGTGTTGTACGGGAACCGGTCCTTCTCGTCGGTGGCGCTGGTGTTCCGGAGGAGGATGCATAGGACCTGGCCCGGGTAGTCCTTGTACATGGCCGGGTACGCCTTCATCACGTCCGAGTTCGAAGTGTCGGCGACAAGGATGAACTTGCGCTGGGGGAATGTCCGGAAGAACTTGTCCAACAAGAATCTTCGGATCGACAGCGTGGCCTCCACATCGGAGAAGTTGAGCGGGCGCGTGTCGAAGCTGCCCAGCGGGTACGTCTTGTAGATAAACTCCATGTAGTTCCGCGTGACCTGCTCCGGCGTGGTCGTCAGGTAGTGGAAGTGGAAGTCCGGAATCGACGCCGACCAGTTGGCGTAGATCTCGGGCATGTTCTCCCAGGCTGTGAACGGACGCGCAAAGGAGTTGAGCAGACCCTCTTTCGGCTGGTAGATCTTGGTCACACGCAGAATATCGTCGATATCGGAGATGATCGAGATGCCCTCGGACGGCACGAGGTATGCCGTCGCATTGCCGGTCGTTGTGCCGTTGGCATACATGTTGAGAGTCTGGATCGAGCTCGTCTCGTTGCCCGGAATCAAATGTCCGCCATTGGAGCCTGTGGTATTCCTCAACTTGACAAAGGCGTCAAAGTCGCCTTCAGCTGTTGTCAGGTACGGCATGTTGACCGACTGAGCACCGCCACGCGCGTTGACAGCTCCTCCACTCGCGCCAGGTCGAACAGCGACATCGTTGACGAAGTTCATCGTAACATTTTGGTCGTCCTGCTGGACGACGAAGATGGATCTCGTCAAGTTTCGTGCTTGTGCGGCTTGATCGGCCGGCAGCTGATCGACATCGACATCGATGAGGAAGACATTCGCTAGGTCATCGACCTTCGATTGGCTAATGTTGGGCTGCTTGAACACGTTGCCGTGAATGCGAATGTTCCAGCCTTCATCGGTCCAGTTGGCATATGCCCTGCGCCCGAACAGTTAGTATCTGCCGATGCCGACGTCGGGTATTCCGATAACACTTACGGCAAGTTCAAGACTTGGGTCGGCTGGGCCTTGAGATCGCCATCGCTGATTCCCAGAGAACTGAGCACCTGGGTACCGGTAGGGAAGCCCTGGAAGTAGTTGGGGATACCGGACGCGACAAACGATGAAATGTCGCTTCCAAGGCCGCCCAGGACGCTGTGGACGTAGCTGCCAACGTCGTCGGTAAGATCGGGAGTCCGCTTGACGCGCGTTGGCGGAGGAGTGATCATCGGGTGCGGTGCCTCAACCGCATAGGCTTGATCAGCGGGGGCGGCGAGGACTCCCGAAAGAAGCGCCAGGGGCAGCCATGACGCGCGAAGAAGGGCCATGATGATCGGTTTTCGGAAGACCGAGGGACAGTACGAAGTCGACGATGAAGTGATGATGATGTCAATCTCGAATAATGAGAATGGTCACTCCACGACGACAAATAAATGCAGCGATCCGGAACACCACCAGCCAGATCAACCAGGAAGACTGTGCCTTGCTTCACAAAAAGAAGGTTGTCGTGAGACAGGTGAGGACGACGGGAGGCTTATTGTTATCGGTTGTCCAGACGTTGCTGACCGTTTCCCCTGCCTTGATCTGCTGGCGGACAAGGCCTTGTTTGGCCAAGCCGTTCCTGGAATGGCTGCAGAGAAGTGACGTCAAAGTACTGGGGGTGCCACGTCCGGGATCTGCTGGCTAGCGGGTTTCAGAAGGACGAATAGGGAAAATAATCAAGCTTTCTAGGTGGGGGCGGCTGTCACTCTGGCGAATGGCTTTCTAGACAATCCGAACTTCTGAAGATCATTGTGCACATGCGACCAACTTCAAATACTTGATCGTGGGATGTTCCCAGAGCCGCGATGAGGCCTTCTTTCGAAGCCTATCGAAGCCAATGCAGGTTTCAAGGGCTGTCCGTGGGGGACTGCGCATGTTTAAAATAAGCACCCTGCGCCATGTTTCTCGACCCATCTGTTCCCCGTTCTCAGCCCCAAAAAGCACTTAAAACCCCCCTGTTCGCGAATCGATCATCTCGGTCCTGTCCGACGAGTTAGCACCTGTATCAGAGTTTTCAAGAGAAGGGTGACTTATCCCCAGCCGCAGGGGGTTGCCATCTCGCCATTGCTGGAGAGATGGCAACCAGGGCTACCTCCAGATGGCCTGCCCTTTATTCGAATGAGCGTACGCTCTCAGTGGTTTGGAGAGAGCCGCACCCGCATCCATCTCGCACAATCCCGGACAAGCACAAAACTTTGACACCAACACGAGATGGGTCCCGGGATCGTTTGATCTGTTCAGCTGCTCTCTCCGCCTCCGAGAACGCAGCAGGGACCGCCTGCTCTGCCTTCTGCCCATGAGCCTCCGCTTTCATATACTCAGCTTCGCAGGGATTCGGCGACTTGAATCGCAGCGTGTGCGACCCTTGACAATCGAAAGACTCTCTCTGTTTGTATCGCACGGCCTCCTGGGATTGTTTCTTTCATGCCTCTATGCCGATAGAGGGTGCAGGCAAAAACCGTCCGGAAAAACCGTGATCATCCGCTGGTCCCCATTTCTGGAAGACGAGCGGGAAAGTGTTGATCTCGACTGAGAACAACGGGGGTTTGGCGTTCTCCAGTTCACTGAAGACTAATGCGCCGGCCAGATCACATGCGGGCATGCCGCACCCGCGGTAATTGCCGCAGGGTGTGGTTCGGGGAGATGCCGACTGGCCGCAGGATCCGATCCCGACAGCTTGTGTCCTGAGTAAGTCCCAAGCCGTGCTTGGAGGTGTGGGTGCCGAGAGCTGTCAGCATGGCGAGAGGCATTCGTCAAATCAAATCGTTTCTGTTCGTAGCCATGGAACCCCCGCAACACAGCAGTGCGACTGGCAAGGTGAACCAAGGCGATGGGGAAGAAACTCTTGATGCTGACTGTTTGTAGCCAATGCTGCGCTCGTCCCAACTTCTCCCTCACAACTGTCGATAGCCGCCATGCGGGCATATCAGAAGCTTGGGAAAACAGGTTGCTGCCGGTGGAATCCCGCGGGCGCAGTCTGCTGCCATCCCCAAATGACCTATTCGAGACCAGAGTACTACTCAGCGGGAGAGTCCTGACGCGCGGGCCTCAGACCAGAGCCTATTTGATAGATCGCTCATGGAACCCTCCCTCTCGCACACCAAAAAGTGACTGGGCGTCTTCCCTGCCAGTCCGTCTGTTGTCCCCGTTCGACTGTGATACCGCTTTTCAGCGGCCAAGTTTTCCCAGACAGGCCAATTAGACATAAATGGCAGTGCAAGAACGACTCGTGAGCGCAAGACTTGAACCAAAGGGCAACTTAGGGTTAAGTTCCGAAACATCATTCTCTAGCTGGGCGAACTAGGACTGTGCTGTCCACGATCCACGATTAAGCCAGCCGCGGCAAGCGCGAGGTCCTGACACAGGCTCGGATGCGACGTATCGTGGATAAGCCCGTTGCTAAGAGGTCTGCGATAGACATTCGGGAGGAAAATGAGAGTCGGAGAACTGAAGGGGAGGCGTCGTGCGAGGTGCCGTCGCGTCTCAAGGGAAAGCGAGGCGAGAGAGTCTGCAATCGATTGCGTCGGGACGTCCAGCTGGTCTTCAATGTCGTATCTCGAACGTCATTCCAAGAAAACATGAGTATCGGGCGTTGGCTCCTGCAATTGAAGTCGCGGCAACAGCGAGGTGGAAAAAGTGATCTTCGTAAATTAAAGACAAACAATGAGATAGGTACGCGACAAGAGGAAAGAGCACCACGCGCAACGCGCCCGGGAAAGATTCTCCACTTTTCCGCGCTTTCTGAGCACGCCCACACGTGACCTGATCCACACAGTGCCAGTGACATCGTCTGGGTACCTATTCCACGCTCTGATCTTGGTGAAAAAAAATGCAGCTTTTTTCAGCACTTTAGCAACACACTCCCTATACTAAGATTGACTCAAAAATGCCCTTTGACTTTTATTTTTGTCTAATTAAAAAAACGGTTGTATCGTAGCTGCATTTGGTCCACTAAAAAGGAGGTGCACCGGGTGGTGGTATACCCAAGGTACGCCGAAGTGCTGGCCCGAGCTTTTTCAACTGGATAACTGAACTTCACAATATCAAGCTCAATTACCAAGATCATGGGTGTGGCGATCTCTTCGACATCATAACACGACTTATTCCTCAAGGCTTTGCATGAAACGTACCTTTTTTTCCCCTTCTTTTAGTAATACGCGATCTCGACACTTTTCCTCATTACACAAGCCGCCATGGAAACGGATACCCCGGGAGAGGATCCCCGCAAGAAGCTCGCTGACAGCATCCTTGAAACTGGCAAGCGGGCATTTGATCCATCAGCCGACACGGTCTCGAAAGAAGCCGCCCAAAGAGAGTTCCAGCAGCTCATCGATGGGTAGGTTATTGCGGCTTGGGGACACCACAGGCAAAGCATCCTAACCATGGGTTTAGGAATAACTCTTGGAACCTATTACCCGTTCTGAATGCCTTGATCAAGCCCAAGGCCGCGCCAGAATGGCTCCGTCCAGAGTTGATGAAGATTCTGACTGCGATCCCTCTGCGACCTGATGGTGTTCGAGGCACCATGGAGTTCATCTTCTCAGTGCATCCAAGTAGCACTCTCAAGGCTTCCGAGGCTGCCACTCCACAGAAGCAGGGCGCCAACATCACCCAAGAAGCCATGGCTGTCGTCACTCGGATTCTCACCTCGCCTCCCAGTAACGCGTTGCCGGAAGACTGGTTCTCTGCAGTTGGGCCTCAGCTCATCACCCTTTTGGACGGCAAGGAGGGCCCTGAGCTCACCACGGCCGCGGCTCAGATAATCATGTTTGGTGTGTTGGGGCGCAGACAGTTTGGCGCGCCAGGTGAGTTCGGCCGAGCAGAGTTGAGGGCTGTGAGCTAACGTTGTCCAGGTTCACCAGGTTGGAACACCTTCGTCGAGCCCTTGTTATGCAACCTGAATCCATCTCGAAAGGCAACCGAAGAGACGCGCGTCAAACAAGAAGAAGATGCCGACATTACTGCTCTCAAAATCAAACAAGAAGACAGTGACATTGTCGACCTAAGTGGCCAAGGCGTCCTGGTCACTGCCGATGACTTGTTCGTGACTTTCAAACGCATGCATTCTATGATCAATTCTACACCGTACCCAGCACAGACCAAGCGGATGCTGGATCCCGTCCTCCTTCAGTTATGGGCAGTTTCTTGCTGGGGCGATACAAGTTCAAGAACTGAGCAGCGATACTCGAAACCGGCCCGTTCGTTACTTCATACCTTTTTGAAGTTAAGCGCTTCTATCACCAAGCTGCATGCCATCATCGAGAACCTGATGTACAACGGAGAATCTGCCGAGGGCAAGACTCCATGGCAATACCAGACCACCTCAGACGGCGATCTAGAGGTTGTTGCCACCTCACTTGGTCAGGCCACGCAACTCCCGGAGCTGAACTGGAGCGACATCCAGAAGCGAGCAGGAGCTCTCGTCAGACTCATGACCGCGAGTTGCACCCCGGACGAAATATCCGCTTTCTTCTTGGAGCTCCTGAGCCGGTGGTTCCAGTCAACGAATGCCGCAAGAAAGCCGGAAATCCTCGTTCGCCCAGAAGAGGAGAAGCCCGAGAACGAAATCAGGAAGCTTTTGGAAATCACAGTCTTGCAGAAGATGCTAGATCAAACGCCGGACAAGCTCATAACCCGCGTCATGCAGGTATTGGAGCTCGTGTGCCAGATTCTCGATCCAAGCAGCCTACAGGACCAGTCAGACGATATTCTTGCTGTGGCCTTGAGTTTACTTCACTTGGTCATTACCTCACCAAGCTTTAAGAAGTCCAGCATGAAGCCGGAGGTTTCTGAGACTTTGCAAACCTCTCTCGATAGACTCAGCACGGCTGGACGGTCGGATGTGTCTTCTACCGCAAGGAACATGGCCCTTCTACTTCATTATCGCGATGAAATCGACCCTGACGAGCAAGACGCATTCGTGCCCACTGACAGGCAAGTCGAGGACAGAAAGTCGTACAAGTTGGCTTTGGAGTATATCACTCAAGCTGATAACCCGCCGCCTGTCCGCTCCGAAGGACTCAACATCATCTCGGGATTGGTGACCTCGGGTAGTTCCGTCTTGGATATCCAGTCGACACTTGTGCTTCTCTCGTCGTTGCTTCAAGACGGCGAAGATTTCATCAATCTCCGAGTCATCAGACTCTTTACACAGCTGGCGAGCAAACATCCCAAGGCGGCTACTCAGGAAGTTCTCGAGCATTACCTGGATGCGAAGGAAACGTCATCGACGGATGTTCGTCTTCGCTTTGGAGAGGCCTTGGTCCAAGTGGTTGAGCGTCTCGGCGAGACATTCACAGGCGACGTCGCGAAAAGGGTCGCTGAGACGCTTCTTTCAATCGCCGGACGAAGAGGGTACCGGCCAAAGACAGAGGCCAAGCAGGCTCGCGAGAAACGCCTGCAAGACATGAGAAAGAAGCAGGCAGAAGATGCCTGGGGAGGTGATGTCCCTGACCTTGGCGACGATGTTACCGAGGAAGAGCAGGCGAAGAATGAGATCCTGACGCAAATCGTGGAGGGATGGGAAAGCAAAAGAGGAAGCGAGGATGTCAGAATGCGCACTTCTGCCTTGTCCATCTTTTCTACCGCCCTCGAGACAAACATCAGGGGAATCGGTCCTGACTTGGTGTCCATTGCGGTCGACCTCTGCGTCAACGTGCTTACCCTTGAACGGGAGATCGAGACGGGCATTCTTCGGAGGGCAGCAATACTGCTTGTTTTAGGATTTGTCAGAGCGCTCGACGACGCCAAGCAGACTGGCAGGAGACTTGGCTTCGGCTTGACGGATCAGAGTCGGGAGGACATCATGAGGACGCTGAAGTACGTCGCCGTCACTGACAATGATGGAATGGTGCAACAGCATGCCCGTGATGTAATCGAAAGCCTGGAGAACTGGCAGCTCTCTACTCTCCTGCCGCATCAGAGCTCAGAGCCGGGCATTGGCCAATTGGCTGGCCTGGCCATCGACCAGGACCGATCTTTTCCCTCTGTCAATACCAAACGGCCTAGGATAGAAGAGATTGAATAAATCAAACTCAATTGTATGAAGCGCTAAATCATACCCACCCCCGGGGAGGTCAACACCCTCACCATTATAACACAAGGCCAAGTATACTAAATACGCTGACGACGGCAACAATGACGGCAAAGACGGCAACAACGATCATCATAACGAAAATTCAAGTAAAACTAATAATGATGGTGATATACCAAAGTCTTGAGTTCTATTGTCAACGTTGTTCGGATCCGAATCAGACGAACTGCGGCCCGGTCCGGCTCGGGGTTTTGGCGGATCGGACGAACATCGCTTAAATGCATAAGCTGCCTCCACGTGACAGCGCGCAACGCGGTTTCCATTCTCGCGTTTGGGATCGAAAAACAATTAGGAAAGTACCTCGGTGTACTGATCCAGTACCCCTCGCGATTTGCCTCACGCTAATCACGCGCCTCGACCTCCCCTTCGACGGACTCCCTTCGCCACCTCGCGACAATGGCTCCAGCCCGGATCATTGCAGATTCGGACGACTCCGACGATGACTTCGACGTTGGAGATAGCCCCGCGAAGCCTCCAACTCCCAGGAAGTCTGGCGAAGGGCGTTGTTCCGACCCGATAAGTGTCTCAACCGGCTCGACAGATCCATTCATTTTCCGGCAGATCTACGACGACCAGCGGAAACCGGCTGCGAACGAAGCGGTGTCGCAAGCTGACCCGACCTCGGCACCAAACGTTGATATCTCCAGCTCAGTATCAATTGGGGTCAAAGTGCCGACCAAAAACGACGATACCAATACCTCGTCATTGACGTCCATCACTGACCCGACGATGGGTTCCAATCGCGCGAAGAAGGCAAAAATGGCGGAAGTTGTAGATCTTACGCAGGTCACAACACCAGGGAGAGCTGCCAACAACACGCCGAAGGATATGTGGGACGTGCCTAGCAGCCCGGCCGAACAGCCAACAGCGCCTGTGGCTTCCCTATTGAAGAACAAGGAGAAGACGCCCGCCAGCAGCAAGAGGAAACAGGCGAATGTCGACTTTACGACGCCGTTGGCGACTGTGATGCCTTCTCAGGGGTCTACGCAGCCTTTCGACATCACTCCGATCGGCAGAGCGAATTTTCCCCTAGCGCAACCGGCAAAGAGACAGAGACTTGATGCACCGGTCTCGTCGGTGGCTACAGAAGACGATGTGGACATGATCGTGCCGCATCACGATGAGTCAGTGTTCGTTGATGCACCAGTCTCAGGCCAGAAGCCTGTCTCTCTCTACATCGAACCTCGGACCCTGAGTGCAAGTCAACAGCTGCAGTACGAGTACCATTCGGTCGATCCTTCCCCGGATGACGCGAGACCAGCAACGTCTCGCCATTTCACAACCCAGCAAGCGGCGGCTCGTTCGAGTGGGGCGACGACGATAGCATACTCTACGCCGAGCCAAACGAGGGTGCTGGGGTTTCAAGAGTCTTTTGCTGGTGATACTGAAGCTGGCACGGTTTATCAGCCTCCTGAGGAAGTCCACGAGCCAACCGTTAATTCCGATGCTACGATTGAGATCCCATCTTCGCCAGATATCATATCTGCAGCTCCAGCAAGGACGAAACGGAGCAAACAAAACGAGGAATCCGGTCATACTTCACATTCACATAACGCGGATGAGTGGAACTCAGACGACGTTGGCTTCCCAAGAGAAATGTACAAGCCTCGCCCAAGTCGACGCAGAGGTAGCAACGCTAGTCGACAAAGCGATACTGAGAAGGCTGCATCCGCCGATACTGCTGCTCCTGTCCCTGAACCGATCACAAGCTTGCCTGCGGAGGAGGTTGCTCCAGCCAGCGTTTCCAAGAAGAAAAGAGGACGTCCTCGGAAGTCTGACACGACACCAACCTCTGAGCCCGTCGAGCCGTCCGCGCCCGCAACTGCTGTGGGGAGCGAAGCTGCTGGGAGTACAGTGGTAGCAGAACCAGTCATGGCGGCTACAGAGCAAATCAAGAAGAAGAGGGGCCGCCCAAAGAAAGCGGACAAGGCTGTCACGAGCGTGCAGCAAGAACCGGTGGAGCAACATGCAGTCGCGGAAGCCACAGAGGCCAACGACATTCCTGCAGTGGTGGATTCGAAGACTGCGAGTGATCACCAATCAGAAGAGAACGAGGAGCCTCCCAAGGCTAAGAAGATTGATAAGAAGAAGCGGCCCGTACAAGAAGTATCCGAAAAGGCGCCTGCCGGCGAGGTCCCAACAGGCGAAACACGGGCTCTGCAGCCGAAAACTCCCAACACGGCCTCGAAGCCCGATTCCGATGATTTGGATCCGCAAAAAGATGTGGTCGCATTGATCACGCCCAAGAAGCTCGAGGACAAAAAAGATGTGGCGGGAAAAGCCGGTGATGGGAAATTAGGCGTTGCGACGCCGTCGTCTCAAGCAGGAAAGCCTCTCTACCGGGTGGGGCTCAGCAAGAAGTCGAAGATCGCGCCACTGCTGAAGATTGTGCGAAAGTGATATAATTCCCATGCGACGTGCGTACGGCGCATTATTTGGTGGGAGAGGGGTTTACGTTGACGATGGTTTCTTTTTCTTACTTCAAGATACCCGAAGCATTATGGGGGCTACAGGCGTCTGGGCGGGGCAGTATCACATCCGAAGACTTGACGATGCTCGGCGTTATTTGTGTATTTTTGGCCGAATCCTAATAGCAGGCAGATTATGGATAGGGAGCAGACGCAAGCGATAGCGTCAGCTGGCGAAGTGGAGTGCTTCTTGTTGAAATAAAGGCACCATCGCTCAAGCAGACCCAAACCTCTTGGTTGGCAGTGAAAGTGACGAGACACCCTACTTCAGTCCGTCTAGCAGCCTCAATATCTTCGATGGCGGTGGCTGGATGCGATCAAGGTCAATTGACCTTGAGATAACCTGTTGGAGGGGCTGGAGGGGTAAGGGTAAATCGATGGAGGGGCAACGTCAGAATTGACAAAAATAAGCGCATATTGCATGTTGCATGTTGCTCCTGCAGCGCAAGAGGCGGGAACGGAGATTCAGGCGCAAAGGTGCATCTGGCATCACACTCGGAAATGGAGTGACATGTCAGTCAAGATCCAATTAGAAGCCGAGAATTGGACATTTCGACCCCGATTCCCAGAAGTCTTGGCATCCCGCCATCGCAGTAAGGTAGTACAGCACTCGTCACTTGTTGGCGGGTGAAGTGGGCAGTGGGCGGCTGTCACGACCCCGCGGCACCTGGACCTTTCCATTTCTTTTTTTTTTTCTCTCGCAGCGCAGCGCAAGTGCCCGCCTCATGGCCAAGTGCGGGGCAATTCTTGCAGTCGCCGACTCCTGGCAACATTGGATCCAATGGATAAATTATGAAGTACCTTCCCTGCTAAAATAGACCACAGCGGAGAGGGGACGGGAGGAAAGGAGGGGAGGGGAAAAAAGGGACTTCGTGCTGTTAAGGTGGCCGTGGCCGACTCGACGACCGAACTTCGGCCGCTTGACGTGCTGGTGTGACTCGTCTCTTTTTTTTCTTTCCTCTTCCGTCCCGTTGCTCAACATCCCGCCTTTCGCTGTTCGACATCTTGCATTCGCAGAGACGAAGTCTCGCCCTCCTTTCCCCCCCATTCTCCGCTCCCTCTACCTCAATTGGGCTTGAATCTTCATTTCGCCCATTGCTCACCGCATAAGGCATCATGGCCACCAACGGTACAACCAACGGCACGACCGGCACCGGCGCCGACACCACCCACACCCAGTCGCAGCGCTATCTGAGCACTCGCGGAGAGGATAGCGGTGTATGTTGCTTCCCCCTTTTCGCATCCTTTCCCCAGCCATTGGATGCCAAATCTGAACCGAAAACGCTGATCGCGACTGCAGTTCTCCTTCGAGGAGGCTGTCCTCAAGGGTCTCGCCAGCGACGGCGGTCTCTTCATCCCCGAGCACATCCCCCAGGTCAACAACTGGCAAGACTGGAAGGACCTGTCCTTCCCGGACCTCGCCCACAAGATCCTCTCTCTCTACATCTCCCCCTCCGAGATCCCTTCCGAAGACCTCAAGGGCATCATCGACCGAAGTTACGCCACCTTCAGAGCCCCCGAGACCACACCGCTCCGCCACCTCCACGACAACCTCTACCTCCTCGAGCTCTTCCACGGCCCGACCTTCGCCTTCAAGGATGTCGCCCTGCAATTCCTCGGCAACCTGTTTGAATACTTCCTCGTGCGCAAGAACGAGGGCAAGACTGGAAAGGGTATGCTCAGCGAAGCCCCCGCGCGCGCGGGGTACTGATCCTCCGTTGAACATGTCAGACTAATACGTTGCGCAGACAGACATCACTTGACTGTCGTCGGCGCCACCAGTGGTGACACCGGCTCCGCCGCCATCTACGGCCTGCGCGGCAAGAAGGATGTCTCCGTCTTCATCCTGCACCCCAAGGGCCGTGTGAGCCCCATCCAGGAGGCCCAGATGACGACCGTCCTGGACAAGAACGTCCACAACCTCGCCGTCACCGGTACCTTCGACGATTGCCAAGTGAGTACCCCGTCGCACACAATCGTCGCAATCTCTAACGCCAATGGCTTCAGGACATCGTCAAGGCCCTCTTCGCCGATTCCGACATCAACTCGACCCACAACCTCGGCGCCGTCAACTCCATCAACTGGGCCCGTATCCTCGCCCAGATCGTCTACTACTTCCACTCATACTTCTCCCTCGCCAAGACTTCCGAATCCTTCAAGCTTGGCGACAAGGTCCGCTTCGTCGTGCCCACGGGCAACTTCGGCGACATCCTCGCTGGATACTTCGCCTTCCGCATGGGCCTGCCCGTCGACAAGCTCGTCATCGCGACTAACGAGAACGATATCCTGCACCGCTTCTGGACGACCGGCAAGTACGAGAAGCAGCCCGCGCCGCCCTCGGAGGCTACCGGCGGCCTGGCCACGGACGGCGCCAAGGCGCACGAGGAGGGCGTTAAGGAGACCCTTAGCCCCGCTATGGACATCCTCGTCTCGAGCAACTTCGAGCGTCTTCTGTGGTTCCTCGCCTACGAGTTCGCCACTACTGCCGGCATGGACGATGAGTGGAACAAGCGTCAGGCCAGCCAGGAGGTCTCTTCATGGCTCAAGGACCTCAAGACCAAGGGCGGCTTCGGTCCCGTCTACAAGGACGTGCTCAACTCTGCCCGCCGCGACTTCGAGAGCGAGCGTGTCAGCGATCCCCAGACCGTTGAGACCATCAAGAGCATCTACAACAAGATCGACTACGTCCTGGACCCCCACTCCGCCATCGGTGTTGCCGCCTCTCTGCGATCTATCGAGCGCGCCGAGGGCAGCGTGCCGCACATCTCCCTGTCTACCGCCCACCCCGCCAAGTTCGCTGGCGCCGTCGACCTTGCGCTCAAGGAGGAGAAGGGCTTCAACTTCAACGAGAAGGTGCTCCCGACCGAGTTCGTCGGTCTTGAGGAGAGGGAGAAGAGGGTCACGGAGATCGTCAACGACTGGCAGAAGGTCAGGGAGGTTGTGAGGGCACAGGTCGATGAGGAGCTCAAGGCCGCCGAGAGCTGAGCCGCATCTGAATCAATATGAAGTTAAGAAGCATATGAGCGGCTACTCTGCGGTCTCATGGCGCGCGCGGAAGCAAGAAGCGCAGTGACGGAATCGTGTTTTCAGTTTGTGATCGGCATTTCAATTACCCACTATCAGACTGCATGTTTGATCTCTCATGGATATCTATAACACCCCCATAGAAAACACACACTACTGGCGGTTGGGAGGGGTGGAAACGGGCGGAAGTTTGATGGCGCATTGCATTGCATGAGGAGGAGGACCTCTCGCATCTGGATGTTGTTTTATAAAACCCAAAAAGCAAAATAGGGGGCACGCAGCCAAGCGCGACTAGCGGGAAACTATCACGATAAACGATATTTCAAGTTTTTCCGATTTACCTTGGACGCGGGACGGTTTTGACGTCGTCGTGATCGTTCATCAGTGTGGACTCACACAAAGCTTCGTGAGTGTTTGGCGCCGGAAGCCCACCGAACTCTCGCGCTTGCCACTTTCTCGCGATGGGAGATGCCGGCGAGAAGCTTGTTGGCACAGTCTGGCCAACCCAAGCGCGGTGCGTGAAAGGCAAACGCTGGGGGTGGAAGTTTCCTCGTGGGATGGTTTTGGTTCGGTGATGTGGCATGTGACTGAGGGTTTTCTGATGGATATAAAGAGGCGTCATATCGACCACTGTTTCGTCCATTTGAACAGCAGATATGTCAGAGCAGTCAACGCAACTCTACAAGCACTTCACGAATCACGAGAACTTATTCCCCAGCAACATCGCCGCGAGAAATTCTTACAAGATGTCTGGAAAAATGAATCAGGACGACAAGTCGCGCATAATGTCTGGCCAGGTAAGCATTCACCCCCCGACTCCTTCCCCCTTCCGCACGCACGACCCAGTACCGCGATGGACTGCAGCTGACTGAGAGACGACGACGACAGGCGCGAGGCGGTAAAGATATGTCCTCCGGCGGCTTCGCGGCCCGCGCGCAGTCCGCTGCCGACAAGAACCTCAACGCTGGTGTCGGTGGCCAGCAGGGCGGACAGGGTGGGAAGGGACAGGGTGGGCAGCAGGGCCAGAAGAAGTAGGCGGTGGAGATGATGCTGGATTTGTGCTGGTGAGAGTCGAGGAGGGCTGTTTCTTGGTGTTTGCTGCGTGGTGAGACTGCGGTAGATGTGGCTGTTTACGCGGCTTGTCGTTGAGGCAGAGATATGATCGGAATAGATGTTTCGACGTCTCTTGTCTGAATGGTGTGAATGTATTAGTGAGCGCCGCGATGGGCCTCGACGGAATCAGGAGGAGATGGAAGGAGAACGGCAATACCTAGCTCGAAGGCTTGGCTTACATATCTTTCCATGATGTCAAAAGCACAGCTCAAGATACTCGAAGCAGCGGATCGAAATCCTGAAGGTTGCGAACTTTGCTGACGCCAAGTTATGTCCTCCAAACATGAGCAGACGGTAGACCGAAGCTCGACGATTACAAGCCAAGAATTTCACAGGTGAAGAGGAGATGTCCACTGAGGAGAGTTGCTTTTTACCAACGTTGAGTGAATTTCCTAAGAACAGAAGTCCTTTTGCCTCTGTAGATAGCTTCCTAGCTTCTTGATTGAGCTGATGCGATCGAAATCCGCGTGTGCGCATCTCAGTATCCATTTGTGATTGGGGATCGATTGACGACCCCCAATAATACCACGCGCTTCCTTCACCAGCCCTCGTCCAACTCCCGATTTTCGTTTATCCACCCCTGTCCGGTTTCTCATCCATGGAATACACACCTCGCCATGCCGCTCCCGAAATACTGTTCCAGATCCGCCATGCAGGAAAGAGCCGCAGATTCGAGATATTAGCCCACTGACTGACAGGGGCTGTCGCTCGAGATACCAATCGAGTGACATCTTGTCACAAGAAGAGGTTCCCTACTTGCTATTTCCTGAGTGATGTTTCTCTGCGTGATCACTGGCGACGAGCTGCGTGAGAAATTCTTCGCCGCAGTCAGGGCAGAGCGTTACCTCCTCCCGCGAAAGCTCCCACACGAGGTACGCAAAGTGATCCATTTCATCCAAGTACTCATAAATATCGCCGGAGTGAAACTTGGAGTGGTGCCAGTAAACCGCATCCCACGTTTCCGCAAGCTGTTCGCACTCGGGGCAAGTTGGCAGCAGACTATGCGAAGAGGATGAATTCCGGGCGACCAAAACTTGACCTTGTCGTCCGAGGCGCCAGATGATGTCTTGAAAGTCATGAGCTTTGACGAAGCAATGTCGTTGAAGTTGCTCCAAAGTCGACACTGGATTGTCATGCGGGCAAAGGGGGCAGCGGATATCGATGAGGTCTGACTCGGAGACGATCGGGATGCCGGAGTGCGTCGAAGATATCTCTTTGTACCAGGAGGTATTGATAGTGCCGCTGGCGAGCGCGCGGAAAAGCTCGCAAGTCTTCTTGTTCGATACATCGATGATATGCTCAGGCGGAATTTGCTGGTTGTTGCTGAGGCCACCGATCAGATCGTCGGGCTTCAGCATGAACCGTTCGAGGCTATCAACATTCGTCTGTTTCTCGAAACGGACCTCCTGTCCCCAGTACCGAATGGGGGTCTCTTTGTAGTCAATGAAATTGGTGGTGTCCTCGTAGTAGTCTATGGCCAGGTTTCGGATTCGGTTTGCCAGATAACTGTCGAAATCGGAATAGCCACGAGGTTTGCTGTTCTCGAAGTGGTGCTTAACATCGGCCGGAAGAGTGACAAAACCGGTAGGTGGAAATTGGCTTCGAAAAGCGACGAGAGTTGGAAGGTCGGTCCGCTCCACGTCCCCCAGACATGCTTCATGAAGAACGCCGTGATCGTCCCTTTTGCTGATGAAGTCGCGCAGCTTCAGACCAACGTTGCGCGCAAGCTCATTGATTTCACCAAGTTCTTCAAAGATGTCAGAGTGCAGATGAATGATCTTTCCAGCGTTTTGGGCGGCGCGTCGGATGTAAAATTGACGCTCGTATTTATTTTCGAAAAGGTTTGGATCAGGAACCATATCGCCGGAATCCGAACGCGCCGACGAAGACTCCATCGTCTGGAGAAGGGACGCCGTGCAGGACTGGAGTGCTTTTGTTTGACTGCAATTTGGTGAATTTCGCTTGTTGTTTCTGTTGTGGAAGAGGTGTGTGGAGGAAAAGATCGGTCTTGTTGTGATGAGGATACGTGATGGGAAAGGTGGAGGTTGAGAGTGTTGTGTTTTGGAAAGAAGAATCGAGATTTGAATTGAAGAAAAAGAGCCAAGAGAGACAGGCGCGGTGGAACTGGGAAGGCACAGCGCTCCTTCTGAAAAAAAGGTTATCGACTTCGGCTGTAAAATTCTTCTGAGTAAACTGATGTCGGAATTTTTGACGACAGTTGGCGGTGGAAGTCGATTTTGACACTTTTCATTCGGAAAGGTCTCAACAAAATACAAGTCCATTTTCTCTTCACCAACGTCACAGTTCACTCACCATTAGCGGTGGAAACTATGGCGATGTCCTTTAAAATAGTTGACCAAGGCCGCTCGTGGGTTGAAGAAGTAAAAGCTGGCCCTTTTTTCCGTGTTTACAAAGCTCTCTGCTGTCATCGCACCAAACGACTCGTTTTGAAGACGTTCACTATTCTCATTCATCTAACAAGTTACATGAGTCCTACACAGTCCTTGACCGCATCCATTATCCACAAGTCCTGTTCGTTCAATCGTAATATGATTCCGAGCTGCTTACCCGAGCATCGAAGCAAGGATGTCCAGTATTCTGAGCCCAACTAAGAATAGAGACCTGAGCATCAGGTGCGAAACGATTGAGGTACTTTCCCTCCTTGTCGGTTACCTCAGTATCGATGAATGTCCTGGTCGTGCTGCAAATGTTTCCACCAATCGCACACGGTCTCAACTTGTTGCCCCAAACGACCATGGCTTCGGTTCTCGACATTGTGCCAGCGTCGCAAAGCACAACCGCACCTGCTGACTTTCTGAAAGACTCGTAGGTCTCATCACGAGAGATGTGGGTAGTCGTGCAGATTACATCTGCTTCTCGGGCAATGGCCTTCATAAGGCCTTTCAGAAGTTTTTTCGGGAGAACTTGGGCCTTGAGCTTCGCCGTTCTCCGTTGAGTGCCTTCGTGCGATACATCGGCATCTTCCTCGGACTCGTAATATTCTTGCTGCTCTCCTGATCTTCCATTTCGACCTGACTTGATCTGGCTGAAGCGAATCTTGCCGTTGACGAAGGCGCGCAAGCCTGTGTATTTCTTGGCAGTTTTGAATTGCTGCCGAAGCTCAAATAAACCAGGGTGATCGCGCGCGTCCAGGTCATGGTCTCCTGCTTGAACCACCTTCTGAAGCCACTCGCAAAGAGAATACGATCGCCCCCAGGGAGCCATCTCCTCGACAACGATTTTTTTCGAAACCTGGTTGATGAACATGGCCACCTCGGCGTCGATATTGTAGCCGCGGACGACTAACAGAAGTGTGACTTCCTCTCCGGGTCTTTCGGTGATCTCGAGTACTTTGGCGGCCATGCAGTAGACGTGAGCGGCGATTTCTCGGGCAGCTTGGTGGGTTGAAGCAGCTGCATGTACTTTCCGCGTTTCCTGGTTTTGGAGGAACATCAACGTCGTGAAAGCTAACACTTGGTTCGTGTGGTAGTTGGCGTCGGTCTTGTTTCTGGACCAGGCTCCGGATCCGCAGATGGTGAAGATTCCGAGGGAGGCCAGCTTTGCATACTGCTCAAAGCTTCTTTGGAGCCCTGGGTTGAGCTCGGAAAGAGCAGCTTCCAGATAATTCGAATCAACGCGGCCGACCAGGTCGAATTTGGGCAACACAGCAGAACGACCGTCCTCCGCGATAGTGTTCTTGAAACCTTGGCAAAGAATTGTGCGTCCAAATCCCCGACCGATGAAGAAGTCCTGCATCAAGCTTCTCAAGACTTTGTAGTTTACTAGTTATATTCACGCTCAAGGCGGTGCGTCGACTGGGAATCCGTTGCAGTCTCTTCGCGGGATTTCGAATCCTCGCCGTCATCAGTGCTGAAGACCTCGTTCGCTGCTTCGATTCGACGTCTTGACAAAGCAATGCCGTCATAAAAGCACAGGTAGGCTGGTTGTATCCCATTCGGATCATAATCAGAGGAACTGATGGTCAGGTCAAAGTCACGCTCACGGAATGCGGGAGCTTGGGGGTCAGAGGGCCTGAAAACATCGAGTCGCAACGTCTGGTTCAAGTGTATCCGCCGACCAGTCTCCGTCTTGCAGATCCTGGCAGCCCAGTTCAGATCGTCTTTGTGTAGTCTGCGCGCCTGGCTCCTGGCTTGGGGGGTTCGCGAAAACTGACGAACAAACTAGCTCCAGGACGAATGAGACTTTGGAGGGATCGTTCGAATTTGGTGCGCTGGAACAAAGTCAGAACATTAATCAAGGAGGTATCTCTGAAAAATTTAAAGCTCACAAATGATTTGCCCAGATCCACCGTGACAGTAAACGCATCCGAACGGTTCTCCTCTTTGAGGAAGCGGAAGGGGAGCACACATTTGCGAATGGCGCGCACATCTTCCGCGAACCACCAAACATCTTGTGCCACAGATCGTGTGAGGATGTTCCGAACTTGTTCAGGGCTGTCAAACCCCCATCTGACTGCATCTTTCGTCTTGCCCATCCCTTGTGGGACCTGACCTTGGTAATGATCCAAATCCCACTGGTATCTAATGTCCGATGTCAGTGTCGCGCTCGCGCAGATGTCGAGAAAGGATATAAAGTGCTTACGGATCTTCCGAGATGACTGGCTGTGGGCGAGACGGGTTGCGATCGAGGAGGACACCGACAGACTTTGCGACGTGGCTTTTCACCAGTACGTTGAATCGGTCTTGACAGGCGATTTGGGCGAGAAGTTTTGGATTCTCCAAGTTGGAAGCGAGTTTGACCAGTTCCTCTATCTTCCCATCGAAAGGAAATCCCACTCCGTCCACAGTTGGGTTGTGAAGGGAGTTGACGTTGATTTGTAAAACAACGACGTCTTCCTCCTGGCCGCTGGGAAAGAGCGTTTTGAACTCATTGTCCCCCAGGCACCGTTCCTCCAAGTCGAACGATACTAAGGGAAGTCGCTTCGTTATGACTTGAACATCAGTTTGTGTTCCTGACTGGGTGAAATAGATTGAATGTTTCTCTTGGCGAGGCAGGTGAACATCCAGTCCTATCCACGACTGACCATCGCCCTCGTCGTGAAGGACGAGGCTCGTGTGTGGCTGTTTGTGGAAGCCAAGTCCATTGCCTCCGACGACAGCATGTGAACCGGGATAGTAAAGAGCGCACGGGTAGCGCTTGCTGTGAGGACTCATGGCAGAGAATGTTGTTGCGTATGAACTCGTTACTTTAGCTAGCTGCGGAATCCGCCGTGGTCGCACCGCCTCGATCAACGCGGCAGATTAGAGTCTTGCTTCAAATCAGTCAGCAAAAGCTTCCGTTGAATATACGGATGGATGTGCCGTACCTAATGTCCTCTGCCGGAGTCGTGTTGCTTGACGGTGATGAAGCGAGCCGGTGATGTGGGCGAGGTTGCACGGCATGAGGAACACAGAGGTAGGAGAAGAAGAAGAAGAAGAATTTTCCTAGTGCCGAGGGAAAAAAAAAAGTACGGGTTTGATTTACATGCCCTTCAGAAACCACAACGGCAGGAGCGAGTGAGTTGAAGGGTGACTGGTCACAGCCTACCTATAGGTGACCGTCAAAGCACCTTCCAGAACGAGTTGAGTCAAAGTAAAGTGCTTTTTGAATGAGTTTTGGCGAATTTGCCATATGTTTTGGACCTTTGGAAAAGTTTTCATGTTCTTGAATGATTTGTCAAAGTATTTACCCTCGACACCTAAGGAAGGTTCTGGGTTAACAATGGACAGTATTCGAAACAAAGATCGCCTATTCAAATCCGCTCACTTTCGATGTTGCAAATGCATTTGTAAAACATACTTATGAAATGGATACATTAAATCCTCGAACGAAGTAATAATACTGTACTTTTCTATCAACTATGGATATTGCATCTCGTAACTGTTGAGGAAATGTGAGACGGATTTCTAATGAACTGGATGCTCCTGTGAACTCGAATGTATGTCAGCTAGCTGCCTGCCTAGAGAAACGTATGTTCACGCGTCACCTTATGAAGTCTCCAAATTATTGTTATGGATTTTCTCAAGAGAAAAAATTGAAGAGTTTTGGTCCCGGACTTAAGAAGGAGTAACGCGCCCGTCTGCGCTTGCCTCGTGGGGATTTACTTCACCTTAAAATCTGAACCCGCCCCTCCCTTTGGGTAGGTAATCTGCCTCACCTTGCCCGGATAAGGCGACATATAAATTGACAGATCTCGACGGGACGAACCCAAACTCAGCCTCTACCAACAACACACTCACTCACCATCACATACGACACACTTGCCCTCAACTCACTCACACTGGACACACTCATCCTCGACATACTCACGATACACCCACCCACCCTCATTCACACCTTCTTCAAACACTCTGACTACAATAATCGTGAACAAGAAACTGGATTTTACGTTACAATTCGACACTGTCGATTTGTCACAAGTCTTCAACGAGCCTCACTCTGAGACCTTGCACGACGATGGCACTTCCTACCTTGGCCGTGGATGTCCTTAGGGGCTTTCGCTCTGAGTTCTTCAAGGATGAAGAAGAGCGAGAATCTGTCATCCGAAAGGCCGCCCAAGTTGCCGCCAAGATTCTCCACATTCATTCCGACTTCGTACCCGAACCTGCTCTCGCCAAGCTTGCTGGCGATGTTGGCCACAAGTTGAGGGACTTCATCACCAAGCGGACCCACGACGGCCTCTTGTACTACACCTGCCAGCAAGACCTTAACACCGTCGAGCTCGCCACCATCGTCGCTTTCCGCAGCCAGTTTCCTTGCTTCGATTTGGAAGCCGATTTCGGCATGGTGCAGGCCAACATCGTCAAAAACCGCCCACTTGAATGTGGCGACCTGGACAGCTACCTGTCGCGCCGGCTTCAAGACTTGGGAACTCATCCGTGCCAAGACGCAACTATCTTCCAAGAAGACAAACCCAAGATTCTATACTGGGGAAGCAACCACCTCATCGCCGTGGACGAAGAAGAAGAAGCCAGCGAGCGTCTCATCAAGAGCATCGACAAGATCACTGTCAGGCTCTGGGAAGAAATGGACATGGATATTACAATTTACATCATGGAACTTTACGACGAAGTTCGCCAACAATTGGCCAGAATAAAGTCTGAGAACAGCAACTTCTCGGGGAAGGAAGAAAAGACTCGTTCCAAGTACTTCGACGAGACTGACCAGGTAGACATCTTTTGCCCCCTGTGCCGAGATTCTGTGCCGATCTGCACGATGGAACAGACGAAGCGTCACTGTCTTGCTTTCGGCCACAACTTCCTCGAAGTCATCGAGATTTTGGAAGAGAAAGGTAGAACTCTGCGCGCCCGTGAGTTCACTAGCGACGAGGTCAAGCCGCCCCCGATGCCGACCTGCCCCGACTGCGACGACATCGCCGAGTGGTGGGACGCGATTTATCTGCATAACTATAAATTCCACGAGGGAGACCTCGCCGATAAGCTTCACGGATTTCAGCTCTTGGGATATCTCGTATGGGTCGGTTCTCGGGAGCCGCTGCCTTGCGAGCGCTGCCGGGAGTCAAATGGAACCAACACGACTCTTCTTACGGTGTGCGTCGCTGAGAAGCACCACGTATATGAGCACATGCAAAACTGAATCATGTCTTCTCTAGCCAAAACTGGTTTTGCGGGCTAAGGAGGGATCGGATCAGTTTCTGCGGCTGGCAGATTCGGATTCGCGTCAGCTGTTACCGTTAAGACCGTCATGGAGATACTGGGATGGAGATATCGTCGCAGAGGAAACGGGAACAATTGGCCGCCATCGAAAATCGAAATGCGCAAGTATCTAGAGTCAGCCCTAAGTTAGGAGAGGCTGTTTGGAGGTAGTCCAGGGACACCTCAAGTTTTCTTAGAAAAGAATAGTCATTCAACTCCAAGTACTACCATATGAAAGCCCGCTCGTGAACCGAACTGCTACGACATTGATCTCATTACTAAAATATTTCGTCCAGACTGGAAAGTGAGCATTCGAAATGCTAACAGCGACGGTGCATGATTTTGAAGAGTATGCGCTATTGATTATTCTGCGTCATCATTACTAAATCAGTGTAAGCCGTAATAACCTCGATGACTACCCTCCATATTCGTCGTATTACTATCGGAAGTGTTCTTGCATTTATTGTGGACTGCCTCGAGGTTTATTCGAAACACTGATGGACTTGAATGCATACACCCGACCTTCCGCAAACGTGAGCCACAAAACCTGTCCTCGTGGCTGCTTTTGTAAGAAGCATTAAGACCAAATTCGCTTGAGCGATCTTAACCAGAATTGCAGAGGTTCTTGAAAGCTTTTGGGCTTTTTCTGATACTATTGCGTTGATTCAGTCGTCCGACTGGGTGCACCTCGACCTCCTGATTTCTCGCTACAAGGAGCCATTCGGCGCGACAAGTCGAGTGACAGGCACGGAGTCTGATGCTCTTCTCAATAGCTTCAAAAAGTAGATCGAGAAGGCCCAGGACTCGACTGAGAGCATGAAAGAGTGCAGTGCCCTATCTAATATGACTTGGTTCTTTTGGGGCCTATGAAGTCGTCGTGCTTGGAGTCGTCGTGCTTGGAGTCGCCGTGCTTGGAGTCGTCGTGCTTAGAGTCGTCGTGCTTGTTGTTGTTGTGCTTACTATTGTTGAGCTTACTGTTACCATCCTTACAGTCGTCATCTTTGCTGTCACCGTCCTTGCTATTACCGTCCTTGCTATTACCGTCCTTGCTATTACCGTCCATGCTGTTGCTGTCCCTGCTGTTGCTGTTATTACTGCTATTGTTTCTGTTCTTATTGCTGTTGCTGTCGTTATTGTCGTTGTCCTCGTCGTTGTCCTCGTTATCGTCCTTAGTTTATTCAGCTTACATTTAAAAATAACAAGCGTATATCAATATATAAAAGATATCGTTTTAATGATTCTATTGTTGTTCTGTTTGGGTGTGATTGATACCTCTAGTAGCCCTAATACATAAAGTGAGTAAAACTTAAATACAACTCTCAAGGTTCCAACCTGCTCTGTCGGCCTGGTTCGCCACCTCGAGGCTCTACCCTTTCCGGCTCTCTCCAAATACCACACATCAACGGAGACCAAGTCATCAGAATGTCTCAGCATCAAGCACCTGTTGCCGGCGGTATCGTCGATGGATTCCGATGTGGCTCCGTCTTCGCAAACACGGTCATAAAATCGTTGACGTCTACAAACGGCGTTGCGATGCAACCTGAGGACCCGGACGACAACCAAGCTGCCACGCTCAACGCATACACCAGATCAATTATCGACATCTGTCGCAGCGACGTCACTGGGTTTTGGGATCAGCAAAACTTCACATTCAGCGCTCAGGATGACGATTTGGAGGGGGCTCGGGATGGGCGAACGGGCATCCTGTCCGATATCCCGCCGAGTCACTTCAAAGACCGGTGGAACCAGATCGTCGATGTCCCATATGCCGAAGACGTGTCAACGAAGATCTACCTGGACCCTCATCCAAGCAACACCAGCGAGACCGTCACAGCACAGCTTGGACCTACAGGAGGCATTTCTTGCCCTGCAGATCTGAGGGAGGACATGGCGACCGCCATGATCAGCGGCGATGTCCCCAAGATGGCTTGGCTATTCCGCCAGGCATGCCCGGGAGAATGGAGCAGAGGCTGGGGCGTAGGTCTCAGCACCATGCTAAAAGATGCAGCCAAGCACGGGATCGAACCGGAGAAACGGCGTGTCCGTCGCCATATCGATATCGCAGAGTTCGTCAGATATCGATGGCAATTGGCGGAAATGGCAGACTCTTTCGTACAAGAGCACAAGCTTCGAAAGCCCAACAATGACATATGCATACTCTGGAACGATTTGGAGTGGTCGGTTTCCGCACGTCAAACGATCCCTGGATATGGAGACCGATTTGGTGAGGCCTTCAGTCACCTTGTCTACAAGCGGTTCAACCCCGAACCAATGCGTTCCCAGGGTCCCCCCTTCGACCGATTTACCCGGTACATGGCTGCGGCCATCGCGCTGACGGACCTTTCCCAGGAGGAGAACGACCGGGTCCTTCAAAGCTTGGTGTGGCAAATGGATCAGTACAAGGAGTTTTACAAGAAAATCTGTGTCGAGGACAAGGGAGTTCTCCAAAAGGGACGAGAATGGCAAGAGGCAATCGGACGGTAGTATCGTCGGTCACTGGATAAGCTCGTGAGATGAAAGTGGTGTGGTCACTATCATGTGCGTTGATGGCTGGGATGCCACTCCCAACGCTAGCCTGCCCCTTCTGCTCCGAAATCGCTGAGTGGTGGGACGCGATTTACGTACACAATCACTTGCATTATGATGCAGATCTCATAGAGAAGCTTAACGGCTTCTAACTCTCATTGTATCTTGGATGGGCAGTTTCGCGGGGCCCGTTCACTTGCTTAGACTGTAAAGAGGCAGTTGGGAGCAGTAAGATATTTCTTATGTAGCCGTGGAAAACCACCAGACGAGTTTTCACAGCGGTCGGGATGTATACATGTCCTGGCACTAGCATGAGCTACGTTTCAAGTCTCTGAAGGAGGATTCGGATAGATTGTTTGGGAGGTTCATCTGGGATACACGAGAGGCCTTATAAAGGATAAAGGCACTACCCAAAGTAAGACGGGCTGTTTCCCCATGTATCTAGATCCAGCCTTAAGTCAGGGGAAAATATTCCCAGGGAGCCCAGAATGTCATCTTACATGTAGCCTTTCAAGAAATGCAATCGACTTTACCGTAACCTTACGCATCATCACCCGATGAAAAGAGTCTTCCCCGTATTTGCAACTCGCTGCAATTTGGCTCTGGTCATAATATTTCTTGTTGTCTAGAGCTTGGGATTGTGAGTTCAATTCGAGATAGCGCAGACTGCCAAAGCGTATTTACCATCGTTGCAATGTCGCAAGCTACGCCATAAAGCAAGACCAACACCGCAAGGACTCCAATGTTCACCCTATATTTACGCCTCGCTGTGGTCAGTAGACTTTTTCTTGCTTCTGAGATTTGTTTGGCGTATTGGTCGTAATGTGAGTTGGTCTATTAAGGGCGTCTTCTTAACAAGAGAGTACTGTTATATTTTTCATTGTTGCTTTCGTTCTTGCTGTCTATGTTTTTGCTACCATCGTTGCTGTTCCTATTATTGTCGTCGCCATCGTCGCTGTCGTCATCGTCATTGCCTTTATTATTGTCTCCGTTGTCTTCATTGTCTTCATTGTTGTCGTTGTCTTCGTTGTCTTCGTTGTCTTCGTCCTTGGTTTATTCAGCTCATATTCCCAGTGTATCGCTACGTAACTGGGATGTATATAGTTTCTATTATTGTTCAGTTTGGTCTTGATTATGGTGCTGCTATGCTCTGGTTGCGATTGTCCCCACCGGCATGACCAATCGGGAAAGTGGGCCACATCGGAGCGACGGCCCCACTCCACTCCGAATATCAAAATTGCCGGCGCTCCGGGCCCGCCATCCGCCTTCGTCTTCACAAGGTCACCACACAACGAAACATTGAGTTATTGGTATCATTCAACTTGATATTGAGAAGTTACGTAAAGGTCATGTACACATTGCGCCAGGAGCCCCGCTTTTCATTACCCTTGCAGCCGATTTCCTTAGAAAAGCGCGCCACCCAACCGGATCGCGACGGACTTGTTCTGGGTGTAGTTCGCGAGAGCTGCCTCGCCCAGTTCTCTGCCGATACCTGACTCTTTGTATCCACCGAATGGGACACTGTGGTGCAACATGTTATAGCCTGAGCGACGCGTTAGTAAATGCCGTTTGAGGGATGCCAGATTGAACACGGTCCGATGCGAAATCGTAGTCCGCCGGGGAATCCCGCGGGCAGACTCCGGTCACGCGTGAAAACCAAACAAAGATGAGAGGATTATTCGACTTACAGTTAACCCAAACAGTACCAGCCTTCAACTTGTTACCGACACGCAGGGCGGTGTTCAAGTCCTTGGTGTGGACGGCGGCAGCCAGACCGTATGTGGTGTCGTGGGCAAGCTTGAGGACCTCCTCTTCATCCTTGAACTTGGCAATAGCGCAAACGGGGCCGAAGATCTCCTCTTGCATGATCTTCATGTCGGAGCGGACGTTGGAGAAGATGGTGGGCTGGATGAAGTAGCCCTTGTCACCGTGACGCGCGCCACCGGTCTCGACGGTGGCACCCTCATCCTTGCCGGCCTTGATGTAGCCCATAATGCGGTCGAACTGGAGCTGGGAAACCTGGGGACCCTGGAAGGTCTCGGGGTGGAACGGGTCGCCGACCTTGTTCTGCTGGGCACGCTTCTTGAAGGCGTCGAGGAACTTGTCGTAGATGTCCTCCTGAACGAAGATACGGGTACCGGCACAGCAGCACTGGCCGTGGTTGTAGTAGATACCGAAGTTGACCCAGGAAATAGCCTGCTCGATGTCGGCGTCGTTGAAAACGATGTTGGGGGACTTGCCGCCAAGCTCGAGGGTAACCTTCTTGAGGTTAGAGCTGGCAGCAGCCTTCATGATCTGGCGACCGATGACGGTAGATCCAGTGAAGGCAACCTTGTCGATGTCCATGTGAGAAGAGATAGCGGCACCAGCGACCTTGCCGAAACCAGAGATGAGGTTGAAAACACCAGCGGGGAAGCCGGCCTCCTTGACGAGGTTGGCGAACACAAGAGCAGACAGAGGAGTCTGCTCCGCAGTCTTCATGACAATGGTGTTACCAGTGGCCAGAGCAGGGGCGATCTTCCAGGACAGCATGAGAAGGGGGAAGTTCCAGGGAATGATCTGACCGCAAACACCAATCTGCATTGGTTATTAGCAAAACTGCCTTGAATGCCTGGAATCCGTTGACTGATACTCACAGGCTCAGAGCGGGTGTAGTGGAACATGTCGGGGGCAACATCGATGGTCTTGCCCTCGATCTTGTCGGCCCAACCACCGTAGTACCTCAAGCAGCCGACAACAGCACCAACATCGCCCTTGGCCATGGAGATGGACTTTCCGTTGTCAAGCGACTCAACAGCGGCAAGAAGCTCGGCGTTCTTCTCGGCGAGGTCGGCGAGCTTGAGGAGGTAGATGGATCGCTGGTTGGGAGTCGTCTCCCTCCAGACACCCTCGAAGGCCTTGCGGGCGGCCGCCACAGCGATGTCGACATCCTTCTCGGTGGCCTCGTGAACGGAGCAGATAACCTCCTCGGTGGAGGGGTTGATGACCTCGAAGGTCTGCTTGTCGACACCCTCAACCCACTCGTTGTTGATGAACCTGTGGAACGATCCTGTCAGTTGAAGCTTCTCACGCGGGGTCGAGAGGGGTTGTCGTACAGTCCCGTGGGCTGGGTGTAGGCGCCCGTCACCGGGGTCTTGAGCTCAACGGACAAACCCATTGTGATAGATGTGTTAAAACAGACGAAACAAGAGAATTGGTATCAAGGTATCACGAGAAAAGGAAAAAGTAGATTCGTTTGATGGGTTTGGAGGTTGAGGAGTTGTGAGAAGTGAGAGAGAGGAAAGTTCAGACCCGGGGCAGCTGGGGACGATAGGACTGTATATAAAGCGGGGTATGGGGGACAGCTGGGGAGGAAAGAAGTCCGAACAGTGACGCCAACTGGGTTCTGCGTCGCGAAGCCAGACATCAATGTCGGAGGCGAAGGCAGTGCGGATGGACCTTAGCGTGGGTAGCTCGGCGGGGAGGGGGAGGGTGTGCGGAAGGGGGGGAACCTGGGTGAGGGGGAATTGTGCAGCAGCACAATCCCGAGGCCTGGTCTGCGGAATCACAAATGGGCATTGGACAGCAGACAACACATCCATGAACCGGCGCGACGTAAAGCAATGACTCTCAGTGGTCTGGACTGGAGACAAGCTCTCCACACAACAGCCAGACACGCATCTGCATGCTGTATTCAGATGGAGTATTCGTACATGGGTAATTCTAGGGGCCTTCAGGGCTCTTTTGGCATCTGTAGACAGCGGCCAGACACAAGTCAAGGGAGACAGAAACACACAGACCTGGAGGAAGTGACCGGGGTCGATGGAGGGGGAGAGGGGCAAAATGCCAGGCCTGGGGACTTGGAGTGCGCCTCCTATGCAAGCTTCCATGCAAGGGAGGGTGCCGCTTCGGGCCAACGCCTGTTCCTCTCGGCCACCTCGAGACGAGTCCCCCGGTCCCTTACGCCCAGAGTTGATATGAATCCCGCGTTTCCAGCCGAGGCGGTCATCTTCCATCCAGTAACCCGCTAATCTTTGACACAATTATTTCGGTGTTAACTGATAGATGCCAACATTTCGGCCATTAGAAACACGCAGAGGAGTTGTGTGTGGATGATGCCTGTTGATTCGGCTCAAGTTTGTCCAAAATGCCACCCGAATTGAGTTCCCCAACCCACCCATTTCTCAAGTCTCCCGTTCCCCCAGGTTCAGTCGCAGCAACTGGAAACCATAACCGCGTGATACGAGAAAGGAAAATTAAAGACGGACTGCATGTCGTTTCTGTTGTGCTGCCGCGACTGAGCCTCCAGTCTGAATGCCGCTTAATGATGTTCCTGTGCCTTCGCCACCACTGAAGCATCTCCAGACCCCTCTCCGCTTCTCCTCTTCAGGGCGCTTGTTACCCCGCATTTCTCCATCACAGGTTGCGTCTTCCATCTTGGAAGTGCCCAATCATGTTTCGTCCAAAATGTTGCAGCAGCCACACCCGCTTCAAAGCGGTTCATCTGGCACACAAGCACACGCACATTTATGGACCGATTGCATAGCCAATACGTTTGTTACTGGCCAGGGCCGATCTTCGGTTGTCGATAGCTGGCCTTGGGAGAGAGACGCTATGACAAATGCGCCGCCCCTGTGCATCCATCTTCTTGAGGTGTCACCTAGGAAACAGACGGGTTCTTACTGCTGATCTTGCACAAGATACCAGCACATCGTGGCCACCGCATCGCAACTTCACCGTAATGATGTTGCAATCGTTCGTCCAGCAGTTGAGAGTTGTGTCTGGCTTAGCAATGCACTATTGAAGCTAAACTGGATTACCCCAGACCTAACGGCATAAAGCCGCCTTCGATGCCGATCACCTTGAATTACAGACGAATCAACTCCGCTGGCTGGACGGGCGGAAGTCTACCGCGCAGGAATGTGTTATTACTAGGCAGATGCGAATCAGCAACTGCAGTCAGCAACGAGCTCGCCGTCCCTCGTCTTATGCTGATACCCTGCCTTCGAGTCAGAATGGCAATGCTTCAGCTCGGCATATGAGACGAAGGAAGCTATCCAGCCGTCTCCAAAACCCGTCTGGAGCCCCAGAGAAACCAGCCCCAGGTTGCTAGTTGCCAGGTCACAGCAAGAATCTCCCCCCTCCACCCCACCTCTTCCACCCACCTTGACGACACATGTTGGTGGCTGCGTGCATGCTGCGCTCCAGATACCTTGAAGGTTACTATTAAGATTACCTCCTGAAGCGGAGGAATGACAACAGTGATCCACAAGCTCTCCAAGTTTTCCAGCTTAACGCCGCGCAGAGATCGTAGGAGATAACGAGTGAAGAAGTTTTCAGTCAAGGAGACATCACGGTGCTTTATGCCACGAAGGCGAGGTCGATGCCCCTCCAGTCTCGGGTTGTCATTGCTGCTGTTTCCCGGGTCCTCATTCTCGGCCCAAAGGCCAGCGAGATCCCTTCTCTCGAGTTCCCCCGCACAAAAGCTAGGACTCGTTAGGTAAGAATGGGGGTGTCTGTAACATCGGGGGATGTCGATATATCATTGTGCAAACGCCGCGTCGGCGCTTCTCTTTTTCTGCTGGTCGTCGTCTCCAGACTCCCATTTCTCCCTCTCGTCACTGCTCTGCGGCTCCCGACGCCCCGATCCCGAATACCCCTGCTCCGCGCTTCCTTGTCCCCGACATCATTCGACAGCAACGAACCCTCTTGGCCGAAGCCGTAGGGGATTTGTGGGGAACTGGCTCGGTCTGATGGCAGTTTCACGGCTACACGGAGCTCCATTTCTTTGGGGGTTTTTCTGCTGGCAGCGCGGGCGTGGACGGTGGAGCGATTTCGATTTTGGAGGGACGCAAATAGCATCCGGCTTCGAAACCTTATTCATCGTGTCAAAACCCCGTTCGACTCGAGATTGTCGTCTTCAGCGTGTGCCAACGTGTGCGTGTTTCCATTTAGCGATGCTAACCGCGCGTAGCCCCCCCTCATTCTCCGGCGCGGCGGCGGCCGCCAAGATTCCGACTCGTCATGTCGAGTTCCGATAATCTCCCCGGTTCCGATTGTCAGCTTGTCATGCTTGGCCGTGCTTAATTCCGGCGTGTTGATCAGTTCCGATCTGCTTTGTAATTCTACGACTCGACGTCTGCTTGCACGGAACCATGAGGGGATCTGCGTCTGAATAGGTTAAAAGAGCCGAGACGTCGGGACTGCTTATCTTGTGGATCGAGAGGTTTGAGGCTTCTCAACGTCTATTCCGTTGACCAATGATTTACTCATCTGGTGCAGCCAAGCCGCCGTCTAGTACAATGGTCGGCTCGCGATCCGGTCGGAATTGGTCATCTTACAAGCCGTTTGACATGGTTCGGAAAGCAACCTCAGCTTCCCCAGACCCCGCAACTGCGGCTTGGGTACTTTTCGAACGAACTGCTTCACTAGAGTTTGCGCATTTTGTCAGATTTGTAATGAACACGCGCTTGACAGAAGTTTGGTTGAAACAGTCAGGGTCTGTTCCTGAACTTCTCTGCAGAACAACTCGGACGCTCCCGAGCCCAAGCGGGAACATGGCTTTCGTCGATGTAGCTTGCCGTTCGTTGAAAGAAGAGTACTAATCATATTACATTACAAGAGGCCGGATAGTGAGGCCCTTCAAGAAGGGCCCGACAGACGAAGAGGCTGCATGTACAAGAAGCAGCGAGCGAGCAGGCCGCCCTCTGAACTCGTCCTCTAGACCAACACCGCAGTGTATGTTGTAAGAAGCGAGCCCAGACCCTACATGTCAAGCTCGACCGGGGTCAATTGCGGTCGGCAGTGGCTTGGCCTTGTGAGACTGTACCGCTCCTCCGGGTTCTTCATGTTGGCACCGAATCAGATATCTGAACGGTTACACGACATCCTTCGGCCGAAAGGCGAGCATACCTGACGAGCCGGTGGTCCTGAACATATGGTCGTTTTCAATGACGTTGCTGTATCCTTCATGTCTACTTCAGCTTCATTTCATGACAACCCTTACGACATTGGTGATGGTAACATTCCGCGGCAATAGCCTCCAGCTTTGGGCCATACTAGATTCGGTGAGCTCAGGGTGCTTCACCTTATTGCTTGTAATCTCACTCCGGTATCGATAAGCTCATAGTCAGCACTTTATCGCATGGCTTTTGCTTTATCTGTTGCAATCAATCCGACATGTCCATGTCCAACAGCTCTATTCGCTGGGCTAACCAAATCATTCTGCTCGTGAACGTTGGAAGGACCAGTTCTCTGAGGAAGAGCTCAGCTACGAGCAGTAGAATCAATCTCATAAGATGACTCCATGCTGGTATCATTGGTATGAGCAAGTGAGATCATGTCAGACAAGACGAGAGGGCAGGCGAGTGATTGAAGTCACGCCAGCTGAACGTGGGACATACTGAGGTAATACTTGCAGTCAAGAGAGTCCCGCATGAAAGCTTTCACATACATCTAAGTGAATTTGAGGGTTGATAAAGTTGTTCGAAAACTCTCTCACAGCACGTCGCGGGTTTTACTCAATGAGTCCGATGCCGTTGAGGAGAGCACATCCGCTACAGTGGCTGAGCTCGCCTACCATCCGTTCGCATCTCCCCTCAACGCGACGCATCGGATCACTCACTCTACTTTCCAAATTGAGTCAAGGTAGTATACAAGTGTTGCTGGCAGTATTGACAGATACAGAAAGTGGCCGAAAGCCTACGGAACAGACGTTGAACTCTTGGTCCTCATATATATGCTTGTAGGGATGAGAAGTACCGACACCACCGTATAGAGGCGACGCTACTTAATGATAAGTGAACACGATATAGATTCTTTCCTCCTCGGAGCTTCATCAAGTGAAACTCACGTCGTTGCCAAGGGCACAGTTCGCCATGATCTCGGCGGTATCGAATGGCAGAACTGGGCCGGTAAGCGGTGGACTTGATTCGTCGCCTTAAGTAAGAGCTGGAGAACACATGTGACTGGGATCTGCAAACCCAATGTGCAACGTGAAGAAGAATGACGTCACGGTTCATAGATTCCTCATTAGCAACAGATGCAATTGTTGATGGGAGCTCTGTCTGATGAACATGGTCAAATTCACCTGAGCGGATCATCTCACTGCCAAACACAGATGCGGTTAGTGTAGATGAGAGTGGCCACACAAAGACTCCAATTGACTTCCTGAGGCTGCATCTCCAAAGTCGCATCAGATAAATTCTCACTAGAACGGAAAAACTCCTAAAATGAGGGGCTGGGAAAGAATCGGCGGGATGGCGAAGGCAGCTCCGAGGGGTACTTCAGGGACGGAGGAGCTTCGAGGAAAGAAAGAAAAAATTGTTGCGATAAAGTGAAAAGAGCGGGACGAGCGCACTGGCCACCCCGGAGTTTTTAAGTCTCCAGACCAATCATGTCGCTTCCTTTGCCGTCGACAAGCGGTGAATTTTTTCTGGAATTGGCAGGATCTTGTGTATCGGGAGTGACATCTTCTTTGGGGCAGATTATAAGGGCATCGGAGGTCGGACTTTCTTCCAAAAAGTTTTTCCGCCCATCTCGCGAGGACCCCAAAGATCACGATAGAGACCGCCAAACCACCTGCGCGGCCCTCAAACCGCCCGAAAAAGCTGTCTCCGTGCTTCCAAATGCTCATGGAGGGCATTGAAGCTATTGCCGAGTCGGCTCAGCCCGCAAAGGCTGAGGCGCACTCGCCGACAGGTACGACTCGACCTCCAGCCATCCCACCCGACGAAGCTTTTCGCCGATCTCCAAGACCTCGATAACGTCCGGCAACCGGTTGGATTACGTCGCGAAACGTGCTGACAACGTTCGCAGGTCCCGAAATGAAGCAGGAATCACCCAGTCTCACGACCGACCTGGGCGAGACCCCTCCATTCCCACTCAAGCGACCCCGCGATCCGAGCCCCGAAGACGCTGATGCCGAGTCTAAGAGGTTAAAAGTCGACGAGGAGGAACCTCTGGATCTGGGCTTTGATATGGACGCCATGATCCAAGACGTCATGATGAACATCAACGAGGTGGGCAAGGTGGACGGTCTTGACTCTGGCCCGGACGTGGATATGTCGGCAGACCCTCTCGCTTCTGTGTCGCAAGAACCGCCGTCGTCTACCGAGTCGCATACGGCCGTTCTGTCTGAGCCGCTCGCCTTGATGAGGCGCACGACTACCTCCTGTTTGTCAAACTTCGTACGTGGCGGTCTCGTCATTCTCGGTGGCTGCGCTAATGCTTCTTCTGCAGGGTTTGCAGCTGCTTGTGATCCTGTCGCAACATGTCTTCGACGACGTCTACCGACAATTACAGGAAAAGGACTCGGAGGTCTTCAAGTCTTTTACCATGATTAAGTCTCTTTTCCAGCAGACCCGCGCGATCTACTCCTCGACCGACCTTATCCTGGACCCCGCCACGCTGGACCTGACGCTTCCCGACAACCTGACCGACGTCCAGGTTGCCAACCTCGCAAGCTTTTGCTGCTCACTTTTTTCCTTCGACGGACACCACGATTCTACTTCGAAGGAGCTGCTTGCCCTCCAGGACAACTTCTTCTCGGTTTTCTTGCCTGGTGGCGAGAACGACACCGTAACGAACGAAATTTCCGATCTTTTCGTCGCGGTCAAGACACACCTCGTCATCGACGCCGTTACTACGGCAGATCAATCTGCACCAGTCGATCAGTTAATTGCGGACGCTTTCTCGGCCGATCTGGAGGATCAACTGCGTGCTCGACATGGGGGAACAGGCTTGACGAACGAGGAACAAGCATTGGTTACTGCTGTTCAAGAAAGGAAGGCGGCCTTGATATCATACGCATCGGGCCTGCCAGACACTGGTATGCCACTAAGCATAAGTCTTCTGGGCCACAGCTGACGGTTTTTGCACAGTTCTTCTCAAGATCGGTTACCCAGATGAAGACCTTTTCAGATTACTCAATTTGTACCTGCGCCGCAAGCTGCAATCCCTCGCGGGACTCGCCTCCAGGCATGGCATCGAGCTTCCGCAAACAGTGACGAATGGGGAGTTGGAAGCATCAATGTCCCATGACTTGGACGACCTAGGCATTTCCTCTTTACTGGAGGCGACCGATGGCCTCGTTGCTCAGTACCTCCCGACCGATACTATCGACGGCTTGCCTAACGATCAACCACCCGTTCCGACGACCGAGGACAGTGTTCCACCGGCAGAGCCCCCCGCGCCTGCACCCGAAACTACACCCGCCCCACCGACCACGAACGGCCCTGTAACGACCGAGGCTCAAGATTCGAACGACATCCTCGCCCTCGTGGCGCAGAGCACTCAGGAGTATGTAAGAACAACTCTCAACAATCTGTCGCCAGCACCATACCAGCCGACTGTTCCCACGCCCACGGGAGCAGCCCCCGTTGCGCAGACGACGTACCTCTCTCATTTGCAGCAAACCCAGGCACAATCACCATACTACGGGTATTCCCCGCAAGTCGAGCAGCCGCCGCAGCCTGCCTCCCATGACAGCTCCGAGAAGCTTCCTCCAAGTCAGACGTTACCAAGTGCTGTGTTATACGACAGAGCCAGACAAGCTGCGTTGAGTAAGACCAACAACCAGCAGAGACGAGAAGGCACCACGTCAACAAGGCGGCCCTGGACCCAAGAAGAAGAGAAGGCGCTGATGACGGGTCTGGACATGGTCCAGGGACCTCACTGGAGTCAGATTCTATCACTCTTCGGCGCTGAGGGCTCGATGTCGAATATACTCAAAGATCGGACTCAAGTGCAGCTGAAGGACAAGGCACGCAATCTGAAGCTCTTCTTCCTGAAGACAAACTCGGAGATGCCATACTATCTACAAGCCGTGACGGGAGAGCTCAAAACCCGAGCCCCTACTCAGGCTGCTCGGAAGGAGGCTGAAGAGCGAGCTCGCTTGAACTCAGAGGAGGAGCAAGCGCGCGTGCAGGGGATCATGACTCTTGCTGGCGGCCTGCAACATCCTCAACACCCGCAACATCCCCAGCATCAGCAACATCCACAGCATCCCCAACACCCTCAGCACCCCCAGCAGAATCGGGCGAGCGCAGCACCCGCTACCGCGCCCAGCACGCCTTCACGATCTGCGGCACACATGGCGCACCACATGGCCCACGTTACGACACCAACCCACGCCGCAGTGTCCGGTCCGCCAGCGACACCTGCAACCGCAACCCCGGCGCACCATCAAGTGCCTGCCTCATCGCCTTATGCGGCAACCGCGGCTCAGCTATCTCAGACCCCTCATGCGCTTTCTCACACCCAACCACAAACCCCGACCCACTCACACATCCAACATCACTCTCAACCCGGGACGCCGCAGCCACAAAATCACCAGCAGCAGCAACACCAGCCGCAGCCGCAGCAGCAATCGCACCAAGAACATGTGCAGCAACCGGCTTCCCAGCCAGCAGAGGCAGTGTCTCAGTACTCGGCCGATGCGTCGGCGGCAGTGTACAGCCAAGAGAACGACGACCTCAAGGAGGCGGCGCTCATGCAAAGTCTGCGCGAACTCGAGGCGTACAGCGGCAGTGCCAGTATGTCTTAGAGTGACGCTTATCTTAACGCTCAATACCATTATCAACCACACATCTTCGCCAACAGTCTCGACACCCTTATCGATTGGGATGGCGCCTCCGACGAGACGTCAGAAACAATGATCGATGGCCCCGACTGGAGACACGGCAACGCTTTTGCCGATGTCTAGGCACCTACCCCTATCCGATGGCACCTCTGCCTCTAATACGGCTATATATAGATATGGATGATCTCGAGTTTCGCCGGACAGCGCGCCGCCACGGAAGGTGCGTTGAGCGCGGCATCTACTTTTTTGCCTCTTTTGCCTTTTTTTTGGAAGAGGAAGTGTTGTTTTACAGACTTGTTCAGGAGAGGAATTGCGGGCATTTTCAGGCGACGGGGATTGGAGAAACCACACAAAAGTTACAGAGGACAAAAGGGCGGCACCAAAAGCGATTTTCTTGTTTGCTCATGATACCACGAATGACAGAGGAATAGGAAAGGCGACGATGACGGGATCGCCTTGAGTAAGAGACAAGAGAGTACGTATTATCAATACGGTACGAATAAAAAGAAAAGATTACTGCAACGCTCGGTTCCAACAATGTGTCGATAGCTAAATGGGTGCGGCGGGAGAGGTGACTGCTCTTGCGAATCCGATTTGGGTAGGAAACTGATCTATGTAAATAAAAAGATGTCATCGCATCCTTCTCGTATGTAGAAGCGGACAGGTTTGTCCTATAATTGACAATCCGAGGTCATCCCTGGAAGCTCTCGAGTTTCGACGGATTTGTCTGTCTGTCGCCGGACAGGGGGGGGGGGGGTCCACCTGAGCTGGCCGGCACACCATGAGCCTCGTTGAAGTCGCCGAATACTTGCATGACAGAGAAGAAGAAGAGAGACGACGCAGCTGAAGTGAGTTGGAACCTTCCCACACGGCCCATGTCACTTTGCAACCGACCTGTGCCATCCATAGTCACCGGAACACTTCATGACCAGGGCCGTCAAGATCAGAAGAACCGGAAAATTTGACTTTGTCTACCATGAACGAAGACTTAGTCTGAACTATATACATACCACAGCATCCGAAGCTTAGGTGCGAGTGGAGCTCTTTCGAAATGGCACGTTTTGCCTGAACTCTAGGGTTTCGACGCCATCCTCATCTGCGATGACTACCATTGAGATATCGAATTGCTTTCCAGAATGCCAGCCCTATTTAAATGGACATTATGTCCCAAAAACCTACGAACCGCAGCAAACCTAACACATTCTCTGACCCTCTTTAGGTGCTGGTTTCGCGGGAAAAGCTGAGGTGCTTTCATGATGCGTGCCCGTGATCTATTGGAACACTTGAACGCAGACTCAGCCTCAACGTTTCGTGTTTGGGAAAATTCAAACAAACAAGTATAATCATCCAGAGATGATGGACGAAGAAGAGCAACTATGGAAGTAACCTTTGCCTCACTGGGGTGTTTCACACTTTTCACTCCAAGATGTAGCGTTTATGCTGAGTGAATAAAGCTTGAACTCAACTTACTTGATGCGAGCTCCGAGGTCATGGTAGCCATCGAAAAACCCTCGCCCGTTCTCCTTCACTAAGTCAGGACGACGACGATATGTCTCCAGACTCCAGCAAAGGCATTCTTTGCCTTGGTACATCTGAGACCTCCGGATCTCACCTGCCCTTGCCTCAAACACTGACTGAAGAATGATCCCTAAGCTCTTCATCTTCGTGACCCAACCTTTCGGGTTGATCCGAGCTTTGGTCAAGTGGCCGTCTTTCAGTAATTGCGGTCGAGAGGCTAGGTCGCACCTTCCCATACCTAGCTACCTTATCTCTTGCCAGTTTGATAATGGCCTAAATTTAGGCAAGAGCCTCTCTATTGCGGTTACTTAGCCCGCCCAGCGGCCCCCGGAGGCCCCCCAGATGGTGGCGGTCCGCTTGAAGTTTCGCCAGCCACGCAGCGTCGAAGTGCTCGTAGGTTTCTCTTGAAAACCGTGTAAGGCCATTGACTCCGGCACCATGATATCAGGTTGTTGAGGCTACTCTCAATGTGGTCATGGGCGACGACACCATTTTCTCCCCTGCCTTTGACGTAAACATGTGGTGGTTGAATCTTCGGGACCATAGAGTCGAGAGATAATTGACACCAGCGCGTCCAGATCACAGCGGGTGACTTTTCTCTTTTGTCTTATTCATGATAGAATAACTTCTCAGAAGTGAGAAGGGACGTCAATGGCTGGAGAGAACGGCATGAACGATCCAAGATAGAAAAGTCAGTACCAGCGTACAAACGCAGTACAGAGAACCCATCGTTTTGAATAGTCATGTAACAATCGGAGGAAAAGGGTGATCAAGAAACTCATGTCGTCAATTTTGAACTTTCAGTGGCTCGGCGAAGAATGTAAGGCTCGATATGACCATCCAATCGGTAAGGTTCAGAACCTATAAGAATTCCTCGGGAGACAGTCACCTTTATTGAATGCAATCCCGCATCATAGTAATCCGAAATCTCTTCTACGCGGTGTGTGTCCGGCTGGTTGCAAGCACACAGATATGCCGCAGGCCCAGAAGTGTGTTTTAGTTGAAGCCCAATCATCCACAAGCACTCTTTGCTTCGAGATTTTTACAGGTATCTCAGGATCCTCAAACTTAGACGTAACTCCAGGGACTCTGGTTGTTATTATGACAGAATTCAATAGCTCCGGCACTCCTCAGCCATCAAGACAGACCAACCCAGGAGCGTCACAACCAAGATGGCGAACATAATCTGTCTGAGCCGCCAGCTGCAGCTCAGCTGGACACAGGTTCGACCAGCCTGGGAGCCTGTTGAATGGCTTCCAGCTTCGGATGGTGCTAGGCCGATGATTCGACTCAAATTGCATTGGTTGAGGAGAACTTCGGTTCTGTCGCTCCTCAACCCGAAACCTTTCTTGACAGCCCCTTGTGACATGTGTTTTGAAGAAAACTTACGGATTGTGAATATGCGGCCTGTTGAAGATGGGCGCGTTGTTGAGACTTTTGCCGATGGCAAGGATGGACTCCCTGACAGAGACCTATTGGAACTCAGGTGGCTTCTTCTACAGATATATAATTTCACAGGGGCCCCTGATCTTCAATTCCATGGTTTGGATGGTTTGAAGCTGGAGTTCTTGCGAAGATCCCCTTATATTTCAGCTAAAAGAAATAAGCCTAAGGGACGTGGAAAAGACGAATCATGATTGAGGATTAGATCATGCTGGGTACTCATAAAATCAAATTTAGAAATGTACTCACTAGATATTCACATGCGGTAAAACCGAACAAATGGAATGCATTTGCGCTGCCGAAAAGTTCTCTAGAATGACAAATCTAGCCAGGTTGGCTCACTCCCTACATATTTAAACTTGCGTTTTCGCGGGTTTATCACCAATTCAACATGAGGGGGCTTTCAGGACGTTGTGAAATTCAATTGAAGAAGAAGGAACCTCTGAGGCCCCTTCTTAGGACGATCTCTATCGCCCAGTCGACTACATACATTCGGCGTTCTTGCCTCGCTCAGAGGTCCAGTTGGAGCATATCCCCTGACACTCTTTGTCGAAGTCCGTTCCGATGCTTCCCGACGCAAACCTCTGTGCCCACCAACCCAATGAATCCGACGCAGGATCCGAGCCTACTCGACTTCCGTTGCGGAGTGATTGTTACCAAGCTGCTTCGGGGCAGATACTGTCAAAGAATTCAATGTTGGCTTCGCGCTGGCGGTCTAATTTCTCCATCAGAAGTACGGGAGGAGCTCGCAAGCCAGCGCAAACAAGGTACTGCATCAGATGCATTCCGTGGAGTCTCTCTTCAAGTTTTCCTTCGTGGGTCTGCGAAAAGTGCCATTCAATGGCGTCCCAAGTTTCGGCGTCTTGGCCGCATGCTGGACAAGAACACAGCCCGGTTGCTTTTGAGGAGCTTGCGGCGGCTTGGTCTCGATGGCGCAGACGGAGGACTTATCCTTGTCTTCCGAGTATGGAGAGGGCGGTAGCAAAAGTGTGACCCCTTTTTCGGCAGTGGCTGCGCAGCTGATCGAGACTCGAGACTGGCAGCGAGTCGTCACAGAAGGCGCAAACAATGTCGACCTGGTCCGGTTCCGAGATGATGGGGAAGCCGGAACTCGTGTATAAGATCTCCTTGCGGAACTTCTCACGGCCCTCGGCGAAGTCTTCAAGGGCTTTTATGATGCGCTCTCTGGTATGTACTTTGCAGTAGTAAACGAATTGAAGCACGTCGCCTCTCGTGATCGGCTTGTTGGTGTCGAAATAGTCTCTCGCATCCAATCCGTTGAAGTCGATTATTTCTTCCACAACTGCGCCCGGTCGCATCTTCTCCGTGAAGTCTCTTCCCCAGTAAGTGTGCTCAACGGCAGTAGGCTCTTGGAAACCAACAGCCGCATCTTCGTTTTCTTCCCATCGCGCGAATCTCTTTGAAAGATATTTGTCGAAGTCATGGCATCCCAAAGGAGCATGTTGGTCGAAGTAGATGTTAACATCGGCAGGAATTTCAGCAGCGCTTCGAAATTGGCTGCGAAAAGCTAGCAACATCGCCAGACCGACTTGGCTGAGGTCACCGTGGAGACAGGCCTGGTAGAGAAATCCGCGGTCTGGACGCTTGACAAGAAAGTCCCGAAGCTTTCGTCCAACGTCGCCGGCGAGGCGAGCAACACGCTCTCGGTCATCTTTGTCCATGTGGTCGTGAATGAGGCACCCTGCCACTTGGGCAGAGCGCTTGAGTACCCACTGGCGCTCGTAGTCGTTCTCGAATATGTCTTTCATGTCGGGAGGGTCTGAGGAAGACGCCATGTCGAGGGAAAGGGCGGATGCGCAGAGAGAGTCTGACGGTGGTATTTTCCGGCGGGTCGTGGATTTCGCTGCGAGATGAGGGTAGACGATGGAGTTGGTAATCCTTCGAAGTGTGATTATCAACGATATGGAATTCGAAGGCTGTTGTGAATGCGAATGGGGAAGTGGTGGTGCAGAGGAGGAAGTTGAGGGTTGGTGTTTGTGTGTGTGAGAAGTTTTTCATAGGTGAGATGGTCAAAAATATAAATAGAGGATAAGTTGGCAAGAGCTCCCGCAGCTGGAAATACGTAAGGAGTAGGGCACGTCTTTCTCTTTCTAGAAAAGATTTTTTTCTTGCGTTGCCGCAAAGTAAGGAAAACTCTTACTTCTTTCTTTAAGGTCAGAGCAGACATAAATATGACTTTTCAACATAAGTTTTGAACGTCTCTCTGGTCGCCAAAACTTCCACGTTCCTCCCAGGTTGTATGTATTACCGTAAATTGAACCACCAAGAACTTCCCTGGAACATCTTGGTTCGGGAGCATAAGCCAAGTAATCGTCAAGTGTTCAACCTGAATACCTGCCCAGAAAGCCTTGGACCTCTTGCCATCTTCCTGCTACCTCCGTAAAATCTCTTCCTCACAGCTTTATTTTGGAAGCTAATATCAGCGCCGTTTGGCGCAATACGATCATCCTTCACTTCGCTCTATTTGGAAAGACCGGTTTCCCTTACAAGAGCACCGTAGGCTGCATGTTACACCAGCGTCGGTTTCGAATCGGTCTTGAACGAATCTGTAGGCCCTCAAGGATGGCTCATCGTTTTACCAGACTGAGTTTCTTTGGCAGTGAACAACTTCAAGATCTCGGCTCGAAATTGAGGCGCGTTCTGTTCGATGCTCTATGGTGTTGAGTATCTAGCTAAGCGGAACGCTCTTCATTGCCGATACAGATCTTACTGTCGGTATTTAAATATCCACTGCCTTCTCTGTCTGTGTGGACATCTACAGACGTCAGTCGGAAGATCAACTCCATGGTCTTGCCCTATGAAAGAGGCGCCGCCTCAGCATGTTGTTTGCCGTTCGCAAGCTGGTAGTTTAAAGGGCAAGCGTTATCATCCACTAAATCCAAACACTCATGAAGTCCGTCACTCCTGCCCTTTATGTATTGGCTGGTGAATGTCGACAAATAATTTAGCGGTGGCTCACCTTTCTTCCGTTTATCAAGTTCAAGTGTGGGCAGCCAAATTCAGGAGAAACATGTATTTACGCTAATGTGAACGTGATTATACCTCAAAGGCTATACGATCAAAGCTTTTCATTGTGAACACAATAACTTTGTGTATTCAGTGACTTCAAGTGCTTCATTATAGCCAACTAGCATCAAGTCTGCGTTTACCAGTTTTAGAATTGTATTAGCTGAATATATTTCTCCTTGAAGATGTTTTTTATGGCTCTGAACCTATGAAGTCTCTTAAAGAAGAGGCTGTATTTTTCACTCTATTGTCTTGCTCAACCTCATCAACCTCATGTCTCTTTAATGATAATGAGAGCTCTCTGGCATTGCAATTCGCTAACATGCCATAATAATCACATAGTTGCGCAACTATAAAAACTTTCTGGGGGATTTCTCCAGGGTATATTATCAGGGACAACGGATTTTATCCAGGCGTCAGGAGCACCTTTAGAATGGCGTTCAACACTCTGTCCCCCAAACTTGTAGGTAGACTTCGATGGCAAATTCGTACCGCAACACTCGATATGCCGAGGAAGGCATCGCCTTTGGCTGGATTGTTCTCATGGCCCCGAAGCTCTGTAGACCTTACATGCTCAAGTGTCGTTTTAATTTAGTTCAATACGACATGCCAAGTTAAAACCGCTTCTCCAACGCATTCAGTAGGTGAGCTAACGGTGTTTTATCTTCAGGAATCCATGTCAATACCCTTCATCCTGAAATCTCACTGTCATACGGTTGGAAGAAAGTCAAAATGCACTTCAATAAAAGGTCTGAGACGGTTTTCGATGCCTCCAGGTGGAATCAAGTTGGAGACAATCAGAAGTTCGTGTGGTGAATCAACCTAGCGGAAGATAAACACAAATGCAAAGGCTGCTTGGCGATCTGATTAACAAACCTTCATCGGAGTCTCAACTCCATGCGAATTCAGGTGACAAATTATGTTACATGGCGTTATGGCAAAGGCTAAAGATTATGCTAGCAGTAAACAATATCTTCCTATCGTCAAGCAGGCGCAGGTCTGCCACTGGGAGAGTTCACATCGGGACAAGTCAAAACACCAGCCCACGGCCTGTTCAGTGACACGCCTAGCAGACAAAAGAAACCGCTCCCCCGTCCCTCGCCACAACTCTATCTGCCAGTCTCACATTCCCTCCGAGACAACATCACCGTCGGACCAGAAACGGCTACCAGCATCCACGTACGACCCTCCCCAAGGCACACCGCCGGCCGACCAAACATTCACCAAGCCCCTCCCTCGTACGACTCGAGAAATCTTGCTTCTCCTCCCCATCTCGCTTGCCACCACGAGGGAAAGCTTCTGATTGACTGGGTCCGTCCCATCAAACTCCGGACGGAGCCTCACATGAGCCAGCCAGCTCCGCCCTTCGTGCTCCCTCGTCCAAAGGTTGGTTGCCTTACGGGGTTTGACCACGTCATGTCAGGTTTGCCCTTTCACCATCAGATCTCAGATTCATTCACTCTTGTTATCTCAATTCACCAAAATTGCCTCACGGGTGCCTGCTCACCGACATTTGATAAGGATGAGGGGGAGGGGCGGGAGTTTGGCCGTTTTTAAACCCAAGCACCTCAGCATCTTTCCCTTCCGTCTGCGTGTTTTCGTTCAACTCTCGACAACTTGACGCGAGTCTCACAAAACAAGCCAAACGAACTCCTCTCACCTCTGACATCCCAATCTCTTTGTTGACTGTTGTGTCTATCGCATCGCCCACAATGGCATTCGGCAAGAAGAGACGCGTGACGCCGCAGGAGCTCGCCCGGCTCTGCAACTTCGCGACGCCCATGGGTCGCTGCCCCTATGCCAAGGTCACCCTCACCAAGGACGGCAACCGGTACGCTTCCGTCTACTGCAAGGTGCACTGCTGCAAGAAGATCGACAACGCCGCCGCGTGCCAGAACGTGAGGACCAACAACCGTGGATATTGCCATCAGCGTACTTGCCCCTGAACCCCTATCCTCTTGGTTGACTTCACCAAGTTTGCATGCAAACTAACACCTACCCGCAGACATGATGTGTGTAGGCACGATGAACGACCAACGCTGCACAAACTACGTCAAAGACTACGACCCAAGAACATTCAGATTTTGTTCCCAACTCCGTAAGCAGCACCCTTCTACGCCCTCTCAACTTACACCTGACCTCCCCAGACAACTGCACTCAGCCAGGCTGCGACAACCACCGTGTCCGCAATGGCGACGCTGATTTACGCTACTGCAACGACCACCGCTGCTCCCGCGCCGAATGCACCTCCCCGCGCGCCCCCGGCGGAAGCACCTTCTGCACAGCACACACCTGCTCCGCGCCTGCATGCCTCGCCTCGTGCCCCGGCGCGACCGGCGATGCCAACGACCCCTCCCGCTTCTGCAACCGACACCGCATGTGCAACGCCCCCGGCTGCCCGCAGTTCGCGCACGTCCGCGATAATGGAGTCCCGTCGAAGCACTGCGGTGCGCATTACTGCAGGTGGGAGGGCGAGGGGGGCTGCGACGGCCTGCGGGCCGCGATGGCGGACGGCGTCTGCGGGGACCACACATGCACGGAGCCCGGATGCCTTCGACCGAGGGATCATCGGAGGGAGAACTCGCAGTTCTGCAAAGACCACATTTGCAAGACGCGGGATTGTCGGTGGCCCAGATGGCTCGGGGAGTACTGCAACCGACACCAGTGTGGCAGACCTGGGTGCCCAAGAGAAGGAGAGCATAATCACTACTGTGACCGGCATCGTGCCTGCATCACTCCCGGATGTGATCGGTATCGGCAGGTTGATGGAGAGAATATCGGACAGCACTGCGAGGAGCGTAAGTTTGTCATGTCTTATCTGTGCTTCACCCTTCGTCGTCCGACATAAGGCAACACTATTCTGACGGCAAATTAGATTCTGGAGCCCGCTGCCGACTCCCCAACTGCGACAACCGTGTCGCCGCAGATAGAACGCTGTGCGAGAACCACGTCTGCACTCTACGGCACTGCGGCAATGAACGGGCCCTCTTCAGCAACGGTCTCTGCGCAGAGCACAAGTGTGCCGTCATGGCGTGTCCCCATGAGCGTGCCCATGTGAACCTCGAGGGCATGTTTGCCATGCTGGGTGCTAGAGGCGGCTTCGAGTGGAGGTCTGCGTACTGCAACGGCCACGCCTGTCGGGGCACTCAGTGCGTGGCCCAGGCCATCGAGAACACGCACTTCTGCCGGGCTCACACGCAGTGTCGGCAGCCAGGATGCACACAGGTCGTGGACCCGAACGGACACGATCCGACTGTCTGCGCGGATCATAATCGGGTGGGGCCTGGTGGAGCGGGAAGGCGCGGGGTGTTGGGTGGTGATCCGTATGGGTACGGGGGTGGTGGATGGCCTGGCGTTGGGGCTTGGGGTGTAAACGCGGCTATTTAGCAAGATCATAAGGTCTTTCGCGAGTCTTTGGGCTGGAGTATTGAGATCAAAAGTTGGCGGATGTCTGATTTTCGTTTTCGTACCTCCAGTAAGTTAGTAAGTCACACCTTGAAAACAAGAAAAACGGCTCGTTTCGTGATTGGAAGCAGTAGCCACAAGTTCGAGTCCTCCGCGTAGGTGCGTGCCGAAATGGGCCATTTCGCATCTGCGTGTCAGCATCTTTGTTGACTACCACCTGGCTTGTAGACTCATGCAAAGCCAATTTGCCACTGGCAGGAGGCAGCGATATTCGTCGGGTTCCCTTCAGGTCTTAACAAGACTCAAGATATGTGCCGTCAAGTTCTTTCTTCCAAAATCTGTTTTCGTCTGGCTGCCTCAGAGGCGTCGAGACACCAGAGGGAGAGCTGATTGTCGAAGGAACGGCATCCTGACCAGCAGAAACACGTGAAGTTGCAAGGGCGCTTTCGATAGCAGGGTAGAGACAAAGTGGACAATCCTCGTACGGCATTATTCGTCTGCCTAAAAGAGCTGGTAAGTCCTATGCGGTAGCCTTGCCGGGGCTATGTCGACGACCTGAAAGATGATGGAGGGTGAGTTGGACGTTGTTGGTTGAAGTTTGAAGAGAAAAAGAAAGAAAGAAAGTACGTATCGTTGCGTAAATCCCAATTGGGAAACGCGTACATGGTGGAGGCAGCCCAAGCGCAGCCGCGATGATTGACAGGGGCTGCACAGTAATCAGCACAAGGACTTATGCGGGGAATGACGTTATTCGTACGGAGACGCGAGACGCTCGCTTGAGGCTTCGGCCGCCAATCACCTGCCCAGCGCATTCTGATCTCCAATTTTCTCCAACTCCAACCTTCAACCAACAACGACATCACCAAACAACCACACCGGCTGGCAAGCTACAAAGAATCGCTTTATAGCTTATTTTAGAGCTGCATGAAAGGAACTCAACCATGCCCAGGTTTCATCCGTTCATCTCTTAGGTTTTTCCGTTTCGTGCTCACTAACCCCCTTGCTCTTCTCGCGATGACTGGGATGCGCAACCGGCGACTCGACAAGCTCAGCCCCGGAGCCAGTCCCGGATGACCTCCTCGGGAGTGAGACATGCCCCTCATGCGCTCGCGGCCAAACGACATCCCAAGTCTCACCACACTCAACTTGTGAGGGCCTCTACATGACTGCTACACACATCTTATGAGCCCTCGTTCGTCTCACTCCTAGGCCAGCGACCTGCCACCCGACACCGCTGCCGGCACCAACTACCCACCGTTGAAGGGGCCGTCGGTCGCAAGGGCGGAGGGTAAAGAGAAGACGAAGATAGTGTCGTTACCCATAACGCTCTTTCAACTAAACACGCATTTCTCCTGCCCCCAAACCCTCTATCCACACACACGTACTCACGCGTCAGCCACCGAACCGGCTCCCATCCCTCTCCTGCCCACGCGCTTGTGCCTCGTGGTCGCTGCCTCTTTTTGAGCAGCACACCTCGATGACTCGATTAATATTGAGGCACCCTTCGCCCTCAAGTCCGAGATGGCCTCCCGGGACGACGGTTTAGTCCTATGTCAGGGCACTGCCTTACATGAACGCTTTAAATCAAGCCTTACCCGCGTCCCGCTCCGGCCATGCCGCCGTCTCACCAATCCTCGTTCGTCCCCAGACCCTTAGTCTTCTGCTCCGATCACCTGCAATCTCTCTAGCCCTTGTGGGTTCTTGCCCGTCGTTACAGATTCCCATATCAAGGCCTCGATCTCTCCTTCCCCCAGGATCGTCGACCTCTGATCCTCACCACTTCTCCAACGGCTAACTTCAGAACTCGCAAGACACAAAGTCAACCAAATTCTCGATAGCCTCCTGCATTAGCTGAAAGCCACCGCAACTTACACCAAAGACCGCAAGCCCGGCGGTCTCCCTCGTCCCTACAGCCAGCGTAGGGAACGAGTAGAGAACCCTTCAAACACTTTCTACTTCGAAGATCCTTTCGTATGTCTGGCCGCCGCTGGTACTTCGAGTCCTCCCCGGACGGCCGCGAGTTCGTCTCTCTCAAGCGTTCCCGCTCGCATCATTATCACAGCCGCCATCACTATGACAGGCCGTCGCCGCCTCCCCACCGCTGCTGCCGCGACGACTGCTGCCATCTAGGCCGCGACGAGTGGAACGACCTCGTGGGACGTGAGCGCAAGCTCCGCGAGACCAACGAGTGTCTCGCCCGCGACAACCAGACTCTCAAGTGCAACTTCGAGGCCGCCGAAGCCGAGGCCCGTCGCCTCGGCGGCATCCTCCCGCTCCTCCAGGCCGAGAACCAGGCCCTCCGCGACGACAACGCCGCGCTGCGGTGCTCGATGGAGAACGCGGGAGGCAACGCGGGCAAGTACCTCCGCGAGGTCGAGAGGCTGAGGCACCGACTACACAAGATGGAGAGGGACCGCGACGGCTTCCTCGCGCGCATCAAGGAGCTCTCGCGGCACCACATCTCCGACCGCGTCGAGGAGCTGCGGCGCATCATCGTCAACTGGGAGCGTAAATTTGACAGCGTGGACGACCATAACAAGCGCCTGAGGAGGGACATCGATGCCCAGCGGTGCGTCATTCAGCAACAGGAAGAGAGGCTGCATACGTACGAGCGAATCCTGCGTCGTCATGGTTTTGTGAGGTTCGAATGAGAGGTCGAATCATACGTTTTTCTGTTTTTTCTTCCCTGCATTTCACCGTCTCCCAATTCGGGATGCGCGGTCACGTTCAGCATCATTTCTTCAAGCGGAGAATTCCTCTTTCATTGGCAGGAAGGGGATATGTCTGGCTGGATATGCGACTCAGGAAGTCGAGTGGTAAGTGTCCCTGATTCTTTGTCCAGGACGTGTCGTCTAACATCTGAGGAATCGCAGGCTTTCATTGGAGATTGCAAGATCATATCATGATTGGTTTTCGACTCGATAGACTTTCCGACCGGCGATGCTCCATTGGACACTTGCCATGCAGGCAGGGTGTAAGCCGATGATGGGTCGCCATCCTACCTTCTTTCACGACACATTTCATCTGTCATCCGGCTTTTCTATTCATTGCAATTTTGTGTTATTCAACCTTTTGGTCGGGCGCATTCGAAGGACTTTCAGAATGGCGGGTGGATGTTGGAATGTTCCTGTCGTCGCCGCTCTGAGTATTATCAGACACCTTCCTTTTTCTCCTTTGAATCAGAAAGACTCATGTATCAGTTCCAACCTTAATTCGAATAAACAACCGCTTTCTCACCATGAGACGAAACCTCCATGATTAGCGTTGAAATGTCAAAAATAAAGCAGTCCCGTCAGTGACTCGACCCCGGGCACAGGGTCTCGTCAGCAGGTTGAGCCCGAGTCGAGACTCCGTTCCCATGACGCCACAACAACGTCGACTCCCACACCTCCAAAATGACGGGAACCTCACCTAGCTCGCCTCACCTAGGTAGCTTCCCTTCCCACCCATCCATCCCAAAAATCTCACCGCCCTTGATCAACAAGCAAGATGGTGTGCTGCCACGACGCATTAGGTAATCCGCCCGCCAGTCTGCCTAGAACATCAGACCATTATGTAAGCCACGGCAGCTTACGTACACACGCACCCAAGCTTGACCGCCTTACATAATCGCACCAACCAACGACATCGCAACACCACCTCAGTTGCAGACCGCCAGGGTTATCGACGGAAAGATGGTGTGCAGCTTAAGGCTGCAGCTTTTCCCTTGGCGCTAGGCGGTCGCTAGGCGACCCATTTTCTTGCTGCACACAACTCGCAAAGTACGCAGCTTCGTGGTCCCCTCACGACAACACGCAAGTGCGCAAAACGCCTCGTCGTGTCTCCCCCGTCCGGTTCCCCCCGCCAAAAGGATCCCGCGCGCGCGCATTGGATCGGGATCCATGGGACGTCCGTCACCACTCGCTCAGCTCGCCGAGGGTTCACCTCCCGCCAAGGCACGATGCAGGAAAAAACCTTGGTCGCCGTTCACCTAGGTGGGCTAGAGTGCTGACACCGAGGTGAGTGGTGTGTGTGTGTGTGGGGAGGGAAACATCTCGAGTCCGAACTTTCCCATCCGCACACTCTACTTCAGCATCCATTTCGAGGCATAAGATTATGGATGGGGGACATGGGTCGTGGAGCGCCATGAGAGGCTGCGGCCTTCTTGGATGTAACCTCGATCCTTCGCCGTGCGGCTGAAGTCGAATGAGTCTGACTTTGGATGTCCCCAACCGTTTTTGTTTTTGGCTCCCTCAATTTCGAGAGCTGAGGTTGAAAGAAGATCGGGATGGACCAAAAACGGGTTGGGGCTTGGAAACGGTGACAGGCGCCTGCCTGTCTGCCACCGGAGGCCGTGGTGCCTGTCGGTGGGTCCCGCTGAGCACGGACGGTCCCCCGTCTACGTCTGCCCGCTGCTTTTACTCGGCACGTCCACTCACTGCGGAAGGCACCTCTGCGATCTTCCTCCAACAGAGGGCTGCGAAGCCTCAATGACCCATGGTGGAACCTCCTAGGAAGATATCCTAGACAGGCCGAGGAAAACCTTTCTTCTTCCAGGCTCTTTCCATACCGGAAATGACCGGCCGCTGATCTCGTCGTCCCAAGCCATGTCGAAAGGGGCATCGCGTACCAAGGCAAGCACCGCTGACTGCTATCGAACGCAAAATGTCTCATGCAGCATCATTATTTCCGGAAGATAGGTAGGTGATGTGTTCGTTCTATCCCTTTTTGGCTCACGTCGACCGGGCTTTGCAATGCCTCTTGACGTTCGGAGGGACGACGTTGCGAGACGGTCGTGAGTCGATGTATACAGTATCGCGGGTTTTCTCCCTTGTTTTCCATTCTTCTTCTGTCTCCCTTTGAACACTGTCTCTGTACTGCAAGTCCTAACGGTGGGTTTTGGCCGTACGGCAAGACACCCGAGAATGGGACGTAACACGATCACCTGGAGCCGAGTTGGCCAGTCAGCGTACTTCACATGGGCTATGATGAATTTCAGCACGCAAGAGACGGAGATTTCACTGAGATCACGTCGATGGCTGCTCATGAACATAGCTGAACCAGAAGGCCTCGCGTTGATGTCAGAATGGTAGGAGCATTCATAGTTGCCAGTAACCAACAGATGTCACGCTCTCTCCACACCTCCAAACTACCAGAACCGTAAAGCTCAGTCATAAGAAAAGAAGCAACAGAACTTCAGTGTTGCTGCGCAAGTCAGAGGTCTCAAAGTCTGATAGTGAAAACAACGGCTCCAGTACCATTGCGTGTCTGTGCGCAGTCTCCCAACGTCAGCCTTAATTGAGGGTCCCGAACATGACGGAATCGGTGGGCTACAATCTCCTCGGATCCGTTGGCCGAGATGACGAGAACCCAGCCGCCATTTCCCTTGGTCTGTGACTGATACGGACCGGTCGGACTGGGGTTTGAGGGCACGACAGGGATATAGCTCTCTGAACTTGCCTAATCCGGAACCCCATGTTCGCCGCTTTTACCGTTTAATTTTTTCATCCAGGTTCGTTCAACCCAAGGTCATGATAGCCTTCACGAAATTGAAGCACAAATGATTATTTACCGAGATACAATTAAATCCAAGTATTAAACTGAAGGTATTAATGTGTCTGGTTATCTAAGTTGAATCATATATGGACTAAAAGATGGTCTGTAAAAGACAGGCATCTGTTTTCTTCCAGTATCATACATCTTGATTCTTCATGGACTCTATACCTACTGACCCAGCAGGCGGATAGACCGTCTAAAACTTTAAGTTATGGAATAGACCATCGTAAGAGTCCGGGTTAGAAGGAATTGGAGACGATAATGAACAAAAATTACTGAGTATCCAGAGCAGGCAACCGCCCGGTGACGCCAACCTAAGGACGCGAAGTTGCGCCCTCAGAAAAAGGACTACGGGTGGTTGGCCTCAATGAAATTATCGTGTATCTCCAAGTGTGGTATCGCGTTAATCGGCTGAAAAAATCAAGGAATCCGAATGTCAGCATTTAGTACCTAAGGTAGGTAGTTAGAGTCCGAGACTTTGAGCCATCACCCATTCGTGGCCGGTGGTCGACGGGAGGGTTTGACAGGCATGTCAAGAGAGCCGTTGCAGGGAAGTGCCTGCTGCGTTAGCCTGCGGGGCGGTGTCGTCTAGTCTGTGCTTAGCTGCTGCCGCAGCGGACTTCCCAGTGACATTTCTGCTCCAGCGACCACAACTCTCAACCACTCACTCACACCACCACACCTCAGCCTGATTATCGTCGCCATGCGGCCCGCGACGTTCCTCCCAGCGGACGAACACGACGGAAGAATCATGTCGAAACTGACAGATCGGTGCATCAATCCCTCCATTGGCCCTGCTGGACGAACCGAGAATATTCGATCGAGCCAAAGGGAAGCAAGTGCACCTACACGAAGAACGCCAGCAGGATGAGCCATGGTTTGGGGGCTTGCATCCAACGCATGAAGTCGAATGACTTGGAGCCTCAGTCACCGTCGTCATGACGAAACGAAAATTCCCATCGCGACGCGGGGTCCAGACGCCAAGAAAACCGACCGGCTGAAAGGCGTGACTCACGACGCGACTCGTCCGTCCGTCACCTGGCCCCTCATCGGGGTCTCGCGAATGGCTTCATTCCAGGCTGCAAGCCGATCTTGCGATCATCGAGTGGTCATTGGTCCAGCACCGACAACGAACGCAGACGCACATCATCATCCTGGAGACAGAACAGGATCAAGGGGACAGTCGACACACTGATAGCTGCAAGAAAAGGACTACGCAGCGCCAAGCAGAGCATCTTCACGTCGTTGCTGTCACTCCCGTCGCTCTCTGCTCGTTCAGTTGTCATGCCGCAGACCCCTCAATCACCTCACCACGCATTTGCTTCGCCATGTTCTGTCTGCTTGCTCTCTTCTCCCCCATCGGGGTCCTGCAAGTGCATCCCCAGCCTGCCTTCTCGTAGGCGGACCAATCTGCTGGGTACTTTTAGGCCATGTAGCCCGCATTGGCGAACCATTCTTCGCACACACAACACAGTTGGGAAGAGGGAAATAAGGCGTCCACTGAAAAATCCGGCGAAAAAAAAGGCAACCGTTTTTGCGTTTCTGCCTTGCTGGACGCCTGCACCGCCACTCATCACCAATGAGCGTTCTCTCCCACACCGAGAAAACCGCAGCAAAGCCTCCCACCTCTACTCTGTACCCCCTCTGGACCGAGGAATACATGGGAATCGTGAACGGAGTCGGCAGAAATGGGAGGCGATTCCATGTCCCAGACAGAATCGCCTTTTTTCCACTTTCCTCCCGTCCCCACCCTACCTTGGAGCATCCAAGTTCTGGCCCACCGCCGAGACAATCCTCGTTCTCGTCGAGTCCACGTCCCTCCCGTTTCTCTCCAACCCGCAGTTCGCCAGGCAGACGAACGGCGGAATGGTGGACGCGCGGGAGAGACGGTGGATGCCATGCAGAATGCAGCGGGAAACAGAGAACAGGGTACATCTCCTCGTCCCGCAATGTGCTCGGTCCCGTCCCGTACGAAATCAAAGTACACAGGCGGTGACTCTTCTGCAGGACTTCGCCAAGGAGGGATGCCAGCCCTACATGGCCACTACCGATGCAATACCTCAGGAATGTTGTAATCTCTTTGGGCGACGGAGGCATGTCGCAAGTAGCTCAGCCGTTGCCGTATGGTCCTTTTTCCCTGTGCCTCTCCCTCCCAATAACCCATCGCGACTAAGCCCCGGAGGCAGCAGCAGCGCAATGCAATCCACACCCATCTCTCTCTCTCTCCCTCCCTCCGAGTCCGATTATTTTTATTTTATTTCTCTTATTCCTTCGTCAGTCCATACAAGTCGTAATGGCTGTGTCTAAATAAATAAAAAGTCCAAGCCGATGCATTTCCCGTTTCCCTTCCCCCTTTCCCCTTCATTTCAGGTTCGCTTAGTGTTGCTGCCCAAGTCCCGCCAACCTTCCATTGGAAAAAAAATAACAAATTACACTGCCACCCAACTCGCCCTCCGGCTTTTATACTTGACTCACACACTCGACTTGTCTTAACCCGGCCGGCCAACCACCACAACCACCCACATCCAAATTCGAAAACTCTGCCTTTGCCCGAATAGGACGCGACTTATATACGAATATCCGCTTCGCTCTTCGCCTTTTACCTGCTGCTGCGGCGGTCCCAGCTCATCGATTCAACTCAAACTCAACTCATCGACAAGCCTAGCCAGGACAAAACTCAGCAGCCATGTCCGCCAACAGGAAGGAGTACCGGAGTTCCAACCGTGTCTCTTTTCATGAGCCGGTCTCCAACGTGTCAGTCAGAGGTCACCGCCGGCAGGCGAGCGATTCGGGCGTTGGCTCTGACCATGATAGCTACGATGCAAGCCCTGATCGCTCCAAGCAGGCCCTCTACGACTTGCAAAAGACTCATTCCAGTCTCAAGGATGAGCACGCCAAGCTGCAAGAAGCTTTTCGCAACCTCACCGCCCGCTTCAAGGCCATCGAGAACACCAACGAGGTTCTGGAAGACGACAAGAAGAAACTGGCCGCAGAGAAGCGCACTCTCAGGGAGGAGAACCAGAAGCTCCGCGATGACCTCCACAAGGCCCGCTCCAACCAGACTCGAGACCGCGATGTCAAGATGACCGGTGCCATCCCCGCCCAACCCCCTTCTCCCAAGGAAAAGATCCAACGCAGCGCAAGCAAGGCCCGCCGGAGCGAGAGCAAGGCGCCCGGCTCACGAAGCAGCGAGGACAGGGAGCGTGAGGAGCGCAAGGAGCGCAAAGAACGCAAGGAGCGCGAGAAGCGTCACGAAGAGGACAAGCTCCGCCTTAAGGGCCGCTTCGAACTCAAGGACAGCACCGACGATGGAAGCGTCTCCAGCGGCAGCTCGACCCGGAAGAGCTACATCGAGCCCTACGGACCCTCCGCCCCTCGATCCACCGCTGCCGCCACGACAACCTCCATGCCGGAGCGTCCCCGTCGGAAGCGCGCCGACTCGTCCTTCACGTCATCCCGCCCGCAAGTCAACTTGAACGTCACCACCTACGACGACAGCGCAGCCTACGACAACGGCACCTATCTCGCCGAGGACGGCAACTATTACCCTTACCCTCTGCAAGCCGTGCAAGCCGAGCCCCCTCGAGGACGGCAGTACTAAGAAAATTCATACGATGCGCAACAAAAGACCAAGCCCTGTGCGACGCACCAATTCGGGCCATTTCTGGTTAACGAGAGAAAATACGTTTACGATGCATTATCCTGCATTATCCGGTCACAATCACACCGGAAATTCTTCACATCCCTGGCAAGACATCCCAGGCACCCCGCTAAAAAAAATTCGCCCATTCCTGTCAACCACGCCGCAGCGCCCATCTCCAAGACCGGCAGGCGCGGTGACAGGAGGCATGAAGATCCAGGCGAAGTCACCCCGCATCGGCCGAGGAACGCCGATGGCGCAACAACCTTGGCTCGACTTGGGACGATACGCAAACTCGGTTGACTCATCCTTCACGGATCCGACCGTCGTTGCCGGTCACGGACTCATATTTCATCAACTTTGACCGCTTCTCATTGCTCTTTTTTCCCTGTATCAAATCTTGTATCAGTTTCATTCCATCAACATTGCGATACCCCAATACCCTTTTATATACGTTTGAGACGACAAACACCTTTGGTTCACTCCAGCCTTTCCCATTTACCCCTCATCGGCCAACTGCATTTCGAAAAAAACTGCAACCACAAAACCCCGACAAAAAAAAAAGATGAAGCTCTACCCCTCCATCACCCCAGACCTCGCGGAATGGGCCGCCCGCCAACCCGTCTTCTTCACGGCCTCCGCGCCGACCCACCTCCCGCACATCAACGTCTCCCCCAAGGGCCTCTCCGCCCACTTCGCCGTCCTCGGCCCCAACCTCGTCGCCTACATCGACCGCACCGGCTCCGGCTGCGAGACCATCGCCCACGCCTACGAGAACGCCCGCCTCACCCTCATGTTCATGTCCTTCGGCCCCGCCCCGCGCATCCTCCGCCTCTTCTGCCGCAGCCGCATCGTCGAGTGGGATGACCCGGAGTTCGAGTCCTGGATGAAGCGCATCGTCCCCAAGGGCGCCGCCGGCCGGGACACCTACGACGGCGCGCGTGCCGTCGTCCTCGGCGAGGTCTGGGAGGTCCAGACCTCCTGCGGGTTTGGCGTTCCCATGGTCAGGAAGGAGCTGTACGCCCCCGCCGCGGCGTCGGACGACGGGTCCCTCGAGAAGGGCGGCGGCGGCGGCGCTGCTTCTCATCCCGAAGGCGAAAGGGACGAGCTCTCCGTCTTCGAGGAGCGCCCCACCCTCGACAACTACTGGAAGAAGCGCGCCGACAACAACACCGTCCACAAGTACCAGCTCGAGACGAACCTCACCTCCATCGACGGCCTGCCCGGGCTCAAGACGGCGCGGAGGGCAGCCGGCGAGGTCCTCTGGCTCGCGGGTGTCAAGGCGAGAGCGGCGCGTGCCCTTCGCGAGAGGGACGGCGTCCTGCTCGGCTTCTTCCTCGCGGTTCTTCTCTACGGTGTTTTGGCTTTGGTAAAATGAATGAGACGATCTCGTGTAGTGGAATCAAGCCCTCTTCGGGCTGTTATGGGAAAATTTGGTGTTTTGTATTACTTTGTACAGGAGTCTACGGTACGGGATTTTAGATAGACTTTTTGCCGTTTACACGCTGGAACGATCGCACATGGCTTTCACGGAATTTACGGAATTTTTATGGGAATACGGAACTTCTTTTGTTGTACGCTGGAGGATCTAGGATACCTTTAGGGATAGGGGATTCTATCATCCCATTGAATCGAGCCCCAAGCTTGACGTTTGAAAACGAGAATAACTTTCATCGTCCAATCGCGCGAGACCAGACCCAGTGACATTTCCGTTTCCCCATGCGATGAATTCCCATCCTTGTCCAGTTCCCCTCCCCACCGGCGCATCAATCACCTCGACCTCCGACCCACCCGTTCATGCCTCACGCGCATGTCCCGCGCCGCGCTCCCGCAATCAGACATCCCGTCCACGCTGATCGTTCTCGCCTGGCAGGATGGGGGGAAAGAGGAGTCGAATTCTTCTTTCCCCCCTCCCCAAAACGATTCGACGGCGTGTGTGACGGGCAAGGTGAGGTAGGGGGCGGCGGCCAGGGATCCAGGGGGGTGAAACGCGCGCCCAATGGTCAGCTTGCTTGCTTCGAGCCCAACCTCCCATCATCCCGCGCCCTTTGGGCAGGAACGCAGGAACAGCGTTGCGAAGAAAAATTCTTGCTTGTCATCCGCTGCCATGCCATGCCATGCTGCTGCGCTGCAAGATTTTGTGCGGCGGTGCACCATGTAGGTAGGGTAGATCCATGCAAGGCACAAAAATAATACCAAAATCTCCTCTTGGTTTGATCCGCTTCAGAAATCATCCCGCGCCCGCAGCCTTGTCCGCGGCGGCGGTGGCAGCGGCGGCCTGTTCCTTCGCCTTGCCGCCTCCACGACCACGTCTTGTGCGCTTGTGGCGCTGCTCCTCCGGCTTATCGGAGGCGGTGGCACTGGCCTCCTTGTCCTTACTGGCGGCCGGCGTTGAAGAAGACGCCGCGGGCGCGTTGGAGGAGGAAGAAGCGTTGGCATTAGAGTTGCTGGCGGCGGGCTTCTTCTCCTTGCGCTCGAGGACCTGGACGGTACCCTGGGCGACGGTGACGGGGCTGGCGGTGATAGCCTTGACGAGGGATTCGTGGTCGGAGAAGTCGACGTAGGCAAAGCCCTTCCGCTTGTCGATCTCGACGAAGATGACGGTGCCGAAGGCTTCCATGGCCTGCTTGAGGAGGTTCTCAGTGACGCCCTGAGACGGGTTGGCGTGCTTAACGAAGCCGCGGGTGGCACCGGATGTGACTGAAGCACTGGAGCTTCCACCCTTCTTCGAGTTGCCGCCCTTGCCTGAGCTCTTAGGTCCTGTCGGAGGGTTGGACTTGGCCGGAGCTGACTGCGATGAGGAGGCCTCCTTCTCGGCCTTCTCAGCCTTCTCACTCTTTTCCGGCTTTTCCTTGTGCTTGTCTTCGTCTTTCTTCTTCAGCAGAACGACAGGGGTCTTGGCTGGAGCCGGGGTATTGGAGGAAGTGGCTTCGCTGGACTTGCCCTTTGCTTCGTTGGCGGCTGCGTTCTTTCCGCCCCCACCCCTACGAGTGCGACCCGACTTGGGCGCGGTAGGCGCTGTGTCACGCTCAGAAGCCCGAGTAGCGTTCGAGGATGTTTGCGCTGGTGCAGCCGGAGGCGCCGCGGGAGCAGGGGGCTCAGGCGCAGGCTGAGCTGCTTCCTTCGAAGTCGGAGTCGTGGCCTTCGCTTCCGCCTCGGCCTTGGCAGCATCCAGTCGAGCCCTTCTATGGGCGCTTCCGGGACTGATGCCAAGATCGCGCTGCAGGATGCGCGCGGCAGCCGCAATACCGGCTCGTCGACTCTTGGGTGCGTCTGATGCAGCGGCGGAGCTTTGGGACGTCGAACTCTGGGTGGTTTGACTGGCAACCGCCTCCGCTGCCTTGGCGGCCTCAGCAGTCGCCTTCTTGGTGAGAATCTTGACCGTCTCCTTGGGCTTGTCCGTCGATTTCTCTGATTTCGAATCCTTCTTACCCTTCTTGGTTTCCTCTGCGGTCGCCGATCCCTTGCCCTTGGTGTTTTGTGATTCCCTGGCCTGCTTCGCACTCTTAGCGGCAGCAGCCTCCTTCGCCTTGTTGGCCTTCTTCTCCTTCAAGTACTCGATCAGAGGTGTCGTCGTGACCTTAGATTCCAGCTTCGATTCCTCTCCGTCCTTATTCTCGGTACTATCATTCTCCTTGTCCTGCTCCGGGTTGGTCAGAGAATGGAGGAAAGCCATGAATTCGGGGTCTTGGTCGATCGTTCCCTGTCGCGGGTCGGTTCGTTTCTTGCCGCTCGGAATCTTATTGTAAAGAGCACGCTCGAGAACGGGTGGTCCGACGAGGCATGGGTTGTTGGACGTCATTTTCGCGTCCTCCCATGACTTGGCCTGGATGAGGGTAGACAATGTGTTCAGATTCTCACGCTTGAGGACATGCAGGTAGAGTCTTGCGGGCTTCGACGACTTCGCGGGGCTACGTCAAACGAGATTAGTTGGATTCGAAAGGAGCCGAGTAGAACACACATACTCTTGCGATATCTTTCCTGTCTCGAAGTTGTGCCAGCTGACGAGCCCTTGTCCCGCCTTCCACTCGTCGCCAAGGTTGTTCCACAGCTCTTGCTCCGTCAGGCCAGGAGGCAGTCTTCTAATTACGACCTTCTCGCCCTCGACAGGAGCACGACTCTTGTTCGACTTCGGCGCATCGGCGGTAGCCTGCTGGCCCGAGACTGGAAGAACGCCGTTCGTCTTGCGCGATGCGCCTTGGGCGCTCGACGTCGCCATCGTGGTTGGAGGGCCTTGTAGGACTCCAAAATGCGATTGTGTTTTTGGAGAACTCCGAATAGATTGGGCGACTTTGTCTCGAGGTTGGTTTATTGTTGAAACTAATGCAAGCTACGTGCAAAGCAAGGTTTAGATGTTAGCCCCGTATGGATAGCAGATTGCCTCTGTGCCCTGGACACAAGGGGTCACAGTTGTGGCCGTGTGGATGTTGTCAATATGTGATGCAAGGGTGTTGACGCGCGGGGTGGCTTGGTTCAAATCAACCTCAGATCTGAAAGAATGGTGCACAGAGCACTTACCGCCATGAAGTGGGCCTTATCAGATAAGAATTGTCTAACCTTTTTGGGATAGCTCTCTTTTTGTGGAGAAGCACCCTTTTTCTTCAGGAGAATCTTCGGATAAACTTCTCCCTTCACACTTTCCCTCGGTCAAACAATGTTCCGACACATCATTTAGCCGAAAATCACCCACAACGCCATGGCCACAATGAGCAAGGATACCGAGTCCGCCGAGAACAAAGAGTCGCAAAAGGACGACTTTCCGGAGGCTTTTCCGGATTTCGATGAGAACAACATAACTCAAATCGCCCCGCAGACGACGACGGAGGGAAATCGTGTCCAGAGAGACGCGACGGAGTCAGATTATCGACCGCCGACTGAAGCACAAATTCAAGCGGCGATTCAGCGCGCGAACCTCGCATTCAGCAATCCGCTTACCAACGTACCGAGACGTGGACCTCCCGGCGCCGGCCGTGCACGTAATCGTTCTACGGAGGTTTCGTTCTCTCTTCCGACTCCAAACCCTGGAATCCGATCACAGCAGTCGCCGCGTCTTCCTCAGGCACCCACAACCAGCTCTCCTCCGCCAGTTGCGTCAGGTTCAACTCGTGGTCGAGGCATTTCGGTCCCTGGTAGAGCGGGCTACATCCCCACACTACCTGCTGCCAACCGCACTGCGCAGCTGATACGCCCTCGTGCTACGAATTTCAGCCGCCCCATTGTCGTCGGTGGCTTCGACAACCCCTATCAAGAACACCTGCAGAGACTCGCGCGTCGCGAAGCCGACGACAAACGTGCTCTTGAAGCATACAGCAAATCTCCGACCAGTGTTGCCCAGCAGCCTCGACCTCTTCCAGAGCTACCCCCTGCGACCACCATCCCGCCGCCCGTTTTCGCACATGCTGAAGCCCCTCCCCCCGCTCAGCCCGCTAACCCACCACATCCTCTGAGGTCAAATCCGGTCGCTTCGAGTCCCCAAGAGCCTTCCACCACTCTCCCAAGACGCCGTCAGCGGTCTTCGTCGATATCAATCCACGTTAACGATACCCCCGCCATCTTTTGTGGAACGTTTGGTAATCGACCCGTCCCCGAGACTATCCCCGAGGAGACTTCCAACGAAGAAGACGACTTCGATTATTCAGAGGAGCCTGTGGTGCACACTGCCCAAGTTGGCCGCGTTGTTCGACGTCCCGACGATCTCACCAACGAAGACGACTCATCCAACTTACGGCTTCGTGGCGGAACCCTAGACATCGAAGACTTCGACGAGGGATTCGATCCGGACTACTACGAGTCCGACGAGTGCGAAGACGACTTGGTCGAGTTGACGGAAGAGTTCAACCCGAACATATCAGAGGATTTCGACCCATACGAAGCTGAGGCAAATTCCCAGGTCCACGCACAGATTCTGGACAACAAGATGGCCAGCCACATTCCCCGTCCGGGCCCTGCCCAGCTCTCGCCCAACGCCGGATTGGACGAGTGGTTAGAGGAGGCTAAACAGTGCCACTATTTACCCGAGCGCGCGATGAAGGAACTCTGCGAGCTGGTAAAGGAGGTTCTGATGGAGGGTAAGAATGCCCAAATGTTGGCCTGGTATTGCGTTTCACTGACAATTTACCATCAGAATCAAACATTCAGCCTGTCTGCACTCCCGTAACAATTTGCGGCGATATTCACGGCCAGTTCTACGACCTTTTGGAGCTGTTCCGCGTTGCAGGTGGCATGCCTGGCGAATCTCGAGTTGAGGCTCCCAAGACAGCCACCACGGTCATCAGCCCCGAGGATATCGAGCCGCCTACTGAGATCACGAATCCCAAGCTGAAGAAGAAGCTCAAGAACGCTGGCAGTCCTACTCCCGACGACGAAGACGACGACGAGGCGGCTGCCGCCGATACGACCACGACCTCCCGACCCGACTCTGCCGTTGAGGTTAGCGCAACTTCACAGTCTGCCGACACCAGATTTGTCTTCTTGGGCGACTTCGTCGATCGTGGCTACTTCAGTCTGGAGACATTCACTCTTCTGATGTGCCTGAAGGCCAAGTATGTGGCGTCAACATCTCAAATAAAAACGTCTCGGCGTGCTAACCTGATTTTCAGATACCCCGACAGAATCGTTCTCGTTCGTGGCAACCACGAGTCTCGCCAGATCACCCAGGTCTACGGTTTCTACGAGGAGTGCCAGCAGAAGTACGGCAATGCCTCGGTCTGGAAGGCATGCTGCCACGTCTTTGACTTCCTCGTTCTGGCTGCCATTGTTGACGGCGAGCTTCTCTGCGTCCACGGTGGTCTCAGCCCCGAGATCCGCACCATTGACCAGATTCGTGTTGTTGCTCGTGCTCAAGAAATCCCCCACGAGGGCGCATTTTGTGATCTTGTGTGGTCGGACCCTGAAGACGTCGAAACCTGGGCTATCAGCCCGCGTGGCGCCGGCTGGCTCTTTGGCGACAAGGTGGCTACTGAGTTCAACCACGTCAACGGTCTCAAGCTCATTGCCAGAGCTCATCAGCTTGTGAATGAGGGCTACAAGGTACACGACTCATTCCACGTTGTTATTTGCATCGCTGACCTTTGCGTAGTACCACTTCCCTCAGAACTCGGTCGTTACCGTCTGGTCTGCGCCCAACTACTGCTACCGCTGCGGTAATGTTGCATCTATCATGACTGTGGACAAGGACATGAGTCCCAAGTTCAGCATCTTCTCTGCAGTTCCCGATGATCAACGCCACGTTCCTGCCAACCGTCGCGGGCCCGGCGATTACTTTTTGTGATCAATTTCTCACTGCTGCTACGTCTTGAAACACGCCTGCGAATGTTCCAGGACTAGGGAAGGCAATAGACCTGTATCTGGGGCATTACAATCTCTGATTCTGCAGGCGTCCCCTTTCATGAAGGGGGCAAACAACGAATACACACGTTCGTCTCACATACCACTGTCAGAGTAGGAGAAATTCGAGCTCCTGAGCAAAGCAGGACAAGGCGTTTTGCAATGACACACTTCGGGATGGGGATGATTGAGAGATCGTCATCACCGAATTTGTGCACCGCAAGACCTTCTGTCAACGGATCGCAAACGACTAACGCAACGACGAAAGGACTTGGACAGGAGTCTACCACTAGGCTCTGGTTGACCCCATGCAAGGGTCTCATTGATTTTGTTTCTTGCACAAGGAGTGGAAGTTCGCTCTAGGACCGAGGCCTGCCTTAGTCCCGAGGAGGAACGAACCACTACCGTTGATGCAACATGACGCAAGGCTTTTCAGATAAGAGCCTTGGAGATGGCTGGCCCCCAAACATAGATGGACAAACGAAGAGGGGATGATTTGGCTTTGCAACGTATGTGATGATGCCATGCATGGAATAAGAAGGCAGGGAAGACCTTCTTGTAGAAATAGGTTAGTTTAGAGAGGTCTTAAATACCCGATACATGTTGGACTGAGGAAAGTCGTTGCCTTCGTGCGAATTGATCATTGCAAATCAAATATCTGGATGCTCGATTCAGTCGCATACCACGATGTACCAAAAAGGGTATGAATACGCCTGCCTTTTCTCAACCGCCGCCACCAACTCCACATCATCCTGCTTCACACCACATAGTTCGATCCCATCTAAGCACGCTTAACCTCCCACTTCAACTCCTTGATGCTGACTTCCTCGCCAGCCTTTTCATCGTAGTCGAACCACTCGCCATCGGTGAGCTCGATGCCAGTGAACTTGGTGCCCGAGTCCACGCCCTCCGCAAGCCACTCTCCTTCAGGTACGAAATCGACAAATTCCAGACCTCGGCAGTCGAACTCGATGATCTTTCGTTGCTTGGCAGGTTCAACCTGCTCATAAGGAGCAGGAGCGGCCTTGATGGAGGCGGAAGACTCGCGCTTGCAGTTCTTGCATTTCCACACAAAGTTGGCCTCGCCTCTGCTACCGCTCATCTCGTTGTTTTCCTGAATGCTCGTAAGTGACTGGGCTTCGTCAAAGGCGCAACAGAGAAAGTTCATACGAAGCGGTTGACACCCACGGTCTTGTCGTGGACCTCGCGACAAGATGTGCACTGGACCTTGAAGGTGTACCAGAAGGGGTTGCCCTCGCTGTCGTCGGGGCGCAGGTTCGTGACCCTAGTAAGATTAGCGAAATCGGTACCACAAAGACCAGGAGAGTTACTCACCCCTCAAGCTCGGCTGTGAGATAGAGAGCGAACATGTTGACTGGTTTCAGGATTATCCTCTTGATTTGCAAAAGAATTTGACGGTCTGGACAGTCGCTTGATGCTGCACGGTGCTCTCCTCAAAGCTCATAGCGAAGCCCATGGATGGTGGGGTTGGAGGGGCAGTTGCGTCACTTCTCTAAGCGGATAGCTCGCTTAGCCACAATTTCCGCCTAATCGCATGACTCCAATTTTCGATATTCCCATTCAATTGGATCCGGCAACTCGGTCCTCCAAACGTCAATATTCCGCATCAGATCATACCCTCGACGCCGACGACATCCCGACGCCCAACCCGCCCAACCCGCCGAACCGATCAATTGGACTCACCTGGGGCTGCCGATGCAGCCGGCATGCCGTGGGAATGCAGGCACTATGGTCCAGAGCGGGCCAGGCGCACCACTGCGGGTGCAAGGCCTGCTTCAAGGCCGCCGGGGGCATGATACGGCAGTCAGCGACGCGGGTGACGCCTCGTAAACCGACCTTCAGCGAGATCTTCACAGCCTGTTACACGGGCATCATGGCTTCCGCCGCCGTGATTGACGCGAACGTCAAGGACAGACGACGACTGGCGCTGGAACAGGAGCTCGAGCAGGCGAAATTGGAGCTCGAGATGTTAAGGAAGAAGCACCCGCCACGAAAACTCGACGTCGACGAGCCACCCCCGGCCAGCACGGAGAACCGATACAAGGGCGCGCTGTGGGATCACGTGGCGCAGAGCAGCGAGATTGCAAAATATCTGGACTCTCTTCGCGATGTGCACGGCAAGGCAAAACCGCTCCGCAGGTCCGTCCAGGTGAGGGCCTGGTTGGACGAGTGCGGCTTCGGCGTGTCGAAAGAGGATCTGGAGAAGCTGGAAGACTTTGACTATGCGGCATTGGACGCGCGCTTACTGGAGGAGGAGATGAGGCCATATCCCCGCCAGATTCATCGCTTGCCGAAAACCCTCGCTCAGTTGGAAGCGGCGGAAAACAATACCGTACTCATGGTCAACAATCTTCTCACGCACTCTCAACGAATATGGCGGGAACCCCTTTGGCGACCTATCCGCGACATGGTGACCGACCTTCGTCGACAGAATCTGCCCAGGTTCGAACGGCGTACTGATGTGGAAGGAATGTTGGAGAACAGCAAAAGGCTGAACGCTTCCCTGCGCGCCATTTTCGCGAACGATACTTATAATCGGCGCGAAAAGGTCATGAAGGTCATCCACAACCTTCTCGTATCGCCAGCGCCAACAACAATTCATACCTATAACCTGCTTATACTCGCCCTCGACCGCCTTGGGCTCTTCGTCTTATCGCAAGGTGTGGTGGGCCCTCTACTTTATGGCAGACGTGAGCCAACGAGGAGTACTTTGCTCTGCCTACTCAATCACTTCAAAGAAGATGGCAACGACAAGCAATTCTTTGAGCTGATTCAGCGTTTCACGGGGAAAGACCCCCGCGGCATCGTCGGTCGGAGGAAAGACTTCGATGATTTGGAAGAGAGAGACTCGCTCTTCATGTGGGCAGTATTGAAGAACGTCGCCGTCAGCGATAACTGCGTTACCGAGAGAGCTTGGCTTGATCTTGATATCTTTACGGCCATCATTCAGGGCCTACTGAAATTCGGCTGGGTGAGGCACGCCACCGCGGTCTTCGCTGTCGGCCTAAAGCATGGCATCGACTTCAGCATGCATACAATATCGCAACTGATTATGCACATTACACACACCCTGGATGCGACTGCTGCGCGTCAGATGTTACTCGCTATCAAGATGAAGCCCGGGGTTCTCCAGGCCAAGGCCAAGACCAAGCAGGCGGAGAACCGGAAACACCTCGCGAGAAGCATTCAAATCCTCATTGGCATCTGCCATCACCCAGAGAATCTCGACTCTGTGGCTCCATGGTTACACGTCCCAACATCGGCGCTGCTATCGAAGGAGCAGCATCTGGGCATTCACATGACCAGCCTACTACACGAGATTTCGAAATCGGCCGCAAAAATGAAGAAGCTCAAGACAGAATTCAAGGAAATTCATGACGTTTTAAAGGTCCGTCAAAGGAGAGCACGAAGAAACGAAACACGAACGGCAAAGTTCGAAATAGAACCGGAAAGCATAAGGGAAACACAACAGGCACCAGCAGCGCAAGAGGAACAGGCCCACCAATTGCAACCCAAGCCGTACCTGACATCAGCTCAGTTCAAAGAGGCTTTGATGCAGGATGCTGCGGAGGAGACTGCGCGGCCGAAGACGCCTGAACACACGTGGCTCCAAACCTCTCCAAATCTCAATCGCACACAGTACCGCTTCATGGCGCGGCTGCGCTCGAAGAGGTTGGCAGTGGCCGAGGCTGCATTGTATGAAATGGACTCGCAGCGGCAGTTGGGACCATCTGCAGAGATAACATCGTGTTAGTAGCCCAAGGCGAAAGCAGTAGAGTGTATTTGTAGTATACAGTCTTGGAGAAGACATGATGACGAGAGCATATTTGGGGCGACCCTGATCTGACACGACGCTCGCCAGAGAGCACTGCTTTTTCTTTAGACATTAGAACACGTGGATAAAGTGATGCGTCCACTTGATGAAGGCTCGATGGAAGCTTGGAATTTTGGAATTAGACTCCAATTGGAACATGGAGGTCTCCCTGCTGTCGGGTAACTGCACCGGCCACCTCACGTGAATGGCATCGAGCGCCAGTCCTGCCGATGTGGGCCACTGACAATCAACACCTCACTCCCTGTCATCACTTGCCGTTGGCAGCTCCTTCCCGTTTGCTCGGGCCACGAGGGGGTGACAAACTACAAATCATCTACATCATTCTCAGCCTCTGAGGCTCACAACAATGATCCCTCGTCAATGCGCCGTCTGCTCCAGCCGGAGTCGGCTCCAGCGCTGCGCGGGATGCCAGGTTGTCTACTACTGCGGACGCGACCACCAGACCTCCTGCTGGGCAACCCACAAACGCGCATGCACCAAGGTCAAGAAGTCCCGCGAGAACTATCTCAAGGAGGAGGCCAAGATACGCAACGCCGAAGAGTTCGGATGGGGCTGGACCTGGGAGTCCGCCCAGGGCCACTTCTGGGGCATCGTGGAGACGCGCGACTACATGCGCGCGCGCTACAACTACTGCGATATCATGCTCGAAGTCGACACCGTCGACGCCGTCGAGAAGTCCGTCGAGCACCACTTCGAGATGCTCAAGCTCTGCCGCAGCGACAACATGGGCATCCGCGACGTCACGCCGCACCTGCTCCTCCGCCTCGGCCGCGACCAGGACACGTACGACTTCACCAAGTGGTGGGCCACCACGGGCAGCGAATCCGACTACGACTGGGGCGACGTCTCCCTCCCGCACTTGCACCTCAAGGGAGAAAATGTCCTCGAGGCCGTCGACGTCAAGCAGTTCTCGTCCCTCAGCCACAGCGTCGCCACCGCGCTGCTCAAGATCCGGCTGTTCATGGACCTGCGTGACGTCCGCAACGCCGACCACGCGCTGGGCGTCGCCCTGCCGCGGGAGATCGTGGACATGATCAAGAACCGCGTCCCCCGCACCGACGTCGTCGCGGCGCGGCGCGACCTGCTCAAGGACACGGCCGGGACGGTGCCGCTGATGCGGGACCTCCAGAAGCAGATCCGGAAGCTGGTGGTGTCCGTCGCCGAGCACAACAAGTACATGTGGACTCACATCCTGAACCCCGCGTCTTTCGGACAGGCGATGAACAGCCCTTACTCGATGGGCTCGCACGAGGAGGCGCTGCTGGTGCTCAATTACTGCTATCCGGCGTGGGCGGAAACCCCGGGCTCTGTCGAAGTTGTCAAGCGGGCTGGTCGCAGGACATGATCTGATGCCTGGGTGATAATGTCTGAAGCCAAGTTCATTTACAATAAATCTGCAGTGTAAGGTACATCGGACAACAGCACGGTTTGAGGCGAATTCCTTGGCTCAAACAGCTATTCCGCCGCGCATCGCCGTGCCTGGTGCTTGCCAAGGCACATGCAGCAACTGTGCGCTAAATGCCACTCAGAGTCGCACCTTCAGAGCGTCCCGGTCGGCAGGGATGGGCTGTGTTGGCCGGAGGGTGTGGTTGATGTGATATCATACCGTGGTACCGCACATCTTTTGCTCAAAGTTAGCGTGTAAGCGCGGGGTGTTTGATTTGACAGCTGAAAGATTGCTGCGTATGAGAGATGAGAGGAAAATTAGACGCCAAAGTCAAGCCCTGAGAGTTTGGACCAAATGGTTTGATGGTTTGCGAAAGGGCTGCGCGGCAGAGGCCTAGACGGGGAATGTGGCCCGATGGACCGTTGCAGCGTTTCTCAGGTTTTGCGTAATTGTAGCTTAAAAAAGTTGGCTTCCCGAACTTTGACACGAGGCGCAAGATGTCGTTTTTTTCCAGGAACGAGAAAGTATAGAGAAGTCTAAAAACCCGGCAGACCGGGTCCATGTGGCCACAGCTGACAGTCACACCTTTTTTTTTTAGTTGCCATCTTGCTCTGATTCACGTCGAAAATTGCTTTTCGACTTGATGGATATTCCTCCACAGATTAATTGGGGCTCTTTGCACCAAACGCCAATATCGTGCATCCTTTCGGCTTGCACTTTTCTGATATCGTCACTCGTGTTCCATCCGAGTTTGCGAGGCCCACCAAGTCGACCAGCCACCCTTCCACCGAACCATCGTCAACTCGGCCAATTCAGTCAGTCAATCGGTCAGCGCTATGGATCTTAGCAAGTCAGCAGTGGCTCTCGACTCCGTGTCTTCCGATGGGCGATCCCTCCATAGTGCCAACGCCGCCGCCGCTCTGAGGCCGGGATGCCGAGGTTTCCCGCCTCGCGCTGCGTGGTGGTCGTGACAGGACCCCTAAAATCCTAAAACTTGGAACATGCATCGAGGGAACCAGATCCGGGGTGGAGTCCGCCCTGCCTGCCCCTTGGCCCTGTGACCCGTCCGCATCTCCATCTCAGCGGAAGAGAATCATTTCGCCGTGGGAACGCTCGCCAGGGACGGGGATTCCGCCTTCTTGGAAGCAATTTCGATGTGAGGCCTGGACGGAGGGCGACCGATGTCGGTTTCAGGGTCCTCCCCCATCCCGGAGCACAAAAAAGGTCATGAGAACGAACGACCTGACAAGCCGCGAGGCGGTCTGGAATTTATTCCCACCCTTCTGACCGTCAGAGGCCGGGACTCGGCCTGGAATATGAGAAGGGAGGGGGGAGCCACTGTCTGCGGTACGGCGCCCACGATGCCGGTGAGGATGGAGGAGGTGAAAGAACACTGAACTCGCGCCAGAGAAGAGCCAGTTTAAAGTACCTAGATGGACACAGACGAAGACAAGAGACACGACTGAGATGGAGGCCAAGGATGGATGGGATGGCTGGTGATTGTGCTACACAAACGGCGGGGTGACCATGGACAGGCCACCCAGCTGAAGCCGTGGTGGGGCGAAAGTCCCGTGACCCCGCGAATCACGAGTCGGCAGTACTCCACGGGCGGTCAACCACGGCTTCCCAGTGGCTCGACTCGCAGACCGGATAACGACACACCCCGAGCTGTTTTTGGCTTTTCCACCCAGTGTAAAGTCCAGTGCAAGTGCAACTGCATACTTGCCCAGTCACGTTCTAAAGGGACTGGCGCTGGACTGGCGTAGCGGTCGCTCTCTGCCTCCTAAAAGCCTCCAACACCTTCTCTACTACAGTACGGCGCTCTCACAAGGCAGGTGCCGTGTCCGTAGTAGGTACTCCACCGTATCGTGTCGAGTGCCGCTCCGGGGACTCGGAAGTCTTTTTTAGTACTTTCTTCGCCTCAGGGGTACTTAGTCACCGGCGCAAAGCTACTTCGGGGCCTGGACCCAGCTACAACACCGCCGTAGTGGAGGCGCGATGAGCTCACACCTCTTCTTTTCTCTTTGCATGCTTCCGTCACTTTTCAATTCACGTCCGGGTCGCTCTGCTCTGGTCTGGTCTGGCTCGTTCATAATCCCCCTCCAACCCACCGACCGATGCTCCCTGGACCCAGAACGCTGCTTCTCTACTTTTTGCTCGTCGTGAGATCATATTCTCTTCCCTTCTTCAATCAATGGCGAGCTGGATGTGGAGCTCCTTTGTCCTGCAAAAACCAACGGGATTCTCGTGACTTTGCACCAACCCGCAGAGAGACATCTACCGGAGACAACTCGAACAACGACGACCATTTGACACGAAGCTAATCCACGCTTCACTACCTACCAAGAAAACAAACACTCTCCTCAGCCAATTCAGATTCCTACGAGAAAATGATCAATTTTGGCCTCGAGTCCATCTGCCTCTAAGCAGCTGCTCGTTGTTTTCGTTACTCATACTTCGTTGTTTCCTCATCAGCACCTTGTTTATCTTCTACAGCAGTCTTTTCCAACTGATCGCTACTACGGAACGCCACAAGCGTCACTCCTGATAACCGGAATTTGACCACATCATCCGCCGTCATGAAGTTCGGCAGAAAGTGCGAAAACCCCCTCTGATAAGACGAAATGAAATATTTCGAGTTCGACATTTCATAAAAACAGTCGCTGACAAACGGTCGCAGCCTCCCCCGCAACCAAGTCCCCGAATGGGCGGCCTTCTACATCAACTACAAGGGCCTCAAGAAGCTGATCAAGGCCGCCGCCCAGTCGGCCAAGAATGGAGAGAAGGTGGACTTAGCAGGTGGGCGGAACTGGACCGGTGACCTTGCTGTTTAGTGCGAGCAGCCCATCCCCTGACCATGTTTGTTTTTTTGCAGAATTCTTCTTCGCCCTGGACCGCAACCTCGAGGATGTCGACGCCTTCTACAACCGCAAGCTCGGCGAGGCAGTCCGTCGCCTCAGCTTGCTGCGCGACCGCTACGGCCGCGTCCCCGATGTCGTCTCCAATCTCGACGAGGATGAGATCGAGGAGCTCATGGGTGCCTTGTACGAGATGCGCGTGCAGCTGCGCAACCTGAACTGGTTCGCCGAGATCAACCGCAGGGGCTTCGTCAAGATCACCAAGAAGCTCGACAAGAAGGTCCCTGAGAGCGCCTCGCAGCACCGCTACATCTCGACAAAGGTCGACCCTCTGCCCTTCGCCAAGGACACCACTGGAACGCGCCTGCTCGCCGAGATCAACAAGTGGATCTCGGTTTTGGGCGACGCCCGGAATATCGACGACTCCAGATCCGATAGGTCGGTGCGGTCGCTGGGTCGTGCGTCGTCAAAGGCCATGTTGACGCTGTCGCAAGGCCTGCTTGACACGCTGGAACAGGCGATCCGCAACGACAACGTCGAGTCACTGAAGACTGGCTTGAAGGAGGGTAACGTGACGGGCGAGCACGCCTCTCATGGCCTGTTGCTCAACTTGCTGCAGCGGTCCATCGCTGCGAGATCCAAGGCCAGCATTGCCTTCATCCTGGACCAGCTCCCTTCGATTTATGAGCCTGACGACATCAACGAGCGCAATTGCATTCACCGCCTTGTAATTCACATTGGCCGCACAAGGTCTAATGACCCTGACAACGAGCCGAAATCTTACCCCTTCCCGATCGGCACTCAGTTTACTTCTCACGATCTCCAGCCAGCAACCTCGCAGCAGACCAACACCCCACGTGCCCTGAACGAAAACGAGACCAAGCTCCTCGGAAAGGATGATGAGGCAGTCCAGATTCTCATGTATCTCCTCGACACACTGAAGCCGGAGCACCGTGAGGCGCTCAGCGGCAGGGACTCGTTCGGCCGCATGCCGCTGCACTACGCTGCTCGCTTCGGCTTCGTCGTCGTTTGCCAGATCCTCATGGCCAAGATGCAGGAGTGGGGCCAGTTCAACGTTGAGAACGGCATTGATGCCCCCGAGTGGCAGGACAATGACGGTTACGCGCCGCTGCATTTGTCAGTCGTCGGCGGCCATCCCTTGACCACTAAGGCCCTCCTCCAGGGTGAGAACTGGCAGGGCGTGAATGAAAAGAAGGCGGAGATGAGGAAGACGGTGTCGAAGTCTGGCGCTGTTTTGGCCATGGCCACCAAGTCCAACTACAAAGTCATCGTGGAGATGCTTGTTGAGGCTGGAGTGGATATCAACTGGCAGGATAAGACGGGTGAAACCGCTCTTCATCTCGCTGCGCGATTTGGCCATGACGAAATTGCCAAGGTTCTCCTGAAGGGCACCGACGAGCAGAAGGCTGATGTCGAGATTCCCGAGAATTCGTACGCCTGGACGCCACTTCACGTCGCAGCTGTCGACGGTCATCTGTCGATGGCGCAGTTGCTTGTTGATGCTGGAGCTGAGATCGCCAAGGCTGATTCTTCTGGCTGGACCGCCAAGGAGCATGCTGCTCTGCGTGGCCACCTGGACATTGCCAGACTTCTTGCGGCGCAACCTGCTGCCGACCTCGTCCAGACCACGAAGGAACTTAAGGTTTCTGGAGACACCTCTCGTTCTTCGTCCCCAGAGAACAACACATCCCTCGACGGTCGCAAGTCGAATGGCGCCAGCCGTCCGCTCGAGCCTGTCAAGACTTTTGGTCACCGATACCTCACTAACAAGAGCATGGTCTTGGTCAGTCTCGGTTCGATGGATATGCGCAAGAACATTGAGGCCGTCAAGCTCGACCGTGTGCCCCTGACCGAGGCTCACCTTACAGAGCTGGACACAGCTCTGTCTATCGTGGTTTCGGCTAGTGGAGCTCAGGGTGAGCCTACCATTCTCGACTTGCCCGTCCACGAGAATATCTCTACCGAACCAATCGTCTTCACCGCCGAGGACCCCGCACAGGTTAAGATCATGTTCGACATTGTTCCTACCTACTCTGGAAATGAGAAGAACAAGATCGGACGTGCTGTTGCCCTCCTCTCCCACATTAAGCCCACCATCGGTACCAAGCGCATGAACCTACAGGGCGACGTCTGCATTCCCATCATGGGCAGCAATCTGGAAATTATTGGCACTGTCAACTTCAACTTCTTGGTCGTCACTCCTTTCTCCCACCCCAACATGGAGATCAACTCCCAGCAGACTTACTGGAAGAAGCTTGCTTCAACGATGGTTATTGGTCACCGCGGCATGGGTAAGAACCTGTCGAGCAACAAGTCTCTCCAACTTGGAGAGAACACGGTGCCTTCTTTTATTGCAGCAGCCAACTTGGGCGCCCAATATGTTGAGTTCGATGTGCAGCTTACCAAGGACCACGTCCCGGTTATTTACCACGACTTCCTTGTCAGCGAGACGGGTATTGATGCCCCAGTGCACACCCTCACTTTGGAGCAATTCCTTCATATCAACCCTGACTCCAACCGCCCCAGTGTCAACGGCAACACCATCAACGCTGTCAATGAGAATCTAGAAAGAGTTCGCAACAACGTCCCAGGCCCCAGACAACGTTCTTTGTCCATGGGATATGCTGGAGATGGCTTGAACGGCAATGGCCTCGAGGAGCGCATGAAGCACACCCGTGACTTCAAGAACAAGGGCTATAAGGCCAACTCGCGCGGCAACTTCATCCAGGCCCCCTTTGCCACCCTTGAGGACCTCTTCCGCCAGCTGCCCGAGCACATCGGCTTCAACATTGAAATGAAGTACCCTATGCTCCACGAGAGCGAGGAGCAGGAGATGGACACCTACGCCGTCGAACTCAACTCCTTCTGCGATACAGTCCTGTCCAAGGTCTACGACCTCGCTGGCAACAGGCACATCATTTTCAGCTCCTTCAACCCGGACATCTGCCTGTGCCTCAGCTTCAAGCAGCCCTCGATCCCCATCATGTTCCTGACCGACGCCGGCACCTGCCCCGTCGGCGACATCAGGGCCTCGTCTCTCCAGGAGGCCATTAGATTCGCTAGCCGCTGGAATCTGATCGGTATCGTCAGCGCCGCAGAACCGCTCATTAACAGCCCGCGACTGGTCAGGGTCGTCAAGGAGAGCGGTCTCCTCTGCGTCAGTTACGGGACGCTGAACAACAACCCCATTATGGTCCAGGTAAGATCCAAGATCCGCATTCCTCCTTCTAGAGTCATCAAATACTAACTCCCTTGCAGCGCCAAGTAAAAGAGGGTATCGACGCGGTCATCGTGGACAACGTCCTTGCTATCAGAAAGGGACTCACGACCAACGAGGAGGCCAACGGTCAGGCGTTGGATGAGGGTTCGGAGGGTGAATCGTCTTAGACAAAAGCTGTTTCGGAACCGGTTCGACAGTACGGGATGAAAAAAAAACTTGCATGGCGTAGCGTTGTGGGAAATGGCATCGGGCTCGTCTCGGGTATTGAGACTTGCCTTTCAACATTAGTGATGAGGCATGAGGGCTTAAACATGCCCATGCGGTCATGACGGATGAAAGATTCCGTCAGTTAGGGAAAATGATTTCTGAGTAAATTTTGATGACAATGAACATCGCATCATCCCCCCCTACCTTCTGGTCGAATTCAATAACACTTATGGTGCCTCGTCGTGGTTTGAAACGCTGCTAATGAGGAGTGACTTGTTGGTTTGAATCTGAGGTCATATTGTCCTTGAGCGTTACCAATCTGTCGCGAATGCTGAAGCTTTAACGTCCCCAATAGAAATCAACCGTGTCATACATACGAACATATTTGTCGAAACTTTCAGGACTCGGGTAGTTTCGAGCAAAGACGGCACGTCATCGAGGCTCTTTTGGTGCCTGTCGTGCCAAACTCGTAGACCTAACCACCATTTAAACAATTGTTTCGCAGTCTGGAGGGCTTTCCTCGCCTATGCTTATCAGATAGTGGTGCTCCATCTCGTATGGTCTTCGGTTGTCTTCCATTTATTTGGAATCGGACTTGGACATTGAGAGAAGCGCATCTCTGGAGTGTGACTTCGACCAAGTGTTTTCGTATCGGCATGAGGCTTCCACATTCGCTCAGTGCTAGATACCTAGAGTCCCTCCTAGAGAAATACGGCAAAGGTTTGACGTCTAGGACTTCCTTCAGATGGGACGTCTTGCGATCTCGTCCGAGTAAGTATACTTAGGACACCGACGTGTTGTGAAAGCTCGCGTCATCGCAGATGTCGCTTGTAGTGACTTTTGAGGAATCATAGTTGGAGAGTGACATTTGCCAGGCTGGCTGCATCACGGCAATCGTCTTGGGGTTTATATGTTATCATATAACTAAGATATCAAATGTCGCTCCCTCGATCGTATGTACATGTAGGGTTTTAGGTTGGTTTCGGAGTTAAGGTGTTGTAAAAGGAGGAAAGGAAAAGTCGCAAAAGCAAGTCTGTGGTTCGCAAACATGTCTGTATCAGATCCAATTGGCACAAAGGCCCAACAAGATCCCCTCGCCATATGCATCCGGAAGTGTCCAAGAAAACTTCCCGATGGAACGTATTGAGCATGGTCGCTATACTTAAGCTGTAGGAATGTCAAGCGCGAATTGCTTGATCCCCTTCCTTCCAGGCCGTGATGGCTGCAAAGGTTGCCCAGCTTAGGAGGCATGGTGTTATCGCGGGAGGTCGAGGGGAATTGGGTGGCGGATCATTTGCCATTCCCCTCTTTCCAGGCCGTGAGGGCTGGAAAGGTAAAGACATAAGGAAAGAAAGAGCCATGCGAAGTGTAAGACAACCCGTCGCTACACTGCGGCTGCGATTACCGCCAGAATTCCAGAAACGTAAACGAAGCTTCTCATGGCTACCAAAGGTCACGACCGGTCTCTGAACGGATGGTACGAACACCATCACTGGCCAATTTTGCTCTCAATCTTTGGATCAGAGCCCATAGATCAGCCATATCCAGAAGAACGGTCGAGACTAAAGCGGCCCCAATACCACCCTGAATGCCTTTTTTCTTTTTGTTTTCTTTTTTGGACTCGATATGTCATTCGTTACATCCTCTTCGACGAAGATGCATCAAATGATCCTCCTTGTCGTCTGTATGGTGACCACAACGCCCGCAAGTGTAAGCTTCCGAGAGCATGGCTTTGCAAGCTCGCTTCTTAACAACGTGCCTTGTGTGATTGTCTTGACGGAAATCCGTCTTGCCGCAGCGGCCACAGCGGTAAGGCCCGCCCTTCCGATGGTGCGGGCCGTAGTGTCTGGAAATCAGATCCCTCAAGGATTCGTACCCGACGCTCTCACAGCCCAGCTCGCAACGATACTTGTGTGCGCGTTGTTCGTGTTTCTCAAGTAAATGGGCGGTTTTGAATCGTTTGCTTTGGCATGGAGATACCAAGCAGAATAGAGTCGGCAGAGCCTCGTCTTGCGTTTGCTGTTGCTCTTCTGCAGAGGTGTCCACGGGGCTGGTCAGGTGATCGGATTCAGTCGAAGGAGTTGCATTTAAGAATCGTAGGAATTCTTGAGACGTGGGTCCTGCGGCGGGAGAATTCGCTGGTTGAGTCGTTGAATTTGATGTTTGCTGGCATTCAGTCGAGTAGAATTGTTGTTGTTGTTGGATGAGAAGAAAATCAACATCACCGTCAAATTCGGGCAGAGTATCGGTAGAGTCGGAGAAGACGGTGGCGCCTGGTTGGCTCAGCAGGGCCTTCGGATCCAGGCATTTCTGCTCCCAAACACCAGAATATCGGCGAAACCGAGGGTCCGCGCGACATTGGGGGTGTAAAAAGAGACCGATCGGAGTTTGCCAGTCTTCTTCGTCGTCTTGGATGTTGTCGCTCTGCTGACGGTCGATTTGAGGTTCGGTGCCGTGTTCTGGAAATGAAGTCGGAGAATCGCAACCTTCAGCGTTGCTGGGTTGACTTTGCGCTACGTGATGACCATGTTGAAACCACTGAATTGGGCTTACGCGGGAGGTAGATCCCGCGTGCGATCAATTCTGAAGGTTGAGGTAGTGCGCTGAGCGCAGAGTTCGTCAGGACCAGGAAAACTTCCTCGAAGTAGGTTCCCTAGCCAGACGTTGGCCGGCAGAGCCAGCAGGCTGAGAAGATGGGTGTAGAAGGGAGGAACATCAAAGCTTTGTCTGGGAGTAAGCTGGGGTAATAAACACCTCATGGCCTCAAATGCGACTCACCAACCACAAGTGACGCGGCGCAGCGAAAGAGCTCTGCTTCCAAGCCGGGCACCAAGCTGAAGCCCCAAAGCCCAGGAATGGTTTGCCTTAATCATACCCAAAAAGTGAGCATGGGTTCTTGTAATCCGCCTGATCATCACGTTCCACTCGCCTTCTTCGTTGCTTTACTCGAGGCCAGGCCAATCATAGAAAAAGCCATTACACCCAGTTCACCGCCACCTTACTTACATGTTTCATTCGTGTACGCTAATGCATCTCTTGCCTCTGTCGGCACAGGGCGCAGGCTCGAACCAATGGGGGTCGAAAAAGGCGTACCTATGCCGGCCGCAGGCTCGACTTTCAATTGCCAATACTTTCTTGGCGAATCAGGTGGTGCTGACGTTGAGAGACCATGCGAAGTGGGAGAGGCATTTTAAATAAGTTGTTATCAAGTCCTCCTAGCCTTGCTCCCAAACTGTTTGATTAACATCTCAAATCTACAAGAATCTTCCTCCTATCAGTCTGTCCATACTCAAATCAAGGAAGTCTCGTCAGCTCAACATCGCAGTTCTAACTTTTCGGCGAGATTGATGGAATCCTCAATATGGAAGCAACGAAAGGGTCGAGGCAAAGACTGGAGATCTTGTCCGGTGAAATCCCGCAACTTGAACCGGCTGAGAAACTTGCATCTTCACTCCTTCGACTGGCAAAACGATCACGGCAATGACCGGGTTCAGTCCTCTGTCACCATTCCTGAGTGTATGTTGACGACTGATGGATGTCAGCACAATTTTAGTAGAACGATTCGTCCTGGAGAAGAAACAGGGATGGGAAGATCTGATTCGCATCGGGAAAACTTTAAGAGGTATTCAGCTCATCATAACGTCGTTCGCATCTAGTTTTCCTTCACACAACTGACGTTTTAAGCCTCGAAACAGTTCATGGTCACGAAAGACTTGCCACAGCAGCTCCGAGAACAAGCTCCGAAAGTTCTTTCCAGTCCGTACTCAAGAAGCTTTCGACTCCATCCCTCACACATGAGTCTGTAACTGTAATGGATGCCCTGGTGCCGTATGAGAACTATATCGGAGCTGTTTTGGGAGACCAGTTCCAGCTCGGCGCTCTAGTAAGATACGAGAAATTCGCAGACGTTTACGAAATCACGCCCCTCATTTTCGAAGACGAGTCTGCGATGGAAGCTTTAGCCTACGACTTTCGGGGCACTGGCCTGGAGGCTCGAAAACGAGACATCAAGATTCATCGACCTTACTCCCTTTGCCAGATCGACCAAGGAGGTAGAAAATTCATTGTCTATTATGTTAGCTTAAGGCTGGCACACCATAAAGACAGACAGAAGGCCAAGAAGAGGAAGACTCAGGCAGAAAGGTCCAAAACCGGAACCAACCGACTCACAAAACGCATCAGTGCCGGCGTCAGGATCAAGCCTCCAGCGCAGCACCAAGAGAGAGTCATTACCATCGACGACAGAATCCATCACAACACATTGCCATCTTTCAATGCTGATGAAGTTGAGCCTCGGCCAATACGTCCCCTTGCCTACTGGATCGGCGACGTAGTTGGTGTCCTTGATATGAAAGTGCAAGGACATAGTAAGGAAGAATACTGCTGGCACCACGTCCAAAATGGCTCGATTAGTCGACAAAAAAGGCGTCGAATCTTCTCTTCTGAGAACCATCTTTTCAAAGGGGCATCCAATCTTACTATCTCGAGCAATTCGGTAACGAGATTTCCGTGGAAATATCCGTCAGCACGCCTTGACTCACTGGAACTAGATGGACATGTTGATCAGGTCCAAATCATCGAAGACGAAGATACGCCACTACTGAAGAGTCTCGCCGAGACTCAAAAATCGCTGGCTAAACTGCAATATTACTATGGAAAGCTGGAAACAAGAATCCGGCTGTCTACATCAAATTACGTGTTCTTACCAGACGATACGGCATGCATTAGAGATGCCTCATGGGAGCATTGGATTGAGACACTTGACAGACAATGGCGGCACATTGAAAACCTCGAAAATCGTTTGTGGATGTGGGAACAACTTCAGCGAGAACTTCGAGACATTGACACTCTCTGCCAGTTCATGGACAACCACTTTGAGACCAACGAACAACTTGTCGAACTCGACTGGAACATCAGAAAAGGGGAACCAACCACGCCACAGCATTGCTTTTACGAGTGGACCAGAACCACTAAATTTTCAGCTTATCTGGCTTCTCTGTACACTCGCCAAGGCCCTGCCCTCGCTGCCAGATACAGACAGATAGCGGAGGATATGGATTACGACCGAGTTGAATACCTGAGGAGACTATGGGAGTTTGCGGTTGATCAGGTCAAACTAGGAGACTGTGATAGCTTTGCAGGCAATCTTTGTGAGTTTCACACCTTACATTCAACCGAGCCGACGGTTCTGGAGAGTTTGGAACGGTTATATAGGCTGCCCCTACGAATAAGATAGTGACGATGCTGGTCAATACATTTATCGACACAAAGAAAGCACTTGAAAATCTGGCTGTTTTTGTGTTTCGAGGCAGAGCAACGGGATGTATGTTAGCGGACATATCTGGGACTTCGCATTACCACGAAAGCAGGGCGAGGTTGAGTACTCAATCAGCGTCTGGCGCAAATGCGGCTGCTGATTATACAAGAAAGTCTCACCTGCTCACGTGCATCTTTTTCTATTCAAGGTCTCTTTCCAGGCTGATTCTTTACCAGCTGCAGAGAGTCTCCACTCGTTGAAGGTCATTCGTTTAGCCTCAGTTGTCTGCCTTGGCTACTGCTCACTTCTGCTGTGTCACCTCTATTCGGGCTGCTTTCATTAGTTTCAAGCTGACAGTCAGTTGTTGTCTCGAAGCCAATGTCCTGACCCAAAAGTTGAGGCCAAACCAATCACGATTGCAGGGTGAGAGCTGGGCGCTGCAGTATCGTCGATCAGGTTAGACTCTCGCGGCTGTGTGCTAGACATACGACACGACACCGAAAGCCTGCTGGGACATCTATTCCTGGAGACTCGGTGAAAACGTGTTTTGCTTTTGTCGTAATGTACGTCTGTACTGTACATGAGGAAACAAAAAGGCTCATATCTATGGAAAATGGGGCTGCTCCGGAGGGGAAGTTTATGCGGAAACCCCTGCGTAGCGTACAATACTATTTGTAATATATCAAGCCCTGAGGATATCTGTTTCAGAGGCTACAGACAAGGAGTTCGCAAAGGGCAGGTTACCTGCGAAGAGAACGAGGGGATGAGTTGGACCGTGTCGATATGGGGTGCCAGAGCAAATGCGGACATGGATCCACTGATACCGAACTTCCAGGCTTACTGCCAGGCTTACCTATCTCATAATCTGATAGCATGTTGGTTGTTGGTGCGAGGAAACGGCACCAACACGCTGCATATGCGGGTATCCCCTACGAGACGCGACACCGTGGTCTCTTTTACATCGATGACACTCAATTGCACTCCTAAGTTAGTTCTACACCTGCCAGGGACCACGATCATCAGTCCTTTGAATCATCTCACTAGAAAAGCCGATTGGTGTGTTACTCTCAAAATCATGGGCTTCAAAGAGCCACGACAACTGCCCCAGGCTCCTCCGCTTTTCACTGCAACGCCCACTTCGATCCTCCAAACCGCCGAAAGCCTGATTGAGCATCTTTTCTCGGTGCAGAGCCAGGTCATCGAGCAGGTCCAGCCTGATGACGCTACATTCGCCAACGTTATTATGCCGCTCGTCCACGCCGAGAATGCTTTAGCACGGGAATCTCACGTGCTTATCTTTTACAAGTCTGTTTCGCCCGATCCAGAATTGCGCGATGCTTCGGGAAAGGCACAGATTCTTCTTGACGAGTTCGCGGTAGAGAGCGCCCTAAATGAGACAATCTTCGGCCTGATTGATGCCGTGATGCGCAAGAACGAAATCCTCGACTCAGAGTCGCTGCAATTACTGAAAAGGAAGCACAGAGACCATGTGCGCAACGGCTGCAGCTTACCGGAAGGGCCTCGCAGGGAGTGCTTCGTCGCAATAAAAAGCCAGCTGAGCCGACTGAGTGTTGAATTCCGGGAGAATTTAGCCAACAACACAGGGGAGATATGGCTCACCCCTGAAGAACTGGACGGAATGCCCCAAGCCAGGATATTGCAGCTGGAGAAGGGGCAAGGAGAGAATGAAGGCAAGCTGCGGTTGCCACTTGGAGGCTCGTCCTTCAACTCGAGCCTCATGGTTTTGAAGAGAGCAGACATTCGCAAACGCACCTACATCGCCGGCTATAACCGCTGCAACCAGAATGTCCCTGTCTTCCGAGATATCGTGATTCTTCGCGATGAAGCCGCTCGCCTTCTTGGATATTCTAGTCATGCAGCATTTCGTCTGGAGGACAAGATGGCCAAAACCGTGGGAAACGTCAACGCCTTCTTGGATGATCTGCGAGAGCGACTAACACCCGGTTGTCATCAAGAGATTCAAGCCTTGCGAGAAGTCAAGAAACAGGACGTCGAGTCTCGTGGAGAATTCTTTGATGACAGATTTTATCTGTGGGATCACGCATATTACAATCGGTTGATGCTCGAGCACCAGTATTCGATCGACCAGCAGAAGATTGCCGAATATTTTCCCTTGCAGCATACAGTTTTCCGCATGTTATCAATCTTCGAGACATTATTCGGTCTCGTTTTCCACGACAATGGCAATGATAGCCTTGGAAAGGATCAAGAATATGTGTGGCATGAGGATGTTCAGCTTCTCAGCGTCTGGGATGATGCCGAGCAAGGCGGTGGATTCGTCGGTTACCTATATCTCGATCTCTTCTTTCGTGAAGGCAAAAACGGGGGTGCTGCAAATTTCAACGTGATACCGGTAGGTCAAGTTCTTCGAGAGCAATCCTCTTTCACTACTGACACGTTTCCCTTCGTCTCAGGGCTTCATTAAGGAGGATGGCACTCGCCAGTACCCTGCAACGGCAGTAGTTTGCAACGTTTCCAAGCCTACGGATGAGAGTCCCAGCCTATTGAGGCACGACGAAGTGGTTACGCTTTTCCACGAGCTGGGCCATGCCATTCACGACCTTGTGTCCAAGACCAAATACGCCTGCTTTCATGGGACGGAGACTGTTTTGGACTTTGGAGAAGCCCCCAGTCAGATGCTTGAGAATTGGTGTTGGACACCATCTCAGCTGAAGACGTTGGGTAAGCACTACTCGTCCCTTTCACCGGAGTATCTGAAACTCTGGCAATCAAAGTCGACTGAGAGCCAGAAGCCACCGTGCGAGGAGTTGCCGGACGACATGATCGAAAGCCTTGTGCGGTCGAAGTACGTCAATTCCGCATTGTTCCACCTTAACCAGCTTTGTATCTGCAAGTTCGACATGGCGGTCCATAGTCCCGAAAGCCACACGGTGATCGAGAACATGAATGTTTCCGCAACTTACAACCGGATACGTTGTGAGATTTATCCGGCAGAGGGCCCCGAAGCTGTGGGCGAAAACGATGAATGGGGCCACGGTTACGTCAACTTCGGGCACCTGGTCGGCGACTACGACGCCGGTTATTACAGCTATTTATTGTAAGTCTAGAATGTCCCACGGACGACTCTTCCTTCACTGTTTGCTGATAGTTACTGTGAAGCTCCAAGGTGTACTCGGCCGATATGTTTCATACCGTCTTCAAGGCAGACCCAATGAATTCGGAGGAGGGTCGGAGATATCGATACGCCGTTCTAGAAAAGGGGGGAAGTCAAGATGAGATGAAGACACTTCAGGAGTTTCTGGGCCGGGAACCCAAGTCGGACGCCTTTCAAATCGAGCTGGGTATAGCGTGACATGAGCTACTCCGTCATCTGTGGTCCTGTTTCATTACTCAAAGTTTGGATCTCGGATGTTTTCGACAGGACTACCAGCGTAAAGCGAATGAGGCAATCTGTTCATTCTAGAAGGTACGACATTGTAACTCAAGACTACTTTTCCTGATCAAAGTCGTAGCTGTTTCCAAACCCACGGCCAAGGTATGACCCGAGAGCCTCCTGTTGCTCAATCCAATCGACCGGAATCTCCAAGTGCTTCTCCAACCCTGCCAGCAGAGGTCTCACATCTTCCCCAAATTGCAACCTCATCGGGTTGCGATACCACGGCGCGAAGTGTATCATGGCAAGCATCACTCTCACCTCCTCGCTCATGTTAGGCATACCAGCATGCCACAGCCTCAAGTCTCTTACAACTATACTCCCCTTTTTTACCCCAGGCTGAGACGGGCCTCTCACATCCCTTCTCTGAGCAAGAAGCTCCTCCTTGATTCGTCCGCTGGCCCTTTCTCCATGCTTACCCTCTTGGGCCGAGACATCAGCAGTGTGAGTACCAAGCCAGAGCTCCGTGGACCCGTTCTCAGGTGTCATGCTCACGAGAGGGACGTTGATAACCAGGGCGAACGGATGCGAGGGGTGCGCGAAATCGGCGTCCGAGTGTACGGGTTGTCTCTGAGGCGATGAGCCCGGGAGAGGCGGCATGGCGGAGTTGGCTGAGCAGAAGGTCCATTTCGGTCGAGGGCCAAGGACTGTGGAAGTGATTTGGGTGGCGATGGGATCTGTTTCTCATGTAAGTAACTCATCTTCGTGACTAGGAAATCAGGCTCTTACTTGTGAAGATCGATTTGTGAAAGAACTCAGCCACGGGCGGGGGATCTTGTTGAAGGTTACCGAGATTGTAGTTGAACGGCCCCTTGTCACCGAGGGATTGGAGATACCGCGCATCCTTGACCATCTTCTCATTCAGAGCATCTAAGTCTTCGTGAGGGACAACATCCTCAACGACAACTAACCCATCAGAGTACAAGTGCCGGACTGCAAGCTCGAGATTGCGTGGTGCGAGGAAGTTGTCGCGAACTTCGGCCGCTGAGGGGCGGATGATGGCGGGGTGGGTTGGTAGGCGTGTAAGTGACGCCAGGGTCTTCTGGCCGACACTGCCGCGGAATGCTGAGCGCTGGTGTAGTAAGGAGGTAATCGGTCGCGCAAAAGTTTTCATCTTGGCTGATTAAGATGAGTCTGATGTGAAGCCATAATGAGATGTAGATGAGCATTTCTCATGGATTAAGTACTTGGGGTTCATGGAGAGAGAGTGCTGAGAGGTTACCCCAATTCCGAGCTCGGGTTTGCTCCCAAGCCCCCTCCAAAGCAACCCTGCCAAACCCGAGCTCGGGTTATGTTACCATTCATAGTCACTCCTCTTGACCCCGGATTCACCCCAGATTGCAAAAACTCCGCAGGTGGCTTATTTTCTCGACTCTCATTCGTGAGCTCTTTCTAATGTTGCGGGTGTCGATCCACTCCATTCGACTTGCAGGTCTGAGATGAGTCTCTGAACCGGCCATCCGATCAATCGCTTACAGGCCATGAGACGACGGATGAGCTCTTGCTGGGCGGCTTTCTCGCGGATGAATCTTGCACCTTTGCTAGGCTTCAGTTTCATGGTGCTAATGAGAAGTTTGGAGAAACTCACAGTACGCAATTGGTCCGAAGGAGTTGACCAGGACGGAGGGTATGTTAGTGGTGAAAGCTATACCGCAGATGTCCGAGGCACATCTTTCTAGGATGTCTTCCATGGTTGCACTAATTTCTTCCGAGAGACTCAAAAAGCTCACCAAGTCTATTGTCCGTACTGGTGTTGCATGGGTGCAGAGTACGGCCACGCAGACGAGCTTGTAGTGAATCGCCGCCGCTGAGGCGCTGTTAGCTTCGTCTTGTATCGGCATCGCAAAGCCAAGACTCACCATGACAGTCTGTTAGCATCCATGTTGATGAGAAAACAAGACTTAGTCCTCGCTCTTCTCTTGAGAAAGGTTTGAAACAAGCCGGAAGGCCCGAGGACCAGTCGCGAAGCATGTCGAAGAGGAGAACCCAAGTCTCCGCAGTAACGAACCCGGAAAAGCAGGCGTTGATAATGCGACCTAGAATTAGCGATACCGTGTTCAAATAGCTTTGATCGGTGTCATGCTGCGTCGGTAAGGGCATCCGATCCAAGTCAATCTTGAGTGGGCACCGCTGAAATAGGCTGAACGTGATGTCTTCGCGGAGGTAGTTCCAAAATCCCGCGGTTCTCATTCCGGATCCCAGGTAGTCGACAAGCGGACTGCGATAGGCTGCTAAGGAGTATGCCCCTCGAAGATGTCTGTTTGGATCGATCTCCTCTGCGCACTCTCAGTCTCGGCATGGCCGTCTAATTGGCAAAAGACGTACCGCTGAGAATCTCGTATGAACGGAGCAAACACACCGACGCAAGCGCTAATCCCCCCGTATTTGCTTCATCTTCGTCATCGTCCTTCAGCTCAATCAACAAACGAATACAATGGCCGTGATAGAACTCAGCCGCCGCCTTGGCCGACGGAGCAGTCGTTTGGCTGACGTGCACCGCCGACAAGGCCAGAATAGCAGCGAAGGGCAGCGGGCTGTCCAGGGCGATCTCAGGCAGTTTTGTCCCGAACGACAGCGAAGCGTCGCTGAGGTCATACCACGGGGCGATGTCGGTGATGTAGTGGTGGAAGTAGCGCGCGACCGAAGGATTCAGGAGAGCGGTTCGTGGCGTCTTGGGCGAAGGGAACGTTCCTAGTGCCGAAGTCGCTAAAAACCTTGGTTACTTTGCTTGAATCACTTGTTTTAATGTACAACATTCTTACGAGCGCGTCCTGCTTCGGCTTCATCTTCTGCGCTCTTGTTGTGAAATTGCGCGGGGACTGCGCTGCGGTCGCAGTATCGGTTTGCCTTGGAACATCGCTGACATATGGGAACGGATTCGTCGCCTGTATTCGTGTCAGACGCAAGCCACTTATGAGATCGGGCGGCTTACACTTGACTTTGCGAACGCGGCACGTATTGCTGAGGTCGTATCAAGCTCATTAGCATTGTCACCCGGGGACTTTTACGTGATCTCGAGTGCGAACCATGCTTAGAAATGTTAGTCCACTCCAACCACTGAATTTTTGTCATGCGATTCCGCGCGGGCCAAATGTCTCACCTGCTTGATTGAAAATACGAGGCATGGTGCATGGCTGTGTAAGACCGATCGCCTAAGGCTAGAGAGCAAACCGCGCCGGGTAAGGAGACCCCTAGGGATGACGATGAGGCTCGCGGAGGTATCAGATGTGAGAAGCGGAGGGGGGGGAGTAACATCCAGATGTAACAACGACACGTTTTCTGCCCGGAAGGTCGGCACCGAGAAGCCGAACCCCAGGAATAGCTTCGGCCGGCAAGTGTCCCCGCCATCTCGGAGCAAGTGGGGCCATGACCTCAGATCTTCCCCGGGCGTCTGACCGGGACGCCGGCACCCGCGTCACCTCAGCACTAACATGACCAAGCCTCGTTGATCAACGGCCACTAGCCGGCCGCAGGACTAGATGCGGATTTAAGGCTGTTCGGCCCGATGGCAGTCCTGCGAAGTCGTGAAAGGTACGCAAATAGATGGCTTGAAGGATCCGAGGTCGACAGCGTGAAAGGACTCAAGTGACTTGATACCGCCACATCGAGAAACGTTGCATTGGAAGACGACGTGATTCGATCTTGTATATAAGATGAGCACATATGCGCTGAACAAACAGAAATACTTTGATCAACTCAGACTCACATCAACAATCCAACTTCAACTTCAACTTCAACTTCAACTTCAATATCACTCATCACTCATCACCAACACCACCACCACCACTACTTCTACAAAACCTTCAAAATAATCATGCAAACCCTCATCAAGACCGCCCTCTTCGCCTCCGCGGCGATGGCCGCCAGCATCCCCATCAGAGACGTAACCTACCCCGACGCCTTCCGCCTCTCAGTCAACGTCACCAGCCCAGCCTACGACTCCCAGCCCTCCGTCCAGGGCCAGGAACTCGTCTACACCCCCAACGCCGGCTGCAGCGCCAACACGACCTTCGCCCCCGCCGGCCAGGGCACTCTCTTCCGCGTCGCCGGCAACACCGTCGGCGTGGCCCACTACTTCGACGACGAGTCGTCTCCCTCCGCCGGGCTGGTCATCACCCCCGGAGGCACGGCGACCGTGCCGAGCACCAACATCGTCAAGGTCCAGTGCTCAAACGGGACCACGGGCGTTTCGGTCACTTCTTCCGGGCTCGCTTACGATGGCGGTAGCTTCATGGCCTGCAGTGGCGTGGGATACGACGAGAACCTGCCGGTTGTATTGAGCTTCAGGCAAGCCGGGCAGAGGGCTATCATCAGCTGCGCTGTTATTCAGCTTCTTCCTGTGTACTAAGGGTTTCGAAGATGCTTCGTTATCAAAATCAGAATCTAGAGTCACGGTTCAGCGTGTGTAAATGAGCAACAAGGGTACTAGGATGGCATTTGGAAGCATTTACATAGACAAGCATTGTTTGTTGGTAGCATATTTAGCATTTACACCATAATCAAAAACACCTTGGCCAGGTATAAATAAGACTTTTCCCTTCTCATAACTTCAACTTCCTCGTCTAAGCCCCCATCCTTGCAATCAACCGCTCATCGAGTACATTGATCCACAAACTCCCCAATCTCCTTGTTAAACCTCTCCGGCTCCTCGTAGAACAACCAATGCCCCGACTCAAACACCGACTCCCTCGCCAGCCCGGGCCTGTTCTTCTCCACCCTCTTCACCGTCTCAAGCATGCCCTCCAACGGGAAGCACCCAGACCGCCGCCCAGCCATCACCAGCGTCGGCACGCTAATCATCTCAATCGCCTCGCGGTGGTCATACCGCGTGTGGTCAGCGAGCAACCTCGCCAACCAGGTCTGATCGCACAGCGCGCTGATCTTCGTGAAGAACTCCTCGTCCTCCCTCCTCTTCTCCTCAGAAACGTCGTCCTTGGCGTCCGGCTTGGCGCGGTACCCAAGACACCCGTCCACGAGATCCACATGAGCCGCCTTGGATTCCTCGATCCAGAACTTCTGCGCCCCCAGCATGCTCTTCTCGTCGTAGCACCCCGTGTGCGCCTTGCTCTCGTCCCACCCGTCGAAGCCGGACCGGTCCTGCAGCGGCGCCTGGTCCACGAAGACGAAGCCCGCGAAGTCGGCGCACCCGAACAGCTCGACGTAGGTCCAGAGCACCGCGGCGCCGATCGAGCACCCAACCGGCACGATCCGCACGTTCGGGGCCGCGCGGCGGAGGTGGGCCACGAGGGAGTGCAGGTCCGCGGCGAGGCGGGCGACGTGGTAGCCGCCGCGGGTGCGGTCGGATTTGCCGTGGCCGCGCATGTCCGGCGCGACGACCCAGAAGCCGCGGTCGGCGAGGGCCGGGGAGTTGCGGTAGAAGTAGTCGCCGGAGCCGCTGAAGCCGTGCATGAGGAGGACGCACTGCGTCGCGGAGGCGGCGCCGCCGTTGGTGAGCGGGAGGGAGGTCTGGAAGGCGAGCTTGCAGCCGTCGTTGGCGCCGCAGTGGGCGTAGTGCATGCCCGTGTTTGCCATTTTTGGGGTTGACTGCTCTGAGATGGCTTGGTGGAATTTGAGATGTAAGAAGTGAGGTAAACGAGTTTAATGGGAAGAAGAAGTGGTTTAGGGGTCCTTTTGATTATCAAGGGTGAGAGGACGTCATGGCGATGGCGGGGACGTTTTCTGTTGGTGGGGCCGCTGCGGGTTGCGGGGTGGTGGGGCACGGCGGCCCGATGGTAACGGCGGCGATCCGGACTACCGCCGATGCCACCGGACGTATCTTTGATTCCAGAGCCATAAGACTAATCCTCCAGCCCATAGGTCCCATTGATTTCGAGGCTTATAAAGATGTTGGGGCCACCATAGGTTGAGGTCAGTATTTCGACCCTGGCAACTGGAAACTCATGTATCCGAGACACGCCCTTGGAGGGCTTTCCGAGATCGATACCGGAGGCTTCACGTTCCCATCATCGGCTTGTTTTCACGTTAACTACAATCTATTTGGGTTCTTGATTGCATTCATCTGCAAAACCGCATCGGAAACTCACCACTTTGCCAACACATCATGTGCGTGTGGTCTTCCTATCAACCACATGAGGGCGAAGCTGCCTGAAATAACTTCATTGCTCGCTGATAGAAGAACTCTATGAGGTAAATTGAGAATCCAGCTACAATATCTGCGCATGGACAGTCTTGTCTCTCAACTCTTCATGCGTCATCCTCAACCCCCACAAGCTTGAGACTCTCGATCCATAGCTTTTTCTCCGTGGGCGGATCGTACGCAGCCGCAACGTACCCCTCGCCGCCGGGCTTCACATCCGACGCAGCCTTCACCGCGATACTGACATCCTCAAGATACTTCCCACCCTGTCCCTCCAACTCCTTGGCCACGGCGCCCCACACCGACGTAGCCGCACCTTGAGACGTATCCTTGAGGAACGCCTGCACCTCGGGTGTCTTGATCTGTTTCTGCAGTTCGGGCGAGTGCCGTTGAAGCGGCGTCTCGATGCCTCCAGGGTTAAGGCTGAAGGCACGGATGCCTTGGGACGCGTAGCGGCGGTCGAGCTCGTTTGCGAAATGGATGTTGGCCAGCTTGGATTGACCATAGGCGGGCCAGGGCCCGTACTCGACTTTGCTTTCGAAGTTGAAGTCTTCGAACTGGATACGGCCTGAGCGGTGGCCGGAGGAGGAGACGGCGACGACGCGGGAGTTGAACGATGGGGTCGAGGCGGCGAGAAGGGCGGGCTTGAGAAGCTGGAAGAGGAGAAAGTGACCTGATTATTGTTAGGGGGTGAGGTTGTAGAGTGTGAATCAGGACATACCCAAGTGATTGGTGCCAAACTGTGTCTCGAAGCCATCTACGGTCTTACCCTTGGGGCAAGCCATGACACCTGGTCGTATTAGCAACTGTATCTAACTTCAAGTAGAGTGAGCGTACCAGCGTTGTTGATGAGAACGTGCAGCTTGTCTGACTTGCTCAGGAACTCCTTGGCTCCTTCCCTCACACTTTCAAGGGAGCTCAGGTCGACCTTAATGACTTCGACCTTTCCAGGCTTTCCATCGGAAAGGATGTCCTTGGCGACTTGCTCGCCCTTGGGGACATCGCGGACGGTGATGTAGACGTCGGCGCCGGCCACATGCAAAGCCCTGGCGGTTTCGGGCCCAATGCCACCGGGTGAGCAGCCCGTGACGAGGACCACCTTGCCGGTCCACTTTCCGACGAGGTCTTGGTCTTGGATGATCTTGATGGCGGAGGGACGGGCATCACCAGGCCCGGTCATCTTGTTGTGCTCCTCGAGGTAGGGGGCAAGGCGAGACATTTTCGTGGGATGGTTGTGGAAAAACTTGGCAGGGAGAGTGTCGATGTTGATTCTTGCAAGGTGTTGTTGGTTTGAGACTCGGAGTGTTGTTATGGTTGATGCTTTTCGAATGCCCTGAAGGAAGGACGCTCTCATGTTTAAATATCACGAAGACGTTCACGACAAACATGGATCTTGGATTACTCCGGCGAGGGATATGAGGAAGGCAGTATCCGAGCCTTGAGGCGGGCCTTATGCAAGGCGCATGGAGCCACCGGACTTAAGACGGTATTTCGAGCCATTTGCATGGGGTTCGCTTTTTAAGGTTGGAACTCATGTGGGATGGAATGAAAAACCTGGTGGTTTATTGAGCATCAATGATGTAGGTGGACATCGATCTCGCCCGGAGGCTGTATGATATTGAGTAGATGAGGAAGGAGGAATGAGGAATAATAGCCTTCTTCGCTCTACCCGTATTGGCTCGCTACCAGACGGGAACGCCCGACAATCAGATCTGAACGAGACTGGTCACTTCTGGCATTCCAGCTGAATGGGACTAACATGCGGGCTTCAAGAAAACGCTGCAAGGTGGCGGACGTAATGCGGACTCCGGGGTTTAGGTAAGCTTTTTTTCGTATTGCGTCATGGAGGGGATAATGCACGATAGTAGGTTTTATCGGAGTTAACGGGGCAGGATGCCAACGGACTTAAAGCTGGGCGATAAGATAACATCCACGCGAAATTGCGGTTCAGACACGACCCCACTATAACGGAGAGGAAAAACCTTGGTGCAGTCTGTCCGAATGGTAGCACGTGACCTTGCACTTCTGGCCCCCAATGGCTCGTGCAGAAAGGTGTTCGTACGGCCCCGCTGTCAGCCGATCCGTCCAATGTGATTCCGGGCTGACTTCATTGTCGCCCCGGCAGCAGGTCTCAAGACAACCTATTCGGATCGATTCCGAGGCCGGTCTCGCCTGTGAAGCACCGACGGGGCTCCAAGAACGGCTGGGAAGCTCACCCCTGCTGATTCCCGACTTCAACACGGGCTGTTGCGAAAAGAGGCTGCCGCCGCCCGGGGTGGGCAGAAGACGGACAGGGCTGTGCAGGGCGAAGCTTCAGTGTTTCCAATCCCCAGGGACCACGACTATTCCTATCACGGCATGCTATGGCTGACCATCCTCAGGCGGTTTGGCGAGGGCGGGTGGTATTCTGAGCCGGGCCTGTCAGCGGCATGTCAATCAAAATCCAACCGCAACTCTGTTTGCCCGACAACTGCAGCTAAATTGTTTTCTCTCCTTGGATGAGGTGGCTCGAAACAGAATCGACAGAAGACTTGAAGCAAGCAGCTGCGGGTGCGCCGCGACATTTTCGCGCAGCTGGTGCGACTCGATTCTCAAGACGTTGAAACACCACCGCGGCTGGTAATCTCCACGCTGATTCAAGTGCTTACTCGGATCATGACGCTGAACCTGCGAGGGAAAACTTTTCGATATGTCAGTGGATTTTCGTTTCGAAGAACGAGAGCAAATGATGGCTTCCTGTCGTTTGCCAATCGCAACGATGTTGGTGAAGATGAGATGGTGAAACGGGGAAACATGGCCAAAAAAGTAATCGATGATGGCGATAGCCAAATGCCATTCGCAATGCCCATATTTCACTGGACGGCCAAGGAACCTTCCCTCTGCGATGAGAGCACCGCTCATGCCTTGGTACGGACACAGAGTGACAGAGTGCCATCCAAGCACTGGCAGGCACTGGAGTTTTCCCCGCAGCTCCCCTCCACCATCAGGCCTTCGTCCCAGCTCCCACCAACTTCAAGCTTGGAATTTGCTAGGAAGATACCTGGTTCGGACCCCCATTTCCCACCATCTCTTCCCGGTCACGGCCGCTAATCCAAGTCGAACCACAACAGAGATCCAGAAAGCAAGCTTCCAACGCGCGTGAGATGACAATGTCGCTGTCGTCCAAGTCCACGTCCGCGTCCCCTTCCACCGTTGGACATCTGTCGGTCCATCAACCAAACCAACGACATTTCTGGATACCTCGCTGCCAATATACCCTCATCTCGCTCAGGCACTGCTTTCCGACACGCAAGCCATCACGACGCCGGCCCCCAACTCTCAACTTTGTCAGCTCTGGCTTTCGTTTTCCGAATATTTCGAGTCTGGCGCAATTCCAAAGAAGGAAGAGGCTGTACCTACATTGTACCAATCCTATCTGGCTACCCCCCAGCAGCCAACCCGCAGGCTCAGCGGCTGAGCAACAAGCAACCCAATCATCGCTGGCTTCGAGACACCGGAGGGTGAAGCGGTTCCCACAAAGCGCAAACAGCTGCCGTTGGGAGCCTTGTTGTCTTGTGTGTACACTTCGATACATCAGCACTGCTCCCTTCAGCACAGCACTGTCGTCAGTACCTCCCGTCCCATTATTGCGAGTTGACGTACGTCGACTCCAAAGAGCTGAGTGTGCGCCCAGCACCTCCTCTGCTCAAAGAAAAGAAAGAGACGGAAAACAACAAGGCCAAAGGTTCAAAAAAGGCCCACGAGCAAGAGGCCAACCCGAGATCGATCAAGGGACCGTGTATCCCGCATAAACCCCCCGTCGGACCAGTCTCTCCCACCACCTCCCGGTCAGGTCTAGGTCTTTTCTCTCCACCGCACCCTCAACCGCCAAGCCGCGAGTGCCACTTGCACGACTCCATTCGCAATCCACCTACTCTCACCCTCTGCGGTTACCACCAACAGCTTCCCTTTCCTGGCCTGATCTGACCGACGAGCCTTGCCTGCTGCTACTGCCGCTGCCGCTGCCATCGCGCAGCGTCCAACTACTGTCGCTGCTGCTTATGGCCTTGGGAAGATCGATGCAGAAGCGAAAATAAGCTGCATCAGCCCGGACTGAGACCACTCAAAGCTACCCTGCGTTGCTCACGTTTTCGAGGTACCCATCCGTACGGATACACAACCTCTGCTACTCGGAGCCCGTTCTGCTTGCTGCTCTTCTCTTTCATTCTTTACAATCCCGCCCACATCTCACACACTCTCCAACACCCGTCCGCCGGCCACATCTTCGCCCTCCACGCAACAAGGCGCCGCTCCAGAGCCGTCTTCGACTTTTGCGCCTCTTCATTGCCGCCCTTTTTTCTCGCCGGACTGCGCACTACCTCGCCCATCCCCGCAGCGCCCTTCGAACGCCAGACCAGGCCACAAACCTACTGTCAATCCGTCCATGTAATGCCGCCGCTTGGCCTTGCGCTCTGCTGTTCCTGCACGTCCCCGACAGCTTGGACATACTGGATTGCGACTGTCTCGACCCCACACCCACCTCCAGGCGGCAACGCGCCCAGCGCCTAAGGTGCACGACTGCCGCCCACGGACACACATGAGAACCTCACCTCCATCATCCGCCCAACACCCTCGTCACCGCACCCCGCCGACTAGAGACAACTCGACCCAAACCTGGCGATTCAGCCAGCATGGCCGCCTTTGTAAGGGTTTCCGGTCCGCCAAATAGTAGCTTCCTCGTCGGCTACCCTGGCATTTCTGCGACTCTGGTATGTTGTCCCTCCATTCCGTGATGACGTCGGGGAGGCTGGTGTCTCTAATCTTATGCGCCTGCTTACTGACATTCTTCCTTCCTGCGAAACAGCCCCGAGTCGAAGGCAAAGTCGAGATCCGTCCGTCGCAGGGCTATTCCATGCCCGTCGCCGTGTCGCTGGTGCGCATATGTCTACAAAGAAGAGAAACGATACACCCCGCCGCCGAGAATGTTGCAAAGAGACACCTGGGTACCCCAAGAAGGGAGACGACCGACGTCGTTGGCAAAGAACTGTTGCTGTTCCGATGTCAATCAGGGAAGGAGGCAGAAAGCGTCATCGCAATGGACCTGCCTTTCGTCCTTTTCATTCCGTTTGGAAGGGGCGGCGAAGAGACGAACCGACGAATCCCCCCCGCATCACTACAACTCCCCAGCCGAACCGCCGAGACATACTACGAACTTGTCGTGACGGTACAACAAGGTCACACATTACAAAATAAATACTCTTTTCCGATCCCGCTGCAACGATACGATACCCTATCGACTTTTGGCATGTACAACAAGCCCGAATCGCGGCAGGTCAGCGATGCGAGCGTCGTCACGCTGGGAATATCAGTCCCTAAGTGGAGTTACGGACCGCTCGATCCAATAACAGTTTACATCAAACTGGTACCGAATCCCGACTGGATGAAAAAAGCGTTAAAGGTTACGATTCAGAAGATCACCGTCGCCATCGAGGAGGAGATTACGTACAACCCCGAGGGAGACGAGCCTTCGAAGAAAATCAACAAGATCGCGAAAAACCAACAAGTGGTTAATACAAGAATGCCGGAGGCTGGGTACGCCACGAACCTCGGACTTGTGTTTCCCTCCAAGGACTTGCGCGATCCGGACGGCATCATACGAAGGGGGAAGCCCGCTTTTCCGCTATACGAGGTCACGTCTTTCACCACGAGCTCAACATTATACAAGATCGAGTTCTTTCTGACGGTCAAGGTAAACCATTCATTCCCCCCTTCATGTTGACTTCTGGGTACTCATGTCTTATAGGCGCAACTCAGCTCTACGAGGGATCTCACTGTTAGACAGCCGCTCGTGATTTGCCCCATGGATCAACAGGCGTGCAAAGAGGAAATGGACGCCATCGAGCAAGCCGCCAAGGATGCATCGCACGTCGACCCCAACAACCCTATGCTGCCGGCGCGATCGATTGTGTTAGCGAACGACCGAGAATCATTAAAGACGCTGGGCCTGTGCTTGGTGGCAGGGCAGAAGAAGCCATTGATCGAGTGAAGCGCAGTTGGCGAACGACAAATGTGAACGGACTGTGTGGCGCGCATCCTGGCGCCGGGCTGCGGGGTATGGGACCGGCCGCCCCGTAGCGGCTGGTGTCTACCTCGTAACGGCGAGTGACGCTCGGTTTGGCTGGCTGAGAATCAGCTTTCAGATTCAAATCGGACTCGTAGCCGCGGCCTGCGACGGAGTACGACTTGGGGAGATGTCGTTTCGATGAGAGACGCGCCGTGGAAATGAGAGTCTCAGAGGGGAAAAGTAACGAGAGCAAACACCGCATACCCCCAACGATTGGTGTCTGGTTTTAATCCAAGGACCTGCGCGTCGGTGTTTTGACAGCGCGGTTTGATCGGCAAGGAGAGGCTTCATCACGGCACGGCGTTGGCGGAGCGTTCCGGCTGATGGCGACTCGGTAGTCCCTTCGGCATTTTTGCGGAGCGCATTTGGGCACGTTTTATGAGATGACGACCTGACCGAGGCGGTCTGCGAGGTGTTTTACGCTGTATATATTAACTTACGAATGAGAGTTGTAAAACAGAAGCAACTCGGGGTGAGAATATCACCCTGCTACTACTACTATTACTCATTCTTTGGGTCTCTTGAGTGAACCTCAAATCATTTTTCACCGTCTTGTCTGACTGACACAGATTCACGAGTCTGTCATCCGCAACTTGCAAACCCTCAAGAGGATGTTTGGGCTCTTAGGCTACCAGAAAACAGCGTTGTGCAAGATCCAAGTCGTGGAGGATGGTCTATGAGAACGCGGAATCTCAGCCGATTTCATGAGCCTCGGCAAGACACCGGCAATACGGATGACCTTCGCCCGAGCGCCCGAATCTCTATGCGAGGGCTTCGTCATTGTCGTTATTGCGAAGTCTCCCATGCTGCACTGGAAAGCATAAGTCAGTGGCCGTTTCAAGGAGGTAGACGATCTCCAGTCTTCTAACCTGGTATCATCTACCTAAACATACCTAATGCTAATAGGAATAGGATCTCACCAGCCTGAGGTTCTGTTCCTCCATCGCACCCAAGCAATAACCCACGATGTCACGGGGGAGGAATGCGACTTCGTCGTCTTGACGTGCCAGTACCCGACCTCCAGATATGAGGTTGCAACTGCTTTCTTTGAATCACTCAGCGGCGAACGAGGACCGGCGTTGAGCATCCTAAACCCCTGTATGGGAACATTCTCGCCTTGGGGTTCGACGTTGATCGCCGTTATTCTTGATGAGGTTCAGCATTTCAAGACTGGCTCAGATGTCATAAGCAAAGCTGTTCGTCGCTCGAATGGTTTCCACGACTACAGTATCAGCTATGCCCATGGAGGAGAACAAAATAACGCAAAGATTGTGTTTTCGATCCCGACGCTCAGAGCCATACGAACAGGACGGGGACGGACTATGCTACCCGAACCTTGCTGCTGGGGGTGATTCTGGTTTCGGGCATGGCTGGGACAACGAGAAGACTGACGGCGACTTTGACCCGAAACGTCTTACACACAATGTCAAGGGAGCTACGACGATGCTCACAAGGTCAATGGAAATGATTAACAGGTTATCTAGATTCCTCCACAGGCCACGAAGGTAGTTCAGTTTATGAAGTAAGTGACATGTACTGAGCACCAAATACTAACAAATCTTCACCTCGGACCTGACTCCGGTCATCCCCATAGCATCCCTGAACCCTAAATCTTTCAAAATAGACGGTTTGTCAGACCATCTGACGCACCAGATGAGCTTATCCTCTTCCGTCGGTGTCCGTTCCAGCATTTCCCGTACTCCCTCCCCAGTGCGGGCCGAAACGTCGGACAGAGATTCTAAACTAAAGCGGATCTTCTTGAAAGATCCACCGGCGTATCTAAGATCTCTGATGAGAGTAGCTATCGGATATCGCAGTTTCACGCAACCGCCCGAACGATCGACTTGCTTCCACATCGGATGAGGACAGTATAATATTCTCTTCCCATCATAGGAATGTTCCGGATAGACATCGCCAAAGTCCGAGAACATGGAAGCCCAGTCGGGATCCTGACGAGGATCTCGGATTCTTTTGGTCACTCCCTTCTCGTTGGCGAACCAATTGTACTTGAGGTCCGTTTCGGAAAGCCCGTGTGTGAGCCGACGAAATTCCCAATGATACCCTGTGTCGAGCTTAGGTCTGTGAAGAACCCACTTGTGGTGGCGGTGTTTCCATTCTTGTTCTTCGACGGTGAGAAGAAGATAACCGTTCTCGAATTTCGCCTGATATTCTCGCGGCATGCAATCGAGATACGCGTCCATGAAAGCTGAGGGAGCCACGCTCTTCCCCAACTCCGTGTCGTACAGAAGGCGTAAATACAAACGACAGATGTCGACCATGCTTGCATCCTTTCGCAAGCATGAAAACACTGGTAGAGTTGCTTCACTTGTATGGTTTCCATCAACGAGGGCTTTGGCGGGATACCTTAATTTGTGCAAGACGGCGACTGGCGTATCCGGTTCCCACCGATTTGAACCCAAGCGCTGTTGAAGTAGTTTATGCATGTCGTGGAGATGGTCATGAAGGTTCCCTGACTGTAGAATCCGAAGGTCCAGGTCCCCAAAGTCCTCGCCTCTCAGCCTCCCCAGATCTCTATGCGCATGAGCGATACACATGTATGGACAAGTAGCGACAAGCTTAAAGGACGAGTTTGAGGCGTCTATCGGCTCGAGAATGAGGTAGACAAAGCATTCCCTGTCCACTTCCAGCGTGAACACTTGCTCGCGTCCAGAAAATACCATCTCGTCCAGACGATATTCGGAGAAGATATAGACTTGAAAAAAGTCTTGGTATACCAAAAACACATGGCAGCCGTCCATCTGAGACACCCGGATCGGCTTGGTTTTCAATATGAGGATTTGCGTAAGATGGACATGCAAAGCGCCGGTCTTGCTGCAGACAGATGCCCCAGATGGCCAGGGATTTTCTGCCACTGAGACACTCGTCTTAAACTCGTGAATGACGACGTCTTCGAGATTTGGGTCTTGCTTTTTGTATAGTCCCTGTTCGACGATGTGCTCCCTCGCAAGTATGTTCAGAAGCTCGGGTATTGTCGAGAGTCGACTCCATGTCTCTCGAGCCTCCCAGTCTGGGGCCCAGGACGGAAAGGCAGCATCGAGCCGACGCGTTCCTGAAATACCACGAGCCCTGAACAGGACGTGAGGAAATTTGCTGCTGAGGAGGCAGTGTGAGAAGACTCCGAGGTAGACATTTAGACAGGATAATGAGTAGTCGGCATCAATACCGGAACGCTGCAGCGGGGATGATGCCGAATCCAACAGAGGGGGCACTCTCTGTTCAAGCAGACCCAAAAGTCCAAAGACACGGTCACGAGGGTCCGCCGCCTCCGCCTGCGACGTCATGACAAGCAGTTCAGACAGTTCGCGATCATGTCTCAGTGGACCGCCATGAGATAGATGCTGCACCCATGGAGCAGGTGTATCATTCCATGACCAGCTAGATAGAGCTGAGAGATGATTCGACATGGCCGCGTTAGCCCAGAAGTCGACGTCGCCAACCCGGATCACAATGTGGCAGGAGAGGATTAGTTCCTGGATGACCCACAGACGCGAGAAGTAACGTCTTCCGAGTAAACCTTTGAGTGTTACTCGACCTGTTGGGTCAGATTGTTTTTGGGGATCAGGGAATTCCGGGGCGACTTTTCCAGTCTCGAGCTGGTGCAATGGGAAGCGACGTGGGCGCCTTTTGTGCAGAGCGTGCAAAGGAATCGCTATATCTGGTCCAAGATATACGTTGACGCGACTGCATCTGGAATAGATACGACCCATGTTGGCGACTTGGGTACTTCGCTCTGGTACGTCTTGTTGATTGATGCAAATAGCATCCACCCACAGCGTTCTGGTGTCCCCTTGTCTCCATGGCCGCATGAAGCGTAGCATCTCCCAGCAATTGCTCGTTTGGAACAAGACGTCCCAAAAAGGCCCAACATAGACTGGATGCCGTGATGTAGCGTTTTCGTCCTCACCGGCCCAAGTGTAGGAGACTGCTTCGTACTCGGGACAGTCATCGACACGGTGGACCTCCAAGTCCACATGTACAGGAAAATCGTATCCCTTTTCGATAGTCCTGAGTACGAGTAATCGAATCTCGTGAGGTTGAATGCTTTCGGGATAAGCGGCCGAGCTCGGAAATGGGGTGACTCCAGTAACTTCTGGTGTGTTGCGTTGTGAAGAACCACCTTCTCCAGATCCCGTTTGTTTGGTGATAGTGCTGACTGGACCCGAATTGGAATATGTCACAGATCGCGGCCACCATAGGTTGAACTGTCCCGGCGGTTCATTCGGAGGAATTGCCGGGGCATCGGAACAACTGGCCGCCGCGGCAGACGTACCGTCGTCGGCCAGACGAGGAGCCTGGCCGCAAGCGCGACACTTCGGGATTCCATCCTCGACTTCAATGCGTGGGAGGGAACAACCCGCGCGATGCCAACGAGACATTGCGGAGAGAGCATTAGAGAATCCGCAGTTCCGTCAGTTCCGTCAGTGTGGTGAGTTGGTGGCAGAACAAGAGAAAGGGAACAGCATTGTATGAGGTGAAGGTTGGGTTGAAGGGTGGTTGTTTGAATGGAGGTTGGTTGTTTCCGGGACTCACTTCCAAGAAGTGCCCACCCAAAAGAGGAAGGGCATGTCAGCATCCAGTCCATATGAGAGGGCAGTGTAACAGACTACGGGCAGGACCAGCCTGCATATGCAGCTCCGTCACAATGGGGACGCTGGCAGAGCCGCCGTTTGCACACCAGAAGACCGGCCAATCGGCGCGTCTGAAGAAGCTCCGTCGTTTGAATAGCAAAGTCCTGCAATTCTGAGTAGTTGAATCTGCAACAAGTTGTGAGTAGACCGTCACGACTACGATGGCAACATAAACAATGGCATCGACGGTGGTATTGTGATACCTTTCAACAAAAAGCTTCATCCAAAGCACCTGGGCTTCCTAACCATCTACTTCCATGGCATCATCGCCCTCCTTCTCCATGATATCGATCCGCCTTAGAATGCTTTCCTTCCATATCCTGTACTCCCTCCGCTTCTTTTCGCTCAAGAAGTCGTAGCGGTCCTGGAACATGGTATCTGCCCGTCTCACAGGTGCAGTTTTCAGTGAAGCGTCCTTCTCACCCCGCCGGCTGTCCGCTATCGCATTGCCAGCCTCGATGACGTCGCCCAGACTGGAGTACCAATCAGCTTCCAACCAGCCCCTATCGCCGACCTCCTTCAAGGCGGCATCGAACTCTTTGGGTTTAATGGGCGTCCAGCCCTCCCACGCCTCCTCATCATCTAGACCTCGCGTGTCGAGCTCCTGCCGCGCCTTCTCCAGCAGACCGATGATGTGTTTCCTGGTCGGAACGTACGAGCCTCGGTCTATGTCCTCGCCGCTCACCAGCTTCTTAACCTGCTGAGTGACGAAAAAGAACACCGCCCCGCACAGCGCGACGAGGTTCTCCCTCACCCACGCATCCCTCGTTCTCCTGCCTCCGGGGACCACGATATACTCCATCCCCGCAAGCATTGTTGGTCCTAGTTGGACCTGCTTCGTCTCCCTACACATGAACCGAATAGTCGGATGGATCCAGAAGTGCAGTCCGGACTTGTCGGACGGGTAGGCGACCTTGCCCGTTGATTTTGACGGCGTGGCGTTGACGCCGCGGGTCGCTGGTGACCGGAACGGCGCGAGAGACCGCTCTTTGCTTGGGGTCGGACGGTGCGGTGTGCGGACTGGTGAATCGACGCCGTGTCGCTGGCGGTTGCGGGGGGTACCATTCTTTCCTGGCGTGCGGTTGAGGGCGGAGTTGGGGAGAATATTGTCGAGATGGGCGTAGAGACGTTTGTAGATTCTCGGGGGGATCGGAGGTCGCGATTCGATTGGTGGGAGGTTCAGTGTGATTTTGAGTCTAGACAACTTGTTAAACACATGCGAACACGAACAATGCGCAGAAAGAGTGGTGTACCTGTCGCAGGCGATATGGGCGCATGCGTATAACCGCCCAATCTCTTCATCCGCCTTCAAAGTGCTGGCACGATGCCTCGACTGCGCTAGCAAAGAGCCTGCCAGCTCGACCAACGACGGCGGCAGAGCTGAGCCGTGTGTTGGCATCAGCGACAGCAAAGTCTGCTCTATTGATCGATTCATGGCGACAGCTTCAGTTCGGATGTGACTGATTGTGCTCGTGAACTGATTCTTGGCGTGAGACGCGTCACGACGCGTCGAGGGATTGGACCCTTATTCCTCTAGTTTTTTGGGACAAAGCCTTCGTTTCCTAGATCCTGGGACGATCGGAACGGCGTAAGAGGTCTTTGAGGTAAAGAATTGCCGACGATGGACGTTGTTTCGGCCGGCTCTTCAACAAAGAAGGGAAAATAGCCGATAAGAAACTGGACAACTTTGTTGCTAGCGTCGAGGATGGAATTGTTGCGTCACCGAGGATACCAAATACCCAGCGAGGCGGGAGCTTAATTGGCATGCCGCGGCGCCGCAGAAGCTGTCTCCCGGCCCCCCTCAATCTGAAGGTCCAGACTCCCAGAACCCTTCAACACGCCGTGGAGTCCCTGTCAATCGCCGATCCATGCATCTCCCGGCCCCCAAATGGCAAAGAAAGACCCCCCTGAAATGGAGTTTGGGAAGCCGTGGCAGACGCCAGCTGTTCCTCCTATTCTTCCATTTTTCCCATCTCACACCCCATCACATTCCTCTTTATCTGTAGCACGCACGCGCGCCTCCGCGAAACCTCCCCGGCCTCTTTTTTAGTTCAAGGTATTTTTGTACTACAGATCTTAGATCTTTGAGTTTGTTTTAGACTTTCCGGCGCGGGAATCAGCCCCCCCGATTGTGTATATTTGTTCTCTTTCGCCCAAACCCATCGCGCATCCGGTTCCCGACTTGCATCTCGAGCTTCGAAGCTAGCAAACAGCAAACGGAACGAAATGTATACTATTCGCCTCGTAATCTTGGCGCTCGCCAGTCGAGCACTCGCGCACGGCGATCACAGCCAGAAGCCGCTTGTGGACGAGAATGCCGACTGGATGACAAGGCACATGGCTGGTAGGTCAACCTCCGAAGCTTCCCGCGATCCATTGGCGACGACCCCCGCTGATAATCCGCCCGTTGGACAGAGGAACATCACATGGAGGGCTGGGATGCGGCATCCTTCTTCACCCTGCACGACTACAACAGTGACGGCGTCTGGCAAGGCGACGAGATCCTCCGCACGTACGGCCTCTTCGACGAGTCCAACCACCACGTCACCGAAGAAAAGCGCTTCGAGATCCTGCACGACATCATGCACCTGCTCGATACCAATCAGGACGGTCACGTTGATCGTCAAGAGTGGAATGAGTTTACCAATGCTGGTAAGACGCTGCCGGATCTTGGCATGGGACCGGGACACCACGGCGACGACGAGTACGAGTACGAGATTCATCATTGGGAGCAGTGAGCAAACCTAGCCTTTGATGCGACTGGGAGCCGAGAATTGACGCGTCCACAGATACCACGACGAAAACACGAAGCTGGAAGACCTGACCCATCCGGAAGATATCGAGCACTTCAAGAAGCACGAGCAAATGGAGGACGAGCAGGAGAGGTTAGAGCAACTCGACCACATGGCCGTTGTTGAGGCCAACATCCCGCAAAAGTTTAGGCGGTCATAGCGTCGCGTCTCTGAGACGGTGACGGTGAGGAGGTGGGGGATGACGAATGAATGAAGTAGAGGACCTGACGATGTCATGTAACACTACCTAACCAGAGGCCCGCGGTGCCCGTCCGTGACGTTCGGCTTCGATATCACATAGGGCGTCGAGCGGCTGTAATATGTACATCAAAGACGCAGTGCCATACATCGGGCGCGTACGTCTTGACTAATTCCACATGCTCAACCTTTGCCCCGCGTCCGTCGTTGGCATCTGCCGCCCAGTCCTGGAACATGCGCTCGATCTCGGCGCTCCGATTTTCGATGTCCTTGACGCCGACGTTTTCGTGGAGGTGCAACCAGGCGTTCGAGTCGGCTGCCAAGATATCCCAAGCTGTTCGCCAGCTTGGCTCGCTTGTAGGGAGCAGGCCGCCATTGATGTGGGAGATTTTGAGATCAATTTTGCTGCGTACAGGCTCAGCGCTTGTATGGCGGAGGAAGGGTTCCGACTTGCACATCTCGTCGAACCCGCGTGCGGCCTCCCGGTTATCTTGGAGGAAAACGATGATTTGTTCCTCTCCGGTGAAGAGCTGCGCGCTAGGAAGCTCGAGATCCGCCCCTTGAACAACCTTGACTTTCCAACCATTGGCAACGGCACCGCGACGTAGCGCCTCGACGCTCCAAGGATTGAGCTCCCAGCAGAGGACCTTCATGCCGAGCTTCGCGTAGGAAAACGTGAAGTAGCCGATTCCCGCGTACAGGTCGACTGCTGTTGTTCCGTCGGGTCTCCCGCGGTGTAGAGGACTTTGCTCGCCGTCGTTCTTGCTGTAGAACTCCAGCAGTCGTGTTTTCTCTTTGATGTTGCCCCGGCTGAACATGGTCCAGCGAGGGGCCCAGGTCTGGAAGATACCGTTCTGCTTGGTCGAAACCCAAAAGGCGGCCTCGAAATCCTCCGTCGAAGGCGTCGTTGGGTTGATCGAGGGGCCAAAGTCGCCGTGGAGAATTCTGAGCCCACCCGGGGTCCTCAGTATGTTCTCGCTCTCGCCTTGACTCTCGCAAGTCTCCTCGGATTTTGGATCCGTCTGGGGCGGTATCCCTTCGTTAACGGCAAGGTGAGATACCTTCCCTACGCCCGTCTTCAAGATCTCTTGGAGAATTGCTTCCCACAGCTGGTGAAGCTTCTCGTCGCCAACGTCCGGATGGCTTAGGATGGACGGCCAATGTCCTTTATTGAAGCTGCCGCTGGGAAGCAGCACCATGGGCGTATAAGTCGTGTACCTCTTTGGTGTTTGCTCGTCCAAGATGGTCTTCAATTCATCATCGGTACTCCATGATTGCGCTTGAGGCGGTAGTGAAGTCAGCCATTGTCTGACAGCCGCGATGATTGGATTTTCTGGCTTGGATTTTTTGCCTCGCGGTTTGCTCTTTTGCGAGGTGTGATTTGAGAGTGACATGTTTGCTGAGAATTTGGACTATGCTTCGAAGCGACCTGAAAGCTTGATCATACCATACTGAGACTCATCACATACAATGTGAAAGATACGAGAAGCTTTCAACAATTTCGAGGTTGCAACGAGATGTTTGTGACTTCAGATGAGTTACAGGGGTCGTAGTTGACCAGATCCCTGTAAGACACCCTGAGGTCCGCTAACGTTGAGTGGGGCCGCTTCCAACGAACCGAAATCGACTCTCAGATGGCATTCTCGACTTTTACCATTCCTTGCTTCATTGCTATCAAGACTACGCAGCTTGCCAGTGTTGGAAATGGACGCGTCGACTTTACCCAAGCATCTCAGCTTTCTCAACGATGCCGCCCATCTCCTCCGGGCATCGGCACCCGAGACCTCGGCTCACCTGATGAGCCATCACAACGAGCTCATGTTACTCAACGACGTTGAACAGACCGACGTCCGACGACAACACGTCTGCGGCGCGTGCGGTCACATTATGATTCCCGGGCAGGGCACCACTCTCAAGATGGAGACCGAAAGAGCGATGCGGAAGAAGAGACGAGGCACCAAGGCGCAGGATTCCAAGACCAAGGAGGACGTTCAACGCCAGTCCGGGATGCGCAAGCTTTTTACCTGCGGCAACTGCGACATTACCACCAAGATCTCGTTTCCTCCTCCGCCACGCGTCGCGAGACGTCAAGTCAAGTCGGAGAAGTCGTCTGCGGCCGAGCCAGCCAAGCCTGCAACGGCCAGCTCCAGCAGCAAGAAGCGGGCAAAGAACAGGAAGGCCGGTCTGCAAGCTCTGCTTCAAGCCAAGACTTCGTCCTCAGGAGGCCGAAACTTGAGTCTTGCCGACTTTGCAAGATGAGAAAGGTTTCCATGCCCAGACTCTACTCGACAACAAATCGGTGTGATATCGGCGCAGAAATCTCCTCTGCTTACCGCATCGTTTGAGAATGACAAACCGGCGAGCGGCCAGCGGTGGCGGGCTATCCTCGGGAATATTCTCGAAGGTTTTCTCAAGGCAGGGGACCCGCACAATGACACACGGCGTGCAGGGTTGCGCCGGATTGCCCCTCCAAAAATTTCAAGACCCCGCCATCGCCATCCCACCGAGTCACTTTGCGCCCGACAAACAAAAACGCCGGTATCACAAAAGAAGCATACAGCGCAGTGTTGAGATACCCTGATTTTATTTCACATTTTCACTAGAGAATCGCGCATAATTACATCAGACAAACAAACAGTCATCATGGCTGCCCCGGAATCCAAGACCAACCCGACCGAGTTCTTCCAGGCCATCGGCGACAAGGTCTCTGGCGACGATGACCAGAAGGTCGTCGAGGAGATCGAGTCTCTCTGCATGAACTGCGGCAAGAATGTACGTTGCGCAAAACAATCACTTGCAGTCCGTTTACTAACTCTCTCTTAGGGCAACACCAGACTCCTCCTGACCTCGATCCCCTACTTCCGCGAAATCATCCTCATGTCCTTCTCCTGCGAAGAGTGCGGCTTCGCAAACAGCGAAGTCCAGCCCGCCGGCTCCATCCAACCCAAGGGAACATACTACGAGCTCCGCCTCACCACCCTCGAGGACTTTGGCCGCCAGGTCGTCAAGTCCGACACCGCCACCGTCAAGTTCATCGAGCTCGACCTCGAGGTCCCCGCCGGCAAGGGCCAGCTTACAAATGTCGAGGGCCTGCTCAGCACCGTCATCAACGACCTCGAGTTCGGCCAGGAGGCCCGCAAGGAGCAGATGCCCGAGGTCTACCCCAAGATCGCCGAGATCATCGACAAGGGCCGCGCCATGCTCGACGGCAAGGCCTTCCCCTTCCGCGTCACCGTCGACGACCCCGCCGGCAACTCCTTCATCACCCCGGACCTCAAGGACGGCGTCGGCAAGTGGGAGAAGCACGAGTACATCCGCACCCCGGAGCAGAACGAGGCCCTCGGCATCTCCGCCGACCAGGCCGACGCCGCCGCCGCGGGCGCCAACCCGGGCCTCACCGCCGACGGCGACATCATCCCCAACGAGGTTTACAGCTTCCCCGCCAGCTGCCCCGGCTGCATGCACCCCTGCACCACCCACATGAAGATGGTCGACATCCCCCACTTCAAGCAGGTCGTCCTCATGTCCACCGTCTGCGACGACTGCGGCTACCGCTCCAACGACGTCAAGACCGGTGGCGAGATCCCCGAAAAGGGCGAGAAGATCGTCATCAAGGTCGCCAACGGCGCCGTCGACCTCGCCCGCGACATCCTCAAGTCCGAGACCTGCGCCCTCGAGTGCCCCGAGCTCAACCTCGCCGTCAACCCCGGCACCCTCGGCGGCCGCTTCACCACCATCGAGGGCCTCCTGACGCAGGTCCGCGACGACCTGCGCAGCCAGATCTTCCAGGTCGACGGCAGCGGCAACGCGTCCGGCGCCGCCGCCGGCGGGGGCGACTCCCTCGCCCCCGAGGACAAGTCCAAGTGGGACGCCTTCTTCGGCGGCCTCGACGAGGCCATCAACGGCGACCGCCCCTTCACCATCGTCCTCACCGACCCCCTCGCCAGCAGCTTCGTCCAGCCCCTCGTCGACCCGCCCGCCCCGGACCCGTCCATCACCCGCGAGTACTACGACCGCACCGACGAGGAAGAGGAGGAGCTCGGCCTGCGCGACATGAAGGTCGAGGGCTACGAGGAGGACGCGGCCAAGGAGGCGGCCGAGAAGCTGGCGGCGGAGCAGCAGCAGTCGCAGCAGACGGAAGAGGAGATCAACAAAGGTGCAGAGTTTGACAAGATCCTCGACGCCAACATGGGCAAGTCATGATTCACGGGATAAATCGATTCTGACTTTTTTATTTTTCGTCTCATAATAGGAAGCAAAAGAGAGCTCGGCGACGCCTTCGGGATGGATACGGACATGGACGCGGAGGAAGGGTTGATGAAAAAGTCACGGACATGATGATGATACCTACGCATAGACAAGGTTTTTATAAAAAAGAGTTTTGATGTTACTTCCCCGCGTATGACAAGATTGTGATTTACCATGGTATTGTGGTCTGATATGTATGACACTCTTAGCTATTGTGGTCGTAGTTGTTAACATCGTCAGAGTTGCACGAGTCAAGTTGGTTGGTTACTTAGTTATGAGCAAGGACCATCATCCGGTTCTCAACTCGCACTGATATCACAGCCATCACGCCAGACGTTGAATAACCTCGTTTTCATTGCGGATACAGCAAATTAGTGGCCATATGAGCCCCCTTTCCCACAGCTAACCATCTGCAAGTTTCCGTGCGGGAACACTCTTCCACCCCGTCCAAACCAGAAAACTAGCTGATGCCACCCCTCCGAAGTAAACTCATTCTGTAAGAAACAGACAGCATTGATGGATCCCGTCCATCATGCTGTCCAGGCGAGCAGAATTAGGAAAAAAGCAAACAGAATCCGTTGGTATTCCCCCCTTTAGGCGACCGTTCCCCCTGTCCGTATTGCGCGAAAACAAAGGAAACCAAAAGACACTTTTTCTTCTGCCGGGAAAAAAGCAAACAATACCGAGCGATTTTACACACACGCAAAAGACTCTTTTTGGGTGCTATTAGTCGAGAAAACAAGGAAAAGGAGAGGGGGTATAGTAGGAAAGACTTGCGGTCGCCCGAACCTCGCTTCTTTTGGTTTCGTTGCGAGGGAAACAAAGAAAAACGCACACACAAAGGAAAACCCCGAAGTCGTGATCCGAGAGTCCGTAAGAAAAGAGAATCATCGTCTCCTGGGAGCTTGGCTTAGAAGAAACTAGGCTTCGTAAGAACGCGGTACTCGACGTAGTCTTCGCCGTCGATGCTGATGATGGTGCCCTGGGACACGAGCTTGCCGACAAACGGGCCGTTCTGCTTGCGCTCATACTTGATACCGCCGAAGAACTTGATCTCCTCGCCGGCAGCCCTGCTGCGGTGCTCCTCCTGCTGGGCCCATACCTTGTTCAGGCGCTGCATCTCGTCGCGCTCGTGGAACATGCTGCTCATGCGAGCGCCGTTGCCGTTGGGAATGGGCATCTTGGGCATGGCCTGGGAGGGAATCTGCGGGGGGACGAGGACGGGCTGCGAGTTCATCTGGGCTTGAGCGGCGGCCTGGGCGGCAGCTTGGGCGGCGGCAGCCTCGCGGTCGGCGGCGAAGCGCTCGGTGCGCATTTGAGCGGCCTCGATGCGGGCGATCTCGCGGCGAGCGCTGGCATCGATCTTGCTCTGCTGGGCCACCGGGGTGCGGGACGACTGTCTGATCTCGAGATCAGGGAGAGAGTGACGAATGCCTCCGGGACCGGACCTACGGCTCTGGCGTAGTTCAGGGGGAACTTCGGGCTTCGTTTCCGGCATATCGAGGTCATCGCCCGGCTGGGGGATGATCTGGGCGGGGACACTCTGCTGCATATTGGGCTTGAAGCCTTGTGCCACACGTTGCTGGGCCTCGTAAACCGCCTGTGTCTCGTTCGCAACGCGGTCGTCTGGCAACTCGCCTTGGTCGATTTGCCACTGGCGTACACGGCAGTACTCCTTCACTTCGGCCCTAGACAGGTTCTTCAGGTGCGGTTCGAGCTCGACGTCCTCCCAGTGAATCCACAAGGCGCCTGCTCCGACGGGGAAGTTGCCGTCGACAAAGCGCTTATCGCGAGTTTCACGGGCAACCTTGACGCGGAACATGTCGTTCTGACCGAGAATTCCATAGATGGCATGACGGTTCACCGGATCTGGCTCGCTGGATCCCTTCCAGTATCCCACGACGATGCGTGTTGGCCTAGTTCCGGGAAGCGGGTCAAACTGAGGCGAAGGTGCGATCTCTCGTGTCGGTTGGGGCTGAACGGGTCCCCCGCTAATCGTGCCGATGCCACTACCAGTGCGGCGACGTTTAGAGTCCGGCCGAGACGGCATGGAGGCGTGGCCGGGGATGACGGCGCCGTAGGCGATAGCAGGCGCGACGACGTTTTCCGGGGGAGGGTTTTCCTCGACGCGACGAACCGCCTCCTTTGCAGCAGCCTTCTCTGCGGCATCCCTGGCATCTGCAGAGTCCTCGACAACGTCCGTTCGGAGCTTCACATACTCCTTGACCTGGTGGTGGTCCATGCCAACCAGATGGTCTGCGAAGACGACACGTTCGAAAGTGACCCAGCTACCGCCAGGCCCGGGAGGAAGAGGATATTCGATGTTTGAGATGGGCTCGCCGTCACGCGTGTTTTGTTGGATACGCGTGCGAAGACGGTCGCGAACGTCAATGAAGCCGATGACTGCGTGCTTGCCGTCGGGGTCGGGGACGGGGGAATCTCGCCAGTAACCGAGAATGACGCCCTTGACACCACCGACCCCGTGCCTACGGGGCTTGGTTCCTCGAGGGGTGCCCTCCTTCTCGGACGCGAGGCTGTTCTCCATCTTATCTTCGCTCAGGTCATTGAAGAGAGAGGCACGCTTCCGCTTAGGATAATGCGAAACGACGGGCTCGTCCTCGACGTCGGCCATGTTCTCGTCTTCTTGGTCGGAAACAACACGAAGTGGTGAGGACTTGGGTGCGCCATTGCGGTTACCAACAACGATCTCGTCTTCCAAGGCGCGGTCATTTGTGCCCGAGACGGGGCTCATGTTCTCAGGAGGAGGAGTAAGTTCATCATCGTTAGCGGTGTCGTCATCCTCCGGAACAGGTGGCTTAACACCATTCGTGCTAGGCCTGGTTGCTATTAGTTCGCGCCATCAAGGTGAAAGAAGCATGTGACGGGTCCATGAGACAGTGATTCTCCGTCCAGGAACGATAGTTGTTGTTCGGGTTCTGGGCATGTTTTTGACAACAGACCAGTGTGAAGATGTTGTCTGATGCGCTGGTAGACCACTTGGTTGTAGACAGCGTTGTCTGATACCATGTCCCGACTTCGTGACCATCTGAATAACTTACAGGGCGGATGATGAAGCCATGTTTTGTGGCGGCGGGAATAAGAGTTCAAAGGGTGATAGCGACAAAAGTATAACCAGAACACGAGGATGGCTATGGCTGCATGAACTCGGGGTTGGAGTTTGTGGCAATGTGATGACCCAACAGCAGTTTATCGCGATAGACGGATGTGGATCCTGACAACCACGGACTGAAACCCAAAAGGTCAAGCGAGTCAAGTTGGTTGCGACTGGGTTTGTTGGTTCATCATTCTCTTGCTGGGAGAAGGAATGAAGGCCATCGCAGTTGCCAGACATTGCCAGAGCCAAGGGCAGATGAGAAGGAGCAGTGGATGACTTCACCACTGGTCATAGCGCGCAATTGACTTGAGGGAGAAGAAGGAAAGGGCAAGACAGCAAGAAAGCAGTTGCGCACGCAACAAGAGCGGAAGTGAAGGGAGGAAATAGAAGTCGAGGAAATAATTGGCAACTTACTCAGTTGTGGGAGTGTCGACAACCGGGGTTGGAGTCTGTTGAGGTGGTTCTGAGGGAGCGACGGATTGTTGCTTCGTGTCGACCTCAGTCGTCTCCATTGCGGGCTGCGCCGCCGGAGTCTCGTTACGGTCGGGCGACGGCGGAGTGAGTTCGGCCAGCTTGATTATGGGTGCGGCGAAAGTGCGGCCGCGGCTAGTTTCTAGAGAAGTCGGAGTTGGCGTGGCCAGAGGGGATGAAAAGTCGCGGTTTCAACGCGGTGGTTGTCGTTGCTGTCGTCAAGATGGATGCGCCGGGGGCGTTGTCGAGAACCAGTGAAGTATGAGGAGGCGAAGTGCGTGGAATGGGCAAAGTGCTAAGAAAGCTACCTCTAAGGGGGGAATGGATGGAAGTGGAGACTTTCTGGGCACCCTGGGTTGGTGTTATGATGTGTAATACTTGAGGTAAAAGTGAAGAAAGGTACCAGATCGAGATGGCAGAGGAGTAGGGTGTTGTGTGTGTGTTTCCAAGTTCAGGCTTTTTACTCGGTTTGTCGTATTATGTTCCTGATGGAGAGCCAAGACCAGCCGAGACTTGATGCGAACGAGCGAGTCCCAGTTTTATTTTCCCTCTTGTGTGTTGGGAGTGAGTGACAATCAGGGAAAAAGGCGTCAGATGCAGTCCAGTCCAGTTGCTGCTGCTGTCAATGTATCTGTACCTGACGGCTTGTGTCGCAAAGCACGGACGCTGTTGCTGACAATGGCGCGGCCTCGACAAGTAGTAGATGGCCTCCTGCGTGAGGTTAAACGAGATGAGGCCGTCTTCAGCGTAAGGAACTGTTGTGTTTTGGCGACTGAACAGCGAGTTGGAGGCGACCACGACGATGGTTGTGAAGTTGACGACAAGGTGAGAAAGTGCGAAAGTTGTGTAAGAGGGAAACTAGAAGGAAGGGAGGGGGGTCTGGGTCCGTGGACGAAATGGAGACTCTGATTCCTGCCAAGTTTGGTTGACTGCTTGGGTTGGTGTCCGTCGGTAAAGGCCGTCGGTAAAACCGTGTGAGTGCCCGGTGAATTAGAGATGTGCGCAGGGTTGGTTGGGTAAGCCACTTCCGAGTTGACGTGTTGTCTTCAGGATTGGGAGGGAGGGCGGAAAGTGATGGAAAGTGAGGTGGATTTTGGAAAGGGAGGCAAAGAATGGAAGCCGAAGGAGACGATGGAGAGCAAATGGGAGGAATTTTTTCATCAGCACCAGAAAGTCTCGATCAAGGTGGGCAGTCAGTCCAGCGGCAGTAGCAGGGTCCCGTCCCTCAGACCGTAATGTCAGCTAAGGTACGGATAGGTAGAAGCAGGATAAGCTAAGGCTAAGGGTGAGAGACAGGTTTTAGTTTCTCAAGGGAGAGACCAACCAGAGTTGCCATACGACGATGCATTTCGGGGGTGGTTCCAGTTTAGTGAGTAGTACGACAAGTTGAGGTACTTGCTCTCACTCATGAGGGCCAAGGGTACGGATAAGGTATCCTCCTCCAGTCACCAGTCATCATCATCATTCACTTTTGCTCATAGCAGATTGGGCCCTGCCCGTCAGATAGCCAGGCCACGTCTTCACATCAGATCAGATGACACTCAAGACTCATCGTTTCTCATCTCCATCTCTCTCATACTCACTCATGTACTCACTCACTCACCCCAGCCCGGGCAGAATCTCAAGTTGATCAACTTCCTGCGCCGCCGTGTACTACGTCGTGTAAAACCCAATCAATCCCAGTCATAGTTGCGACGTAGTGCCCTCTCATCTCATCGCGCGTTTGGTTCCCAGGCGGGGGCATGGCTGTCCGTCAGGGGGTACAGACAGATAAACGCCCTGGTGTAATCGGTTGTTTGGCAATCAGATAAAAAAAGAGAGAGAGAAAGCCCAATGTTCAGGCCAAGTACCTTGAGTGTTTACGTTGTGTAAGGCATTCAATAAAACATGAGGTACAACTGTCGCAGGTACATCCAACAATGCTTTGATTACCTACCTCGCCTACCTCGCGTCTGTTCGTTCCCCCTCTTTACCTTTTGCACTGGGCTTGGGTCACAGTTTTTGGGTTGGCTTGGTTGGGTTGGTCTAGGAGCAAAGTCCCAACTCAAAATCCACTGCCGTTGTCTACGCAGTAAAGCGAGATGAAATGATGAAAAGAAGGTTGGATCCCGCCATACACAATCAACTCAAGGTGTCTTTTTGCCTTTGGCCTTCAACACTTACCCCTCTCTCTCCGATTCCCACATCGTCCGTGAGCGAGAGCGCATCTCGGGGCTATCAGGCTCTCATTTGGCTGCCAATCGAATTATCCATCTGTATCTCTGACATGTACATGCGTACCTGACTAAAAAAGTACATTATTTGATATTATTACTGCAACAGCCCAGGCTAGCACAACCTAAGACAACCCGGGCGCCAGCCAACAGACGCATTTCTTGTCATGTCGGCCCACCCTTGCCATGTCCTCACGCTCACTTCTCACACCTTTTTCACTCTCTCTCTTGTGATTGTAATTGCTCCGGTCGGATCTTCGAGGACTGGCGGTTTTCCCTTGCGACAACCGACGGCAACTTTGCCCGGGTTGAGCGAAGCAAGCGACGCAACTCCAACCGTTCGCTCCAATGGCGTTGCCCACTTTCAAAACACCTCAACACGTTCGTCCTTCTACTGCGTAATCGACTGGCCGGCTGCCAAAATGCTTTCGTTTCGCATCCGTTTTCGGGTTACGCCAATCTCGGCTTTGGCGGTCGACCAGGAAAAACAAAATACTCACGCATCGGCTACCCTCCTCGTCTCTGCTCTTATCACCGATCCGTTTCTGATGCCATGAGGGAGAAAAATTCGCCATGGATCATTGGGGGATGGGACTTTGGGAATTACGATGACGAGTCCACCTGGATCTCTGGCAATTGGGCCCATATCCCAGGTCGTAACGGAGTACTAATCATCCATATTATTGATTTAGCGGTGGATCTCCGGTGCATCAGCGCATCTCATCGCATCATCGCCCGGGGGTCCCGTTTGTCCTGCTCGTCGCCGAGGTCAGGTGCCCACCTCAGCTTTAAACTCACCATCCCATTGCTAATCCGCATGTCATGCCAACTCTTGCCGCCGTGCTATTGCTGCTGCTGCTGTCGCCAGTGATAAGCCGTCGGTGTAACTCCCGCGTTGCTTGCTTCTCCCGCCCACCCCGTGCCGGAAACCTCCAACGCATTCAAAACATTACGAAATGGGGGGCCGATCTCCCCTCCTCTTCCCACCGTTTGGCGTTTTGGCCCAGGTTTCTCCAAAAAAGCACATTGCCAACAAACATGTCGGATCTGCGATACGCTCAACTCGAAACGCCCCAGTCAGTTGCCCTATCAAGGAACTCCCGAAACTGGGCAACGTCTGTCTGTCTGTGTCGGCTGCACGTTTCCTTTTCCTTCTTCGTCGTTGGTATTAATGGCTGTAACGGCCCGGTTGATTGTTGCGGGTGACAATGCGAACAAAAGCCAGCATTAATAACACCCAACGACACACATTACATTGCCGGGATTCCTAAAACCCGACCCTTCGCGCCAAGACGACTTGTTCCATCCTGATTCTGCAAATTAATCCCGTTCCTATTCCTTTCCTGTTCACGCACTCTCCGTACTTCCGTGCTCTCCGCGGCATCCGGATAAGTCCGGGAAACACCTGAACCAAAGTTTGGACTTCTCGTTGGTTCCGAGGAAACTCAACCGGTTGCAGACTGGGACACCAAAAAGAAGCAACAACGCTTGTTTCGATCAAATAGGAACTCGGGTGCTACCACGGCGCTACTAAAGTATTCGAGTTGCGAGCGAGCCCCATCTTCATGTCTCTGGCAGCAGTTCCGCATCAGTCGACCTGCATGGGCAGGCAGGCGGCTCCACGTCCGCACCTCCCTCCTACGGTACATAGCACCCACTTTGGTCGCCGAAAGACATGGCAGCATGCTAGAGTGGTTAATAGGTAAGACTTGAATTCCTTCACAATTCTGTATCTTATGCCTTCGGGCGCGCAGGTTCGAACCCTGCTGCTGTCGTAACCACATCTTTTTGTCGTTTTCTGTCTTTTTTGGTGACGTTAAAATCATTTCGGCTGGCCTTGTTTGGTTTGTTCTAGGCAGCACGCTAAACGCAATGTTTCGCTGCGAGCTTGGATCATGTTGGATGAATAGCTTCAGATGAACCTTGCATTTTTTGGCTCTGGTAGTCGACAGCTTGCATCCCCAGCTCAACACGACTCATTTCCAGGCTTTAGAACTCGACGTCTACTTCTAATTAAACGGTATTGATAGTCAGTCAAAGAGGTAAGTTGGCAACAAACTCTTGCTACGTTTTGCCATGCTCGAAAAAACATACCAGTTCCGTCCGACACCTCTCGATCCACGAATTAACGATTTCTCCGCCGTCAAACCACCACGTTCAGTCCTCCTGATAAGAGCAAATCTCGGGCATTTTTAGCGGTGTCTGTCGTTCGTTGCGGACGCACAAGTCCCGTCTGGCCACAAGTTGACAGGACAAGGGATAGGCGACGGTACCCGGGCTTGGGGCCCAGGTTCGTCTTGCGGCACAGTCATTTTCCTTCTTACTCTGATATCAGTCCATGGACTGACTTGCATATGCACGAGGCACTTTCGGTTGTTGGTGTTCTGACAGAGAGACTGGAGCCCAACCGAAGTCAAAAAAAAATCATTCAGAGCAAGCCAGCCCACCGCAAGTCCTGCATGAGAGAGGAACCAACACATCATGGGCGCACCGCTGTTCTTACGTCACCTTTAAAATGAGCTCTCGCGTACGTACGGCCGAAGTTCATCTGCAGAAGTTACCCAACAGGTAATGACCAAAGCAGATCGCGTGGAAATTCGAGTGAGTGTGCGGGAACTACGGGCTTATAACGAGTATGATGAGGATTCTCATGATGCTCCTGAACAACTCATCTGCTGCCAGGCCTACTGGATTACTTCACCTTCCCTATCATGAGAGCTGACCACGGAATCATTCGGTTCAACCTTCACTTCTCACCAAATACCAACCTGAACCCGGAAAACTCGAACCCCTTCAGTTGGTAACCTAAACCGAAAAGGATAACGATTACGTGCCTCACGCACACACACGCGCGCGCGCACCCCTGCAGCCTACCTACCTTACTTACCTTCCCTCTCAATTCCTCTCACCCTCACTCACGGTTCCAGTAAATAACACGTCCCTCCAATTTTCCATGTGATCGCGACCCCCTCCCATCAAGACCCTTGGCAGAACAAGACAAGGACAAAAACACAAAAGGCTCTCGGCATCGAACTGAGACTCATACACTACAGCCAAGCCGTACGACACACACACACACCACGGTAATTTGGCTCTGGTGTGACTTTGACTGTACTTGTGCCGCCTGCGAAACTTTGCGCATCGAACCACCGTGATTGTGCGTCTCATGGCGGCTGGAGGTGTATCCCTGCAACTCATGGGATACTATGTGAGTGACATGGGATACGAGGCGCAATGAGAACATATTTAGGGGAAAGCTTATAGTGAGTAGTACTTACTTCAAAAGGCTCGCCATCCCGATACGAAGGGCGGGAAAGGGACACCTTTTGATGAGTGCTGATACTGAGAGGACCTTGGTGAATCACGCAACTCAACCCCTCATTTGCTGAAGCTGACCTACTTCCAACCACCCCCGAACACAACATGAACCTTCGGCGGCGTTGGAGATCATGTAGAGCCTGTGTAACATGGGCCGATAATAGCCTAAACGTACACAAATACTCGCTCCGTGCGACTTCTTGTTGCCTTCCTAGGTAGGTAGGTAGCTTTCACAACGGCAAGCGCCTGAGTAGGCAATTCACATGGTTGGTTGGAGGAAAGATGCCACATTGGGGAACCTGGAGGATTGTTGATGGCGTGCTTGATATCGCCGGATGACTCACAGCGATAATGCGCGCCTCAGTTCGTCATCGAAGCGATGGTTAACCGTGAGCGACAATTGTGGCAAATAGGGAGAAGTCGTCAAAGTCTGTTAAGCTGCTTGAGACAAACGCCAACACGGGCGTGCCTATATTGATGTGATAATAGGCACACATACGGGATATGTCGTCGTAATCATTTGTAATGTAACTCCCAGATGCCTCTTATGGCCCTGGATCCGATGGAGGTCCATACACAAGCCTCCAAGTCGTGAGGCCTTCTAGTAGGTAACATCACATAACTCTCAATGCCACAGTGTTGGGTATCCATTCCGAGCCGTCCGATCCCACACGGCTGCTCCGTCTTCCTCCGCCGTATGACCAAAATCACGGATCCCGCGTCACGGCTCCATTTCGGGCCCCTCATCGACCCCGACCCCGTCCGCGGCCCCGTCCACGTCCGCCGCGACCACCTCTTCCACCCTTCCCGCCGCGGAAAGCACCCTTGTCAAACCGCTCATACAGCTTCTCCTCTCCGTACGCCGCCTGGCCGAACCTCATGAAGTTGACCAGCCCGCGGTCCACCACCGCGATCAGCACGTTCCGGTATCCGTGCCTCAGGCGCTGATACAACCTTCCCGGTCCTTCCATGGCAACGGGGTCGGGCGGCTCGTAGGGCGAGGCACCCAGCAGCGCGGAGACCTCCTCGAACGACGGCACGGCCGTGTCCCGCGCGTCGGCGACGGCGATGCGGAAGTCCGGCGGCGGCAGGTCCGTGACCTTAATGTTCGGGTGCTTCGAGGGCTTCCAGACGTGCCAGAAGACCTTGTACGGGTCTTCCGGCTCTACTGGTTCTGAAGGGATCTTGGGGTCGTAGCGGGAGAGGAGCTCGAGTTGCTTGTAGACGTGGGTGTATTGCCTGTAGATGCCCGGCCGAACGAGGGGTCCGTAGGGAGCGTGATGCGGCTGGCGGTCGAACAGGGAGACAAGCCACTGCCAGAGGGATGTCCTCGGCGGCTCTGGCTGAGAAGCTTGGTAGAGAGGATCCCGCGGCGCGCGATGGACGTGGTATCCTGAGCGCTTCAGGTGAGAGTAGACTTGATATTTCGGCAGCGAGATCTTCCCCCTCTCCCCGTCCAGGCCGATGAAGAGCGAGTACGCGGCTTGCAGACTCAGAGGCACTCCCGCCTCGAACTCTTCGTCTGAGTCCTCCTTCTCGTTCGCCTTGTCATCGTCCTTCTCATCCGTCTTGTCATCCTGCTCCTCTGTCGCCTTAACCTCGGGCGGTGGCAGGATATCCGTCAACTCGCGGAACGGCCACCAGAGCTCCAGACTGCCTCTCTCGACCAGAAACAGCGCCTCTTCGGGCAGCAACCACAACTTTCCAACTGCCGGCCTCGGTGCCTTGAGTCCCCTCACAACGCGCCCCATGCTCTTCGCCTGCGGGCCCTTCAGATCCTCCACGACGACCACACGCTCCTCGGCGTAGAGCGGCCTCGTCTCCGCCAAGAACTCTTGTAGGTACTCCGGCTTCGCCAGCCCGGAGGTATCGCCCCGCTCCATGATGCCCTCCAGCGCCTCGGGCCAGTAGTCGGGGAAGTACCACCCCTTGCTCCATGCGTCGCGGTGTACGCGGGTGTAGCTCAGGACCTCCTCGATGACCTGCCGACTGGTCTCGAGCTGGTTCTCTTGTGCTCTCGTGCCGTGCGATTCGAAATCCTTTTGGCCCTTGCGTACGGCCTGGCTCGAGACTCCCTTCTTGTTGAACATGGACGTGAACAGGCGCATGTCGAAGAGGCCTTCGTCCTCGGCCTCGTCGCCGGCGCCGGCGCCGGAGTCATTGTTTGGCAGGGCGGCCGGGGCAGCGGTCGGGTTGTCGTCGTCGTCGAGGGGCATTGTGGCAGTAGTAGGTCTCGCTTGCGGCGGCTATCTTCGGCCGTGAAATTCGGTCGCAAAAGTTCGGTATCGCAAATTCTTCAACGGCGACTCGTAGCTCGTCGTATCGAAATTGCTGCAGTTCGCGAGGTGTTGAAGTGACGTGGTCGGCGGTATGACTCTTGCGCAAGTTGGACCCCTCCAGAAGGAAAGAAAAAAATTGGGCGGCAGGTAGGGGAGCTTCTGGGAAGCTTCGGCCAATTGAATTTCGCAGGTAAGATCGGGCTTTTCCAGGTATTGCAGCTTTGCTGCATTTTGACCACCTTACTGTCATCTAGAGGGACATCAAATCAACGAACACAACAAGAACTGCTTTCCATGTCTTTTGTTCTGTCTCTGTGTCTGGGTTTCATTGTTTGCTCGCAAATTGAATGGTATGTTCCCTATTCCCTCATGTTCGTGGACCGAACTAAGCCATCCATATGCTTTGGCGAGCGTATCCATCTCAGCGCCGAAGTCAGTTATCACTCTGCAACCAGTTCAAATTGTTTTTGCTGTATTCTTGCAAGTGCTTTTGAGTTCATGTCGTTGGCATTCTTGTTTTCGCTGGTGGGTATGGCTGTACTCCGTCATCTTCCTTGGTGTTTTGGTCTTCGAGTTGCTGCTGAGAGAGCCACCCCGAATTAAGTCCAGTAAAGCCAACTCATATTTCATTTTGAAGAGCGATCAAAAATGATGTGTCTTGTGCTTATTTGGAGTCTTGGAGACTGAAACGCGGGTCCCAACGCTGCTCTCAATGGCGCTGTACACATTGCGACACTGATCCATTCAAAGAGTCTGGACAACGCGTACGAGGCCCAGCTAAGTGGAAGTACATTGAGCAGTGATTGAGAGCATTTAAAAAGGAAAGATGGGTCAAAGCAGCACCTGGAAACCACCTCAAAGAATGAGAAAACACCAAAAAATGTCAAAAATTGATGGAGACGAGATTCGAACTCGCGCGGTTTCCCACTACGGTTCACTGCATCTCACGATGCTGAAACCTAAACGTAGCGCCTTAGACCACTCGGCCACTCCACCTGATGTCTTTGGATGAAAGGAATGGCGAGATTTGAGCTTGAGTAGCCGAGGTTCGGTTTCGTGGTGGTTTGGCCGAATTCCGCCGGTCAACTCCGAAGGTGTGGTGTGGGTGTGTCATTGCCGCTAGTCCGAATGGGGAAAGAGCCGGTTTAAGGTTCCCAGCTCAGAAAAAGTGATTGATGCGACTTGAAATGCTATGTTGGCGCTTTTTTGGCACGTTGGGGGCATCTCACATAACAACATGAATCCATATTTCTGGGGCAATTTGAACACGGCATTCGATAGAGAATCAAGTGTTCTTTCGGGTTCAGCAACTTCTGTTGTGGTGCTGGCTTGCTGGAGTTGTCGGCCCTCTTCGGCGCAAAGTCTGATTTCAATGCCGAACATGCCACCACCACCATTATGAGCTCGCGACAACTGGGGCTTGCGAACCCTCTTAAATATTATCAACCCTTCAGTTTCTCATTGCCCTTTGAGGTGTGGTTTAATGGTATCTTCCATTGCCATCATTAAAAGTGTTGGGAGTCCGAAAATGAGTCGCGTCAACATGCGAGCCTGCTAGCGCAGGCTCGCCCGACTTTTTCGCTTCTTTTTTACTTCTCCTTTATAGTCCTCAAAGACAAGTACCATAGTGATTGTCGCGTCTGTTGTTATCTCCTCTGTTGTTGTTGCGTCTATTGTTATTGCTATTACTGTTGCCCTTATTGCTGCTGCCCTTGGTGCTGTTGTCGTTCATTGTCGTCCATATCCAATATGGGTGTGATTTAATTTACTCCTTTCAATTCTGTTTGCTGCCAGTTTTAAATCATCAAGATGCAGTGACTGACAACATTTAAATCCATATGTATTCAAGCGATAACAAGACATTGCATTACCAGCTAGTATCACAGGATATTTCGCTACACAAATCACAGCTACAAAACCCTCAACTCCGTCTGTTACTTTTCCCCCCCTACTTACTGGTTCTGTCGTCGCCGATACCGCAGCTTCCTGAAGCAAGCATTTCAGACGGCGGGCGACACACTTGGAATTATTCATATTGGCGATGGTGTTTTACTTCTCTGATGCTGGTATGACGCAACCTGATGATACGCATGGCAACCCGCGTGCGCTTCCTTCAGACACCAACTACGCCAAATCTATAGAAGACGCAGACAAGAATGAAAGGTGGTCCAAGTCTGCGGTCGCATTTGCCACTGAATCGGTGTATCTGCTCGGACATCAAGACGGAAAGGACAGAATGTCGCACTTGGTCGACCACATGCAAGAACCACATGCTCAGAAACCCTCAACTTACAAGATTGAAGTCGCAGGAACCAGCTTTGATCCTCATCTTGCCATCATATGGCACACGTGGACCTTTACCGACAAGCGCTAGAGTATGAGCGAGTCAATGGAAACATACTCGCGGAAGAGTTTCATTACATCAAGGCACGCACTCTTAACTCATCATAGGGAAAAGAGCGTAATATATCTTTAACAACTATATCTAATCTAATAAGCAAACGTCATATTCAATCTGGATGTCGTTAGTCCCTTGCCTATATCTCGAGTTTAAATAATCTGAGACTAGTAGACAGGTAGACTTAACCACTTGTATGTTGGATACTTACTGAATAAGAGGACGACGACGACGGGCGACGACAAGGACGACGACGAGGACGACGACAAGGACGACAACAAGGACGACAACAAGGACAACAACAAGGGCGACAATAGGAACAAGAACAAGAATGACAATAAGGACAATAATAAAAGACGACAACAGCGAGGACAACAACAAGCATAACAACAACAAGGATAATAACGACAAGGACAGCAACAATGAGGACGACAAAGATAAGGACAACGACGACAATAAGGATAATACCGACAAGGAGATTAATAACGACAAGGGATGATAACAACAATGAGGACGATGACGAAGGACGACAACAACAAGAATAATAACGACAAGCAGGATGACGACGATAATGAGGACGACAACGATAAGGACGATGATGACAAGGACAACAATAAGGACGACAATGAGGATGGCGACAAGGATGATATTAACACCCATAAGTTTACGACCATCTACTTGATAATGTCGGGAGAATTGTAAGGAATTGAGGAAACTGTATTTTATTTTCTTGTATAACCTAAACGAAAACCTGGGTGTTATGTTCAACCTGCTGGCCACGCTTCTCTCTCTGGACGTCGTTGCTTGGGCCGGTCTCGTGGGCTTCTGGTACTTGTCAACCACAGATGTTAGGCTTCCCGAGACAACAGACGGTGTCTTATTGCGAGAGTGCTGACTATTGGATTCCCAAGCGTTAGATGCGACTTTCTCTGTGGGCACTTATTAACCATAGACATCAGACTTCCCGAGATAAACTCCAAGCGTTAGGCATCCTACTGCTGCGTGCTTGTTGTGGTCATAAATTTTCAAGTGGTAACAAGATGTTGCATTGCTGGTATCACAGGATATTTTGCCATACAATCCATAACTACAAAAACCTCCGTCTGTTACATTTTCTCCAAGAATTGAAATCATCTTATTCGGGATCTCCGACCTTCTCCTTGCGTGTTTCCATCACATTCCTCCAACACATTTCTCGGCATCTTCCTTTAGACGGCACGGGCCGCGGCAGCCGTGGAAGTCGGAGCAGCCGTGGACGAGAAGCCGGGAGGGGGTCCACCGGGACCGCCGGGACCTCCGGGGCCGCCGCCGCCGCCGCTCTGGTCGACGCCGCCACCCTCGTAGTAGTGCGCGGCCGCCTGGACCTGGTCGCTGTAGTCGGCGGTGGTATCGATGCCGATGGTGATCCACATGAGGAGGCCGTCGTTGAGGTCGTCGCCGAGCTTGACATACTTGAGGAACGGGTCGTACTCGGCGGTGGCCTCGCCGGCCGCGATGCCGTCCTGGAGGTTGGTCGTGAGCTGCTGCTGGTTGGAGGTGTACGGGGCCAGGAGCTCGACCTCGCTGATGATGCTCTGGTCGAAGAAGATCTGGCCGATGTTCTTAGCGGTGCCGCCCTCAAAGGTGCCGTTGGGCAGGATCTCGGGGCCATCGGTCGTCATAACGTGGATGTGGGTGGCGCGGCCGGTGTAGTGGCCGGGGAAGATCGTGTCGAATTGCACGACGCCGTCGGCATCGCTCTGCTGAACACCGCGGCCGTGGGTGGTGTTCAGACCGCCCTGGCCCTGGGCGGAGACACCAGAGTACACGCCGGTAGCGTTACAGTGCCAGATGTCGATGAGCTGGTCAGGGAGAGGACCGCAGTTGGTAACATCGACAAATTGCACATCCAAGTGGACGGGGACACCACCCTGGCCGTCGGTGATGTCAGTACGGATGAGCTCGCCCTCGACATAGTACGGCCCGATGGTAGTCTCAGGGACAAGGGCGCAGGTAGCGTTGGAGCCGAAGATCTCTTCGAGGGGGGTGTCGAGGGTGTAGCCGGCGTCTGAGGCGTGGTCGATAGCAGCCCACTTCTCGAGGTCGGCCTGAGCACGCTTGCGCATCTTCTGGCCGTCGAGGCCGCGCTCGGCACGGAGACGCTGAGCGGTGGCGGCGCGGCGGTCGAGGGCACGCTGCTTGAGGGCCAGGGCAGAGGGAGAGTTGGAGCAGGCGTCGAGGGCGCGCTTGCCGTAGGTGGTCACGACGGAGCGGAGGGCCAGCTCGGCGGCGATCTCCTCGGCGGTGTGGGTACCGTGGGCGGCGACGGAGCCGAAGAGGGGAGAGACGGCCAAGGCCGCGGCGAGGGCGGTGCGGAGAGCCATTTTGAGATGATGCGGTTAACACGGAGGAGCAAAGGATGAGGGCGAGGAGGTTGAAGGGCTGGAGGAGGTGAAGAGCCTGGTGGAAAGAGATTCGATCTACAGGAGGAATCTCGTCTCTTCTTATATCACTCTTCTTCTTGGCATCTTCACGATCAACAACCTGCTTCTCTACGAACCAAACTTCTGCCGAACTCCTGGCCAACTCCTTGATGATTGTCGTCTTGGCAATGCTATGCCGTGCTCAGTCGCCGCTGGCGCAAAACATCCAGCAAAAGCAACGACATTCCGCAACGAGTAGAGACCCCCCGTCCCCACACTCCCGCAGGCGCATCTCGAGACATCGTCGTCACCTTCCTTCAAAGACGTTTCGCCGGAGCACGAGGTGACGGAGGAGGTCTAGTTTAGCCGTGATATGGCGCCGCCTCTGTAAAGACTAACACAGGGGGGCTGCGGGGTGGCGGGAGCAGGGCCCGAGGACCGGGGGGCCATCTTATTCGGAGGGGGGATCGTCTGATGTCCAATGACAGCGAAACCAATTCGACTTACGTTGCTTTGGTCAAATCTATCCCGCGCCGTAGCGTAGGGCGATGTCATGTACGGGAACGGGGGTTTGGACGGAAGGGGTGTGGGGCCGGGGGGGAGACTGGAGATCTGGCGCATCGGGATGTGGGCGGCGTGTGGTTACGCGGCTCGGCCGAGACCAGGAACACTTGCAGAAGGGCAAACAAACCTGCGGCGGCAGATGGCCGAAGGAAGACTTTCACGTTGGAAGAGGAAGGAGGAAAGCCGCCAGTGGATAGAAACCATTACGTGGACTGCCGCTTGAGAAGCGGTATCACACTTGCCAAGAGATGCTCCCGGTCAAAAGACTGGTTGACGTGCTGGCAGGTCCAGATTGCCCTGGGGTTTCATCTTCAAGGGGGGGACTTTTTGATTAAAAGAAGGCGTCGATAGGAGGTCATTGACCGTCACTCTATGGCCGCGGCTTCACGGTAGTTCTGTTTGTGGAGACTCGATGAGCCTTTAGCGGCGGCAAGGGGCAGATATGCTTGAATGTTCTCGCCCTGGCCGATCCTTGAAATGTGGGATTTGAGGTCGAAGTGGTGACGCGTCACGAGCGAATGAGGCAGAAGTGAATGTAATCGGTGGTCCTCTATGGAGAAGACGGACATCAACGCCGGGGAAATAAATGATATGGTTATTATCTTACCCACTAAAGAGGCCTCGGAGGATATGGTCGAGGACGGAAAGTGGTAATGGTGTACGGAGTTGTTCAAGCTTGTTGATGATCTCCTATGGCAGTCCCGGTTATCGAGGGGTTGGTGCAACTTCATCCTCCTCTATCCGCCGGTGACGTGCTCATGAACCTCTCTGAAGTTCTTTCATGTGCTCGGCAGGGGAACAGATGGTCAACACTCGAATTCTGGAGACTTGACAATATCCACCTTTCCAGGATCCCGCGGCCTCCTCGAGACTCCTCCGAACTCATAACATGTGGCCCAAGGGCATAACTCCGTCAAACTTGCCGTATGGTCAACTACTGTATTCCAACATGTACGTCTGGCATATGTACACAGACCGATCGTCACAACGATATTCATCTCATTCGCTGTTCATGCGAGCTTGCCAACAACATACGGATGTCCCGCACTCAAGCCGCCATCAACAGCCCACGCCTGGCCGTTGACGTAGCTGCTTTCATCACTGCCCAAGAACAAAGCCACGCGCGCGATCTCATCAGCGCGGCCGCCGCGCTTCATGGGGTTGATCTGACCGATCCTGCCCTCCGTTCCTCGCGCGCGCGCCGAGTCGTACACGGGGGCCGTCATGCCCGTCTCGATGAGGCCCGGGCAGATGGCGTTGGCGCGGACGTTGGTGCCAGCGAGCTGGTAGGCGACGGTTTGCGCGAGGGAAATCACGGCGGCCTTGGCGGACGAGTAGGGAGTCGTGCCGGCGTTGGAGCGGATGCCGGCGACGGAGGCGGTGAAGATGAGGCTGCCGCGTGACGTCGTCTTCTCGGCGGAGGTCTTTTGCATGGCGGGCGCTGCGTGCTTCGCGGCGAGGAAGACGCTGTGCGAACGAGTCAGTTTTCGGAGGCTTCGGTGTGCCGGGACGCTCTCACCTCAAGACGTTGACGCGCATATTAGTCATGAAATCTTCTGCGCTGATATCGGTGAAGAGTTGGTGAGGGCCGGTGATGCCCGCGTTCGCAAAGTAGACGTCCAGCCTGCCGTATGTTGTCATTGCATGTGAAATGACATCCTTGACGGCGCTCTCGTTGGAGGCGTCAAACTTGCGGGTGTGGACCTCGACTTTGGGGAAGAGGCTGTTGATCTCGCGCTTGTGAGTCTCGAGGTTCGTATCGTCAAAGTCGCAGATGTAGATGGCTCGGGCATTGTTCTCGGCGAACTGGTGGGCGGAGGCTCGACCGATGCCCTTGATAGAGTTCGCGCCTGTTCAATTGTGAGTCTATTGGAATCGGCGAAAGCCGTCAAACATCTGAAGCGACTGACCTGTGATGATAACAACCTTGCCTTGAGTCCGGGCTGCGGCGGAGGGTCCGGCGACCTTGGTGATGGGGTCGATGCCGTCGAGCTGCTTGCCGAGGGCTTGCAGTCTTTGTTGCGCCTTGTCGGCCATGATGCTGCTGTGGTGGTTGATTGAGTTCAGTTGAGAAAGACTAATCTACATGGCTTCAGTCAACTGAAACCGAGGTTCTTGATCGAAATAGTAATCCAATGCAATATGTATCGTGAGAAACGTTGGACAAATTGAGGGGAGCGGAGGCCGAGGAAGGAGCTCCAAGCTTGTCGAGAGGGAAAGCTGGACCGAGGCTCACCGGCGCCGAAGCTTCACCGCGCTAGGCGATGACACGCTATTTGCGGGGTTACCCCGGATGCTAGCGGGGGACTTCATCGGATAACTTCCCCGGGCGGGCCGGCAGTCGGCTTTAACAGCGGAGGGACCGGCTTCGTAGAAGTCCTTTACTATCACTTGTTCAACACCCAATTGGAATTATTACCCTGACGATGATGGGCTTTCAAAACAATCCCGACAATGTGACTGGGAGACTGGAATCTGTCGGCTCCGACGGACTTCGCAACTTGCACCGAAATCTCCGGGCACGAAGTTCCTAGACATCTTTCAAGTTGCTTTGACTGCTGACATGTCGTTTTCACCGCTGGTGCTCAAAACCTCTCATGGAACCAGATCCATCTGTTTCTGCAAAATCGTTCGTTTGGATTGCCAAGTTTGGAACCTCGCAGACAGAGAGGCGGTGTCTCCTAGACAACGAATCATACACCCACACGTCCAGGCTGGGCATGCCGCGATCAACCATTTCTGGAACAAATCGATGCAGCATCCCGAGACAAACAACGCACTATCAGCATCAACACCAGATCTTACGGCCGAAATCTCTGCTCACACTGGATCGAGCACCGATTGCTCAAATCAGAACTCATGAGACAGCGTCCCGTCCACATCAACATTCCAGACAACGCCGTTCGTCAGCTTCGTTCGCATTCGCCTTTTGACCGCAAATACGGCTCAATGCATTCATATGGCGTCAGTCGTCAACGTGTCTTTGAGTCGAGCTCCATCGAATTAGCTTTGCTGTGAGTTCAGGGTGTCAAGAATCAGTTGAGGCCTCGATCATCGCTGGCAACTGCACAGTGTCCGTTATTTATGTGCTCAGCTGAAGTCGTAGCTTCAGGCAGAGTTTTGTTCTAGCTCGAGTCAAACGAGAGACAAGCTATCGAAAGCCTTCCGATGTGGCTTCTCAGCAAGCCAAACCAAAGAAGCCGGGGAGACTTTGAACTACCTTTCGGTTAGAAGCTGAGAGCAACCTTGCTGAGGGCAACCTTCGGAACGCCTTCCTTACATAGGCGCCGAGAATATGGACTGTTTACTAGTTGGTAAGTTAGGCTGGCATCCAATACGAGCCTCGCCTATGAAAATGTCACTTCGAACAACCTTCAGCTTGCCCGCGCGCTCTCTTCACCAAGCATTCTACGAAGACGACAAGGGGAAAAAGGGGCATATGTAGCCGCTTACCCAATACCAAGAGAGAATGTCCAATATTCTCAGGGCATACGAAATAACCTGAACGGCTACGCAGATCCCTGCAGCCACCGGCCGTAGATCCTCGGCCATTCCACGCCACACCAGTAAAGATTCACCCTTCAACACTCTGCGAGAACGGATTCTCAAGGATGCAGACACTCAATTGCGGAACATTTACCACGTGCGTCGTACAGCCCTAGCATCACCGTTTAGTGGCGCACATCTTGAGGATGTATCTAAGCCTTATTGCAGGCTTACATTTGAAAATCTAGGCCTACCGCTCAGCTTCTCAGGGGACCTGGATAATCACGGAAGTCGATCTTTCCGCTGTCCATGGCGAGAATCTCGTGCTGCTCCACGAGCTTTCACCATCCATATTCTTCCCTAGCCTGGTTTGTCGTGACTCCTGATGCCGGACTTCATTCCCAAAACGACATCTTGCGCCGGAACACTGAGCTAGTAGATCGCGGGTAAGAGCATGCTATGCCGTCCGGGTTCCGGTGGCATGCGATTGTTCACCAAATGTTGAGACTTGTCGAAACTCAAAGGCTTCTACTCTCGCGATGGCGACTTGGCTGCAGCCTGAACCTAGCCTTTCAAGGAGATCCAAGTTTCCCTCTGCTCTCTCCTTGATCTTATATGTCCATTTATCGTCACTTCTGTCGTGCAGCGCGATGCCATCGCGGACAATCGGGGTCAGAAAACCGCTTCCTGCATAACCATCCCGCTTCCACGCCTACAAACTCCAAACGCACTCAATCGGAAGACATTCCCTGCGGATCCGATCTCGACAGCCAACGAAGCTGGAAACATGCCCAAACCGGCCGGCCAGTGCCACCACACCAACATCCAACGTGGAAGCCCTCTCGTGTGCGTCTCACGATGTCTGTGGTCGTTCGCCTAGGCCCAAAATCCATTGGTTCCAACGCCGTGATACGGTGGTCTGTGTTTCTTCATCCCGGCCCCCTCGTGGCACGTCGCCAGGCTCGCCCCCCATGCAGAGGAAGAAGAGGTAATCCCATATAAGCTTAGCGGGCAACGTTAACGGGTTGCTCTTTCTTCAAACCCCCGGTCCGTACGTGTTTTCGGAAGACAGGCATTCCGTTGAGGGAGTCCCCGAGTGGCCGGACGTCGATGTCGTGGTTCCCGCGGTGCTTCCTGTTGAGTTCGTGCGAAGTAAGGCCGTTTCGTGACACAAGAGCTACTGGGAGCGCAGGTCCAATCGCAGATTCTACGGTTCTGGTTGCGAATCAGCCTCGAAATGAGATGGTAAAGACTGCTTCCAATCGAATGCGTTTCTCTGCCCTGCAATTTCCAGATCAAGAAGTCTTCGAGATACAAGTTGGTTCCAGCCGAGGGGACGATTATCACATTGTCATGCACGGTTTGTACCAGACAGTGCAAAACACGCATCCAACAAAGATGCGCCGAGCCTCGAGGCCCAGAAGCTGGGTGCCGTTGGAGTTTTCCTGCAAGCCAAACGGGCATCGACATGGCATTCATTTACACCGATCGCTCTCCTCTACTTCTCTACGTCAGCATCCGTTTGAAGCCCAGCGGGCCCCCTCCATACATGCATACAACCTCACATCCAGTCGGGTGCGTGCAGCCCCTTTTCCTCAACCTTCTGCGGGCTGTATCACCCGGTTTACATACGAGGTTTTTTCGACCGGCAGCGGGCGGATACAGTATGGTGTAGCCGCTTTGTTCTTGCCTGACTGGCCACCGTCCCGTCGTCCGTCTGTCGATGTCACTGAGCCTCCCGTGTTAGCCACCGCCCGTCCGAGAGACGACCTCAGTATATAGTTACAAACGCGGAACTCTGAGAATTCTTTGGCCGTCCGTCGAGCCTTTGTCCATTGATCCTCGTCGCTTCAACTGACTCTCCGCGGCTGTCCCAGATTGCCAAGGCTTCATCAGCCCGACCGCACTCATTCATCCCTCTCTAGTCGCTCGTTTTACGGACGCCGTGTGCACACACATTTGACTCAGCTTACAAAATCGCCGTCCGTCGCACTCACCTGAAGGAAAGACCGAACCCAAAGTGTGCCTGTCTCGCTCTCAAAAGCCACGCGAAAACCCGAGTCGACTTGCCAAAACAGCGGGGATGGAGGGGGATGAATGCAGTCCGCTGGAGGGGAAGTCGTGGTCAAGGGTCGCATCCAATGTTCCAGATCCGCCAAAGTGCATCGAGGAATGCCGGGCGCGGTTTCTTCGGGACGTGGTACAGGGCTATGATGACTCGAGACTGCCGGAGGTGTGCGGGATTCTGTCAAAGAACGACGGGGCGCAGGAGCGGTTGTGGGATCTATATTGCTGCAACTCGTCGGCGTGCGGGGTCAAGCCCGAGATGGGACAGGATCGTGAGTAGATTGTATACGATGAAGTGAGACTTTGGACTTCGTTCTGACTCCTTGATAGCCGGTGTCAACTGGATCGTCAACCGGTGCCAAAGGTGAGTTATCTCCCTCTCCAATCATGAGCCATCGTTAACGACGTTGAATAGTCACGGAATTCAAGACCCAGGGCCCCCGTCGTTGGGACATATCTGTCCAGTCATCGGACCTCCAGGCGATTGTGCGAAAGGGTTGTTCTACAGCGACGGCAGACCGCACCCAACTCCATACGCAACGCAGTCGCAGGGCTTCTGGGCGACGCCCACTTCAGCTTCAATGACTTCGTCGGTTTCCGCAACCCGGTCTGGCCACTCTGCCTCCGGGACCTCGAGCGCATCCAACCTGAAGCAGTCAGACGAGGACCAACCCAGCGGCAGTCTACCTCTGGGTCCTAGGATAGCCATCGGCGTCTGCGGCGCCGTCGTTTTACTCGCCATCGTGGCAGTCGCAATCTGTCTGTACCGAAGGCGCTCTCGACGGGGATATACGCAGAGCATCAAGAGCGAGATAAAACACAACCCACTTCCCCAGGCGTGCTCGCCGACACCTCTCATCTCACCCACGGCTTCAACGCACGAGAACATACACAACCCGGTCCCCCTCACGCCACCGCCTCGTCTGAAAGAGCGCAGAATACTTCCCACGCTTCTGACCCCGACATCTTCCGAGTTTGGAGGCTCGTTTCCAGGCACACCCGTCAGCAACCTCAACTCGAGCACGAGCAGCTTTCCGCAGCCTCCTTTCGTGACCCAAAGAAACAGCAGCTTCTCGTCGAGGCACCACCGCCCAACCAAGTCTCTGGTCAACCCGCCATCGACAATCTTCCAGGGGAAGGAGCTGAAGACCGCGAGCATGAGCAGTGCGACCACCGGCCGCACAGCCAGGACGGTCTCTAACACATCGAGCGGCTTTCCTTACCCAGTACCATCATCACCATCACGGCCTGCTCGTCCGCATGAGATGCCGCTTCGCATACCGGATCTCGTCTGTCCCGGCCCGCCACCCAACCGCGCACTTCCGCCACCACCGCCGCCAGTCAGCCCCGTCAGTCCGATCGCGTTATTACGGCAACACTCCACGGACAACGGACACAACGTCAGCATGGCTCTGGCCGCGGGGTTCATACCACCGCGGAATCCTGCGAGAGGAGTTGTCTTGGGGAAGGACTCCAGAGACTTCTGCGATTTGACGGAAAGCTATGCGAGGGAGTCCAAAGATAGAGATAGCTGGGGAAGCTGGAGTATCGGGGCCGGTGGAACGATACTTGGGTCGAGTTCCATCCAGAGGGGAGGGGAGAGGGTGAATAGTCCTGTGCTGGAAGAGGCAGACCTGGAGAGGATGGGAGGGAGATATTGAGAGCGCGTCTTTCTAGGTCGCTGTAGAATAATGATAAAAGACGTAAGCGATATAATCCTTGTGCTTTGATATGGGAGGCGGTACATGTCTGGTTTTGCTCGGTTCGGCTGGTTGAGAGGCCTTGAAGTTTCATCCAGCGATTTACTCTTTGCGAATATCCAGAACATGAATGAACTCTCTCGCGGCCGGAATCGATGATTTTGTCCTAAAGTCTCTCATCCGTCTCGCCGATGTCATCAACTTCCTCCTTAGATACTTCCCCGCAAGCGGCTCGGTACCAACATCCAAACTATCCTCGCTCTTGTCAGTGTCTTGCATGTTATCTCATCCAGAACCAAAATATTTCAACTTATATCTACCATATTTGCTCCATCTGCTTCATATTTGTGGCATCTCTTGGCTGGTCTCTCAGATCCGGCGGGACAGGTAGATCTGCGTCTCGCTCTAAGTGACCCCAACACGAGTTCTGTCTCTATTGGCTAGGTCTCTTTCTATAAGACAGCCTTAAATGAATATCTTGATTTGAGCGGAACATCAATTCTTTCTTTCACTCAAGAACGAGGAAGACCCAACTGGTGGGTTATCCAGACGTCAGCAGGGCTCATTCAGAGCTGGGCACCAGTTCAACCACATTAGGTAGGGCTCATTGTGGCGGTGATCTTGAGATCAGCGGACAGGTAAGACTTAAGGGTTTGGTTGACCTTGTTTTAAAATGAAAATTTGTATAGATTTAATAGAAACACCTGTTGATGATGGGGTTGATCGCTGCCTGAGACCAAACCCGGCCTCCATAACAACCTGGCTTCCGTCAACCCACAAACTCAATGCCATCTGAACTACTCAACTCTCGCCTTAGGATGCCTCTTTGTTTTCGTGAAACCCATGAAGTGTTTTGCTACAAAGTAAATTAACAGGAAATGGGCTTGATGAGGTTCTATGAGGTTCTATGAGGTTCTATGAGGTTCTATGAGGTTCTATGAGGTTCTATGAGGGGCCGGTTTGTCCCCAAGGTTCGACACTTCTGAACGTCGTCGTTTATAGTCAACTCTGGCTTCTCAAACCATCACATACGACCATACCCATTGGAAAACTCGGGATCCCGTCCGCTCTCCCATAGATAAGCCAATGAGGGCCGGATTAGTAGTTGGGTCGGTGACGACCAGCGAATACCTGGTGTTGTATGTGTTTTTGGCAATGTTTTGCCCCTCTGTGGATCTGGCATGTAAATGAAGTTCACGACAACCAACGTACAGTACATTAATCACATTAATTATACTTTTGGACTTTGTATATATGTTATTGTGTAAGATTGACTCTCTCTTGAGGTTCTCTGTGAAGTCTTGAACTGTTATGCCCCCCCGCGTCACCTACAACCTGCAATCACAACAGACCATCAACTTCTGGCACTCGACTCGCACTATGAACGCCGCCAAAACTTGCTTCACGCGCAATCCCCGGCCAAACCTGGCTTTCCACAGTCAATATCATGATAGTACCAGCTCTCCGCAATCTAAAAAGGTTGCGCAGAACCGCCGGCGCCATAGCAAGGAAGTTATCAAACGCTTCGTTCAATATCAAACAAAATGCCAAACGCTGCAACGACCTCGTCACGTACGTTGTCAATATGACAGAGTCAATATTGCATATTAGTAACTTTCAAATTTTCTATCGAATTGGAATTCATCTTTCAGTCTATCAAGATTGCATAGTAACATTCGGCGCCACCGTCTCGGCCAGCACCTACCTGATGGAAGTGGTAAGCCAAGCAAGTGCCTGCCTCCCTCCTGGAGCACCAGAGTTGTCGTGGCCAGACTCATTCCAAATCGTGAGCCCGTAACTTCTCAGTTCTCAAAGTCCTCTATTCCATGGCGCCTTCGTCGTCCGGCGTTTCAATCGAGGAGGGTAAGAACCACCACGTGACATCAAACGACTGCCGGCGTCTGCAGCCAAGCAAGGGAAAGCGACGCCGGAACTCAGGATAGAGCTCACGGACACACACTTTTCTCGTTCTTCGTCTGTCTTCCTGCGGTCATCATCTTCCCCGATAACCATATTGCCTGTTTTCGTTTCTTCTGCCGGCGCCAGAATCCTCTGGATCGATGCCACCCAGTTTCACCCTGAGGATGACGGAAAACCTCGCCGAATGATCCAGAACAGGATTGGCAGAAACAAGCCCGATACCTGAGTTCGCCATCGCAACAGGTAGCGGTACAAAAGCTACTTCTCAACAGACGAGAACAATCGTTACCATTGTTTTGCTTTTTCTCGCTACCATATCTTCTCACTTCTCGTGTAGGCAGGAGAAAACTGACAGGTCAGGAAAAGAGAAGAGACATGAGCAAGACAAATCAACTAATATCAAGCGGATTTAAAGGTCTCGCCCCGCGGCCAGGAAAAGCAAACATGGGACAAGCAAACACCACCCGAAGCTCCAACGTCGAGGCACAGTGTCGATCCAGAAGCTACATACAGACTTGCTTGCTTTTTCCTCCAGAACCAACCACCATCATCAGACAAACGAGCAACGGCCCCCGGCCTGTCAGATTCCGATGATACGATCGACTGGCTCCGGCGCGTTGGCAACGGTTTTCGCCAGTGTGAGACCACCCTGTCCGGACCTGTCCGGCCCCGTTCCCCGGATGTGATGCAACCCGCGGCTTTGATATCGTCGGTTAAGCTGCGTCTCGTCCGCAGACGGAATCACACCTCCCTTGCATCGGAACCCGTCAAACCTGCTTCTGAGTGGCACAGTCCTTGTTGTCTGAGGAGGTGCGGTTGATCGACTAGTTCCGTCGACCGGGGTTCACGACAAGCAAACATGGCCATCACAGAATTCTATCATCTTGACAGGATTTGTTGTTTTTTCCTCAGGCTAGAGCCCACAAAATCGCATTCACGCGCACAGCCGGCCTGGGACCCGTCCTGAGGCGGTCTCTCGAGCTGCCTCATGCAGTACAAGATTGGCTCGATCTTCAATCTGGGGACTCGTGGTCGATGATCTGGCAGAGTTTCGACCCCAAGGCGCGGTGACATCCACCTCCTCCACATCCGCGGCGGCGATCTAATGGTTGGATCCGAAGAGAACATGCTTCCTTTTTCTTCCTCAGGCCAGATGGCGGGGACTTCAGAAGCGAGGGGCTGCGGATAATCTGCTGAAGGGTTTTCGTCATATATCATATTCTTCGACGGCTTCGTTCGACTTCCAGGCATTCGAGCCCACATCGCCAACGACGAAGGAGAGACAACAATCTCATATTTCTTCCCCTTACGAACCCCAGGTGTTTGTCACCAGTTAAAATTTCGAATCTCAGCGACCTTGCCACTGAGGTAAAACAGATCCACTACACGATCTCCTGCCGAAAGGAGCCGCCAGGAGTCTGCATCATCATCCCTTGTAGATTGCGCATCGCCCTGCAAGATCCTGCACCAAGATCTGCCTTGCTCTTTGCAGCCCTGCAATACATCGTGGCAGCGCCACTGGAAGAGATTTGCTTCTCCATGCAAGGAGTGGTCCATCGTTCGATACCATCTCACCGCCACAAGACGGCTTCCCGATCGCGACGAGGGCCCAGTAATACGGCGGTTAGAGCGCTGGGCATCTGCGTCACGAGCTCAAAGACAACTCGATCATCTTGCTTTTGTCTGGTACCGAGCGAGCTGTATCATTTCATCATCATTCTCACCGCCTCTGAAGCAGTGAGAGGCTGGTGACAACTCTGCACATCACATCAAGAGCACCCAGTCACAAGACCCATTGAGCCTCAGTCTTTGGAACATCACCCATGGAACCGAGTCCCGCGTATTCTGTCACATTTACACAGCGAGACAGATGAGAGACTTGCGGTGTCTCCTCGGCAGTAATAACAACAATCAAAACCAGACAATCTAGAATAACCCCGCTCATGATCTTCTCGATGCTGATGCGACACAAGTCTCAACATGCTCATTCCAAAGTTTCACTGCTATCTTCACGACGATGACTACTGTGTTTCTCCTGAGACCCAGAAAAACTTGGGACAGCAAGCTTGGAAGATCTACCAACACGCCGCGTGACTAGCTGGGCGCATTCGGCCTCCTTCATTTCAGCGACTGCGCACTTCAAAGACCATGTGACGTTCTCCATCGATCTCAGGCGATCTCCTCCGGATGACAGCGGATACCGCCATCTTCAGTGATGACGATCGGCACGCTCCGGCTCGTCAACACGGCGTGAAGTCGGCCTTGGCTCGATCCGCCCGGCCGAAGCAACCGGACTCCACCGCAGAAGCAGCGTTGTCCGGTGTTCGTGCTACAGGACACATGCTTGCCCACTGACCATCTGTGCTCTCACAGCTCGCAGCTTGCCTTTCGCGCCTATGAGAGCCATGAGTTGGTCCAGTCTTCGGTGGACTCGGGAGATCGGAAACCTAAGGGCCTGTAGGACTCCCCGCTTCTCCCGACTTGAGATGAAGCTGTCTCACGGTGCATCTCACACCCGAGTTGTTGCATTGGAGGCAGAGTCAGCCTCGCCCACCCCTTCCAAGTAATCATCGGCTTAAACTTGATGACAGAACCGTCAAACGACGTGTTTGGCACCAACAAAGCTTCGGGAGATACGGACGCGCTTTACTTTGGGGCCAATTGGGTTTCCGAGTACCTGCTGGTGATGTTTGCCAAGCCGTCGCAGCAACAATCTTGAACCGTTCGTTGGACATTAGTCTGAATTTGGAAGCTGAGGGACGAAGATCTGGCACCGGAAAGCATGCCGCCACAGAATGTCTCTTTGGAGGTGTTCGACCTGAGACACAGGCCGTCCGAAACGGCTAGCAAGTTGTCGTCCAACGGTGGTTGCACAATAACTTTGTCATGGTTTCCTGTCGTAGGGAAGCTCCTTCGGTCATGGCTTGCGAAAGGGTCAACTCAGCGTCAGGAGCCGGCGTGGTCGCCACGCCACCCCTTTACTGAGACTAGCGGATGATGTGGATTATTGAGATTTGATGGTGATGGGCAATCTTGGAGAT